GCGAGGGCGACCGTACGCGGCGCTAATGTTACGTCCTTCGCTAGCCTTACGAGGCGCTAAACCGACTTCCCTTTCTTACGCTTAACGGCTACTTTAAAGCGGGCGTTGTCCTAACTAGCTATAGTAACCGTCCGTATAGGAATATCGATCTTTATTCCCTCTAGAGCAATCGTATCTATATCGACTAGGATTTTTGCCTTTAGTTTAGGAACTAGGTAAACCTTACAAGTTATTCGTACTAGGGAGACTGCACCGTCCGTCTTCGCTACTAGGACAAACATGTCTAATACGACGTATTCCCCGGAGCGATATACGCCGGCGATGCCGCCGATTTCGATCGGTTCGCGTAGCTTACGTACCTCTACGTCCGGGCAATAGCTTAAAACGAAGTCTTTTTCCGTAATAGTAAGCGTATAGCTAGTATCTAGGCAGACCTAGACAGATATACCGGATAGTAATAACCGAAGGGGGAAAGTTATATATTGCTAATTCTAGAATACGTAACCTTACTAAGCTAACGGAGGCGCCTTCGACTAAATTACTTCCGGGTTTGCCGATATGCGTTCGATAATAGTAGAAGGCGTCGTCGCCTCTATATACTTATTACAAACATACTAGTATAGAAGGTTACCTAACTTAAATCGCCGCCTCTAGACCTTATAAGCGTGCTTCGTAGAGGCAAATAGTTAGATCGCCGCTAGTAGGGACGCTTTAGCCTATAGTACCGAGTTTAACGCTAATAGCGAGCGATTGCCTACGCTTATAAAGTAAGCTCCTAAGCCCGGATCGGAGTCGTAAGAGTCGGTAAAGTAGTCGGCGTCTTCTCTAGCGTTACTAAAATAGCTATAATTATCTGCGTCGGTTCTCCTATTATTCTCCTAACTATCCTCCTAATAGCCGTCGTCGGCTTAGTTAGTATTATTTATAGTATCGCCTACTCTCTTACTATTATCGGCAAAGTTAGCCTACTTACGAGCTCGATCGTTGCGCTTTCTATCCTATCGATTAAATAGGCGCGAATCGACTCGCTTTAGGTCTTTTAGGAGGAAGGTAGGGCTACTATCCTTCGACAGTTCTTTACTATTTCCTACTAGTAGTAGGCGATTCTACTAAGGGGCGTTAGGTAGGCGATTCTGCTAATAGGCGTTAGTAAGGCGTAGTAGGTTTAGTCGGTCGATATCGCGGTTCTAGTAGTTAGAGGACGCTCTTACTAGAGCGAAGCTCGCTAGGGTATAAGAGGCGTTCCCTTCGTATCGGTTCTACTAGGTAGCCTTACTAGCGCGGCTATTGTTCCTAGTCGTAGCGTCTAGGCGACGATTAGACGAGGACGAAAGTATATACTCCTAGATTAATACCTGCTTCTCGTAGTATATAACCTACTTATCGACCTTTATACGACGATTTAGCTTGTCTATGTTTAATTAGAGGCGCGGATCTATTCGACGATAAGCTTCTAAGAGCCGGTTCGATTTCTATATACTAGTATCCTTAGCGAGTCATACCGTCTTAATAATAAAATCCGTTACTAAACGCCCTAAAGCGATATCCTACTAGTCGTAGCGTTACTTATTAAGGAGATCTATCGCCTTTATCGGAGGGACCTTCTATTTCTTACTAAGACAACGTTCCTAGCGCTTTAGACCGTATCCGCTACGGAGCTTTACTCGGTTATAGCTAGAAAGGTAACTATAATACTAACTAAGCGCTACCTTTTAAAAGCAAAGAGAGAGGTTAAGACGAACTGTCTCTCGCCCTACGATATAAGTATAATCCTTAGCCGCTTCGATAAAAGCGTATACCGAACGGTATATTATCTTGTTCCCGACTAAGGCGTAGTCTCCCTCGCTATAATCCGTAACGCTAAGTAGAGGATCGAAGAACCTAAGATACGCCGGATCGAACTATAGTTACTAGAGGCAGGCGTAATACCCCTAGATATAACTCGCTTTAGAAACAGGCGATTCCGCGACGTAGTCCTAATAATACTAACGGTATCTACGACGGCGGACGTGTCTATAATAACTAGCGTCTAAGGAGCTATCGTTATCCGACGAGGATTAATCGGAGTCGTCCGAATCCTTACTATCTAATAAGGATCTATCCTTACTCGGATTATCTCTATACTAACGGTACTTCTAGCGTTACTTCTTACCTTCCCGTAGCAGACTCTATAAGTCTAATAGCGGAAAAGGCAAAGGCTAATCCTACGCCGGCTCGCAAGAGGGATCGCCCGGATCGAAGTTACTAGCTAGTAGTAGTAGTAAATAGGCCGACGAATTGCTAGGAGGGTTACCGGTAGGGTTGCTAGGAGGATTACTAGGTAGATTACTAGGCGGATCGCCTAGCGTAAAGCCGCCCCGACGTAAGCAGCTATGCCTATAGGCATTTATATATACGTCTACTCTCTACTAGTAATCGTATTAGCCTAGGTTCGGCTAGGGCGGACTTAGCTTACGCGTAGCTAATAGCGGTAAAATCGCCTATTCTATTAGAAAGTCTAATACGACTTCGTTAAGATAGACTCCTCTCCGTCTAGCTAATTCGCGAAGATAATTACGACGCTAACGGTTTTATTATATAGCGATATTCGCCCTATCGATCTCCTCAGTTATCTATAAGGCATCTACTAGGGTACGATATTAGAAACGACTACGCGGCTCGTTAGCCTATAGGTCGGCGAGGCCGTCGTTTATTAGAGGCAATTAGCTGCGACCGATGTCCTAAAACAGCGACGTCGATAGATCGGAAGGCCTAGTTAACGGTTCCTTAGAGGAAGTCTTAGGTAGAGGCCCTCTTAGCTTCTAAGAATTCTCGTCCGCTAGGTATCGTAGCTTAAGTAGCCTCTATAGGAAAACCGATTTAAGCGAGCTATTAGGCGAACCGGGACGCTATTCCGGCGGTACGGTTGTTTCTACCGTAGTAATAGGCGAAATCGTAGGCTACGGTAGAACTTAAGCTAGTCGGGCTAGTAGGCGCTACTCTACTACAGGTAGTAGATAGATATCCGAATAGGATTAACGGTAATAGCGTAAATCGCGCACTATTAGGAGCGCGGCTTTAAGCTCCTTAACCGATTTAGTTAGAATTCCTTTATCTACTACCTACTACTCTAAGAAGTTGTAACCGTTAAGGGCGTTTAGGTAGAGTTCCTCGATTTTAGCTTATAGAGGCGGCGGATTTCTTACGAGCGGGTAATAGTGCAGAACGTATAAGGCAAGCAAGTCGATTCGGCCGTGCTTTGCCCTAAGCTAGGTCGCGAAGTTCTCGCTATAATCGACGTAGTTCTAAATATAGGAACAGATACGTAGGATATAGGGCTCTATATCTAGCAATCCGAGATTATAGTACTAGGGCAGCGGTTGAACCGCTAGCTTAGCTAATTTCGAGGCTTCTACCGGAGTTAGAAGCGAGTCCGAAGGAGCTACGGTAAGCGGGTAAACTATTAGTAAGAGGGTAGAGGCGAGATAGTCTCCTAATAGAGGACAATAACGGAGAACCGACTAAAGGCGGAGGAGCGTAGCTTATCGGGGTAGGTCCTCCTAGGGAAAGCGGCTACCCCTAGGCCTAGGTATAATAGGCAATTGCTACTAAAGGTAGAAACTACTACTACTATCTCCTCGGAGTACTAATAGGATCGCCGATAAAGCGCTCGCGCGTCGGTAGAGTATAGTACGGAAGGGTAGTAAATCGAATAGGTACCGTCGTAATAGGTAGGAGTTAAATCGTAGTAATCGGCAGAAGATCGGTAGGACTTGTAGCTAATCGCGTCGATTCTCGTCGTAGCTATAACGACTAGGGTCGATTCGGGTAGAGGACTAGTAGTTAGTATAGAAGCTAACTAAGTATTAAGCGAAGCTACTAAGTTACTAGGCATACGGTTATAGTACGAAGGTATTATAACGGTTATACGGTATAAAAGTTAATATATTCTCTAAGGTACTACGAGGCAAGCTATCTATATAATAGTCCTACTATTAGTAGTAATAGCGACTATAGCGGTCGATAGTAACCGCTACCTACTATCGTATATATAATAGTGTTATATCGTAATAAAAGAACTCGAAAGAAAGGGACTAAATAAAGAGTTTTTATAGTACGCTAAGCCTTACGAATCGGATATAGGGCGCTATTAAGAAGGTTACGAATTAGCTACGAATTAGGGTTCCCTAATAGTATCCCCCCTCCCCTAGTATTATAGAGATAGGTATAGGTATAGGCTTAGCCTCTTAGGCTCCTACTATAGCTATAATACTAAATATACGACGTTATTCTTACTCGAAGTAACGTAATAGATAACCTCGCTAAGTATAGGAATTTACTCGTCGCCTAATATACTATTATCTAGTATAACTAATCTAAATATATTAAAGCCTTAAAAGCAATTAGAAATAAATAGTAATAGAATAGAAAAGAGACTTACTAGTTGTTTCGTATTCTTACTTATAGTATATAGTAGAACCGAGTTTAAATAGACTAGGATTAGATTCTAAATAGGCTAACGTTAGTAGAAGCTACTATAGTAGGGGAAGGGGATAGGGGTTGCTTTCGGGAAGTCGAGCTTGTTTAAGCCTAAGCGCGCGCACTAACCTCCGCACGGACCACCACGGCTCTATCCGATTGGTCAGATCGGTAGTCAGGCCGGTTATTTCGGTGGTTGGGATTGCTGTATCCCTGCGTGGCCGCACTGAGGCCTCGGGACATCTTGGGCCGAACGGCTACTGTGCTGCACGTACAGCGTCTTACCACTTTCACTCCGATGTTTTAGATGCCGGATGAGAACAGCCCTGGACGGCTTGTCGCTGCATATGATGCACTGGTCTGCGGAGTGCAGTCGTCGTGCCCACATCTAAAGACCACGGGATGATGCACGGTGCCTTACATGTGTAGCGTGGCGATGTCCGGGATTATTGAGGTTCGGCATTGTAGAATAGTTCGAGCACAGCAAGAGGATTCCAGTCTGACTACATACAAAGTAACACCACCGAAGAATTTTGCACATTATGGCCGGCATCATACTGAGTCTGCTAATACCTGCACTTGCTTCTGGGTATGCCATCTCCAGTTCACGCTCACCACTGCCTCATGCTGATAGAAAGCTTAGATTCGTCGATTACGGCGATGTGCTTCCAGCATCTTACAGCTTGGGCGCTGCCTATAGCCTCGACACCCCTTTGCAATATGGCCGGCACCCAATAACGCTCAACAACTCGTCCCCAACCCTGACGATCGACTACGGTTCAGAAGTGGCTGGCTTTCCGTTCTTTGACGTCGAGGACATCTCAGCATCGACGCAAATCGAGGTGAAGTATGCCGAGGACTTCACAGCGTTCGACAATGCGTATAGCGACGGTCCATGGACGTTCAGCAATGGCCTATCGAGCTCGTTCCGTACCGAGACATTCAATCTTACTGAGCCAGGTCGCTTTGAGTGGCCTCTGATCCAAGGAGGCCAAAGATGGCAGACTGTCGAGCTTCTAACGAACACCACAATTACCTTCCGAACGCTTGGCCTTAAGTTGACTTCTGAGAACATTCCTCCTGCTCATGTGGCCGGACAGCTGCAGACCTCAAACTCAATATACAACAAGATATGGGATCTCGGAGCCAGAGTCGTACAGGCTGCTTGTGTCGATGCCGGAAATGCGCCCTCGACTTGGCAGATTACAACCGATGGTGCCTACGTGCTCGGTCAACAAACAGCCCAGTCGGGCAAAGGCACTACTTTCGGAAACTACACGCTATCGTTCTCAACCAAGATCGTCAGAGGTGGCACAGGGTGGCGAGTAGCCAGCAGCATAGCGCCATATGGCTCGCTATTTTATCTCACATCGAATTACCCAGACGATGCTGTCTTCATAAACACGGACAGCACGCTGCTCCCGCCCAACACGTTGGTCTACAACTACGGATATTCGATCGTCAATCAGTCTACACTCGAGACCGGAGGGAATCATTACTTCCCGATCAGTACCACCATGGTTGAAGATACATGGTACAACATCAGCACTACCATAACGTCTGATGGCTTTTCGGTGGCGATTGATGGCGTATCTGTGGCATTTGTGGCAAACTCTGAAGCAAAGATACTGAGTGCCTCATCTCTCCTCGCGCCTACTCGAGTCACTGATGGCACTTGGGGTTTCGGGCCATGGAATGGACAAGCTGCATACTTCAAAGATGTGATCGTCACTGCTGAAAATGGTACGAATCTATACAACAACCCAATGACTGACGAGTCTGTTCTCGCGGAGTATGGTGTGGCCGCGCTAGACTCCTCAGTGTGTCTTGACGGAGCAAAGCGAGACCGCCTCGTCTGGGCTGGTGACTTTTACCACACGACTCGCGTCCTTGGCTCATCAACTGCAAGATGGGACTACGTCTTGGGTAGCATCGATTTTGTGATGAGCTTTCAGCGTAAAGAATCTCCCTACAAAGGCTTCGTGCCAATAAGTGCCGGCATGGGCTCACGACCAGAGTACTCAAACGCATTCATCTACCAGTACGCAGGCCTAATCGACTACCAAGACCTTTTCCTTGCTGCAATCGGACACTACTTCTGGAGCACAGGTGACAGCCAAGGCCTTTCAAAGCATTGGAACGGTATCAAAGACCTATTCAACGCTCGACTCGCATACATCGATCCATACTCCGGCCTCATGGCCGGTGAGAACGCCTACTACTTCCTAGGTCCAGTCAACGGCAGCGCAGTAACAGGTCTCGCAGCCTATGCATACAAATCTCTAATCCCTCTCGCTGAAGCCTACAACGACACATCAGCTGCGCTCCTCTTATCCCAAGTCTCCAAAAATTTAACCCAAGCCCTCAATTCACACCTGTGGAACCCAGATCTCGAAGTCTACTCCCTCGACATCTCATCACCAACAAACTTCTCCCAAGCCGGAATCGCCTGGTCCATCCTTTCCGGCGCAGCGAACGACACCCAAGCTACATCTTCCCTTTCGCATCTCTCTTCTTTACGTCTAGACTGCGGCTATAAGTCCTCCTCTTCCGATGCAGATTCGCCTACCACCCAGCTCTCACCAAACATAGGAGGATTCACACTCGAAGCCCTTCTCAAAACCAAGTCCTCAAATCACACCATCGCAAAATCTTTCTTAGACGACTTCTGGTCTAAAATGGTCACACAGCCCGAATACAACTCGGGAGCGAGCTGGGAGTATCTATTTCCTGATGGAAAACCTGGCATCAACCTCACCACTTCTCTGGCACATCCTTGGGGCGCGGGACCGACGTATGTGTTGCCAGAATATGTTCTCGGTGTGCAGGCTATGAGTCCTGGATTCAGGACGTGGAAATTCGAACCGATGTTGGGTGTGCTGGGGTTGACGGAGGTGAATGGGACTGTTGTGACGCCGTATGGGAAGATAGAAGCGAAGTGGGAGATTGATGGGGAGTGTGCGATTGTGTCAGTTTCTGTGCCGAAAAATGGGACGTATGGGGTTTTGGTATTACCAGATGGGGCTTATGTAGAGCATGATGGGAAGAGTGGGAAGATTGAGCTACATGATCGTGAAACACAACTCAGAATACGTGGCTGGCGCACGTAGGCGCAGAGTACCTTCTGTACAGCTTTCTGATGCAGGTGATCTAATAGTGATTTACGCCTTCCCGGCTTCAATCTCCTTCTTTCTGTCCTCTGCTTCTTTCTCAGCCTGTCGTCGCTTCTCCTCTCGCTCAAGCTGATCTGGTCTTCGAACGGCGATGTCCTTGGCCTTGATGTCACTAAACAACGCTTTGAGGACTTTCTCCACAGTCCAGCATCCAATGTAGTCAACAATCATGACAGATACCATTTGCACCTTGAATTCCAGGGTGAAAGGTGTCAGCTTCAGCTTCTCGTTGATCTCAGGTACGAATTCTGTCGCGCAGGAGAACGCGACAGCAGAAACAAGGACGATGCCCCAGTACATGCCCTTGTTCTCCTTGATCGACTCTCGGAACGGACGGCCTTGGTAGTTGATGGCGAATGTGGAGATCTGTTGGATGAGCTGAAGGAGGTAGATGGCAGAGTTGAGGAGAGACGGTTCGAAGTCGCCCTCGAGATCGACCTGACTGCGATCCTTCTTCGGCTCGAAGCGGTGCACGACGTTAGAGATGTAGACCAGCGTCACAATGTGTACTGCGAACTGCGCGAGCACGGATGGAATGATGTACCAGTTCCAGATGTTGCTCTGCGGTCGCTCTTTTGAAAGCTGCTCGACAGACTTGGCGCGTGAGATGCTCAAGAAGCACACGCTCATGAGCATACCACTGATGGTGACTTGACCATCTCCGAACTTAATGCCGTCGAGATAGAGCACGGACAAGCTGTAAGCACTGATCAAACAGTTCAGGGCCAAGATCTTGTACATCTGGATAGTCGCCACGAGTGTGCAGCGGCCTTGTCGGATGATATTGGGAATAGCAACGACATTGGCGAGTTTGCTGGTGAATGGCGCGGCGACGGAGGCGTCACCGAGCTTGATGGTAGGTGGCTCGTCGGCGTTCAGCTCGTCCTCAAGCATCGACATAGACAACTTCTCTGCCATCTGGCTGGCAGCATTCTGTGCGCGCTCCTTCTTCTGTTCTTGCGGTGATTTTGGTCCGTTAGATCGTGCAATTTCTTGCACGGCTTGTGGAGGTGGAGTGTACTTGCCGACATCGCCATTGGCAGACCCGTCTTCAGCTGCTGCCTTTTGAGCTTCAAGCTGCGCCTTTGCAGAATTCTCGCGTTCCATTGCCTTCTCATAGTGAGGATTCTTTGGTCCGGGAGGATAGAGATGAGCAATGGCTGGCGGCACAGGTGGGTCGGGCTGGTTGAAGCGATTCATCATGGCTTTCTGCTTCTCATATAGCTCCTTCATCTTAGTCTCGCGGAAGTTCTTGGCGATTTTGTCCATGTCCTCCTTGCTGCCGTTCAGAAGAGCCACACCAACGTGCGCTTGCTTGAGAGCACCAACATCATTCGTGCCATCTCCTGCCATGAGCGTGGTGTAACCTTGGTCCTTGAGTCCCAAAAGAATCTCTTCCTTCTGCTTCGGCGAGACACGAGCATACACCCATGTATAACGAAGCAGTGAAGGTAGAGCTGCAGAGTCCTTGAACTTGGACAGGCCGTAGCCGGTCACGCAAAGATCCTTGTTCTTGATGATCTCTGGGTCGAGAGGCTTGCTCGTATCGACAGGAATGTTAACTTTATCATCAACGCTCCTCCACACAAGCTTCTCCCCACTGTCGTCGTTCTCAGGAGCGTCCAAAATCAAGACATCGCGGTCGACGATTTCCACCTGGCGTGCAACGTGTACAGCAGTCAGAGGATTATCTCCAGTGATCATGACCACGCGATGACTGCTCTCATTGAGCATGCGCACAGCTTTGATTGCATCTTCCTTGAGCGGGCACTGAAGCACCAAAAAGCCTGAGAAATGCAACTCGCTTTCCACCTCTTCTCGCTTCAGGTCGTTGACTCTCTTTTGCGGAATCTCGTCAGTCGTGGAAATCCACTTGTAGCCGAGAGCGAGAACACGTGCGCCATTTCTACTGAAGTACTTGAAAGTCTCCTCGTACTTGGGCGGCACATCAACAAGCATTTTACGAATTGTTTCTGGGGCGCCTTTGACACCAACGAATGTGCCTTTCTTCTTTTGACCGGTCTGGCGATCGGTCGTGATAGCAGTGGCGACGGTGCTCTGCCTCTTCAAAGCAGACGAGAATTGGAATCGGCGACGGATTTGAACAATGTCTGATGCAGAAGCACCTCTCTTGTGTGTGCCAACTTTTGCAGCGAGAGTATCGTTCTTGCCAAGAGTCCAGCCAAGAGACTGGAGTGTGGCCTTCTCCATGGGTTCTCCTACAACATCGCCCTCTTCCAGCTTCACAAGCGCATGAGCGGTGGCCAATGTCAAGGTAGTCTCCAAAGCCGTGTCAGTGATCTTCGTGAGCTGGCTGTGCGCACCATCTGCTTCTGTCTTAACCCTGGCATCTTTCTCTCGAAGAAAGAGGCCGGCGATACCCTCGACAACCAAGTCCTCGCCTGTAAGAGTGCCCGTCTTGTCAAAACAAGCTACGTCCACGCGGCCAGCAAAAGGTATCCGGAATGGTTCGGTGCAAAAGATGGCGTACTTGCTCAATGCTGCCAGACTAGTGTTTACAGCCAGACTCAGCTCCATGGGCAGCTCCGGAGGGACGACAGACGTGATGATGAGTACACAATCCAGGAGGAGTTTTGATCTCTTGCGATCTTGCTTGACACCTTCTTCCCAGACATACCACGATGCGACAATGGCGAAGACAGTCAAGAATAAGATGAATAGTAGGGCCTCGACATTATTGGCGCTGACACGCTCAGTGGAGTATATCATGGTACGGACGAGGGCACCTTGGTTGGTCTCGAATCCAGTCTTGATAACGATGGCCAACGCGCCTTTGTCTGGAGCTGGAGGTATTCCAGAAAGAACCTGGGGCACGGTCTCTAGTGCATCTGATGAAGCGGTGCCGTGTTGGACTTGCAGAACCTTTGTACCACCCCAAAGGAAGGCATTCTTGTCCAGGCCTTCAGGTTCTAATCTGGCATCCGAAGGCCGGAGCTGAATTGAGTCCTTCAAAACAGGTGTACTCTCGCCCGAAAGCATGGCTTCGTTGACAATCGCGCTGCCCTCGACGAGGAGCATATCGCAAGCAACACCGCTGTCCTCTTTTGTCCGGCTTACAGACACCAGGTCACCCGGGAGCAATTCGTCGCTCTTGGCTTCAATCCATTTCTTTTGCCTGTACACCCAAACATCGTATGGCTTAATGCTCATGCCACGAAATTCGGTCAAAGTCCGCTGCCGTTGCCAGACCACAGTGCTTTCGAAGACCACCAGCATGAAAAGCGTGAACAAGCTGTAGTACCAGTACTCGTCCAGCATCCACAACCCCACACAGAATATCTGGAAGACGAAGAAGGGCGCAACGGCATGCTCTTTGAAGAGTTCGGTGAATGTTGGCACTGGGATATCGAAGACGTTCTTGCCGTAGTACTGTTGCAATCTTTCGATTTCGTCGGCCTTCTCGAGGCCTTTTGATTGCTGATATGTGCCGATCGTTGGCTTCGGGTCTTGATCGATACCATATGACAGCGGCGCGAAAGTTCCCTTCTGTTCATCGTATAGGAATCGTCTCTTCTGGAACAAAAAGCTGATATTCTCCCTGCCTGAGACTCGCTCCTTCTCAATCGTACAAATCTCACTGGCACCAGCATTTTCCTCGGGTATGACCTTGATCAAGCCAGCGTCTCGCACGCTCTTTGCAGAAGTCGCAGTGAACCAGGCGCGAATGTTGACGTTCCAGAATGTCATCAACCATATCAGCGACTGCAGGCAGAAAATACTACCCGAGAAGACGAATGTCCATTCTTGACCCTGAATATACTGATCGTAGCTCTCTTGAGAGAGATAGAAGCTGAAGAAAATGGGCCAGAGGATGGCGAAAGGCCAGATGTAAGCGTGGAAGAAGAAGGGTATGGGATTATGTAGTGACGCCGATTTGATCGTCGGGTTATCGACGAGCGCTTTCGCCCTGCGTGCCATAGTCAGCGCTATATTTCTGCAGTTACCGAGTCGCGCTGGCAGCATACATGATGGCGGTCGAGAAGCGGAAGAGGAAGGAGGAAGGCGAATCCAAAAAGTCCCACGTATCTTCAGCGCTACATCACCGCGCGGCGAACGTCTACGCCGACCCTGCCAAGCCATGTCAATCACATCACGTGTGTCTTCTCTTCCTCCTCTCGACTCTCACTTCCAAATTCCATACTCATCGCTCGCTGCGGTCAGGCACACTGATGCTCCGTACTGATTTGGACTCGATGCCGTCGAAGCCACAGCACATACCGCGACCACGCCAAAACCCTGTATTGCATGCTCGAGCGCAAAGATGACAGCATTGCTCTCACGAGTTTGTCACCACAAGATGGAAGACAAGGCGAGGCGAGTGACAACACAGGTCCTGATACCGGGCGCACTGTACCAGCACTTCATGGATACGATTCCCCTCTTCAAGGCAGTAGTCCGACTCGGTCTAGTCTCCCCTGCACTGTAGACTCTTCGCGCACCCAGAATCGATGGCTCAGAACGTGTCTCGATGATTCCCGCGAGCGGGAGAACATCCTTCTCCAGGCCTGAACACCTGTTCCTCTCGAACGCTGAAGGCCTGGACAACGATGGCCATCAATCACTCCACCTTTCGTACACGAATTGCAGCTTCAACATCGCATTGGCTGCATACCACTTGCCGACTGCTTCAGCCTGCTGCGAATTCTGGACACTCGGCTACCGAGTAGTGATGGCCTGGCCAGAGACGTCCCAAGTCGCGAGATGCAGGAGCTATATGACGAAAATCTATCATATGATGCTCTGGCCCATGGCGGATGAGCGACCAAGGGATTCTGGACCACCCTCAAGATCATTGTTTGTTCTGCACTTCGTGATGCGAACCCTCTGTAGACTTCTTACATGTATGAAGCCACTGCTTACACTTCCCACATACGTTAGCGCCGATAAGAAGGGCTTTCTGCGGGACCGTTCGACTCTGTGACGATCAGGGTTCCACCGAGTCAGGACAGCTATCACCATCATATTTCCTGCAAATTGGCTTCTTCTGTCAAAATCACAAAACAGATTGCGTTATCGATCGACCAAGTCAGTCTATAGCCCGAATTGACAATCGACGTGGCACTGACATTCTTTGGTCATGCAAGGCGGCTCTAATGCCACTCGAAAATCATACGCACCTGGCTTCCGAGGATGCCCAGAGATGTCGGGTGAACGATGTCGCTGTGCCCACATTTCAGGAACTCTGTGCCTGGCGTTCCGTCTGAGCATGAGGTGACGGTCCGGGATCTTGTCACAAGATTTGTGTGGTCGGGCTCGGCACGCATTATTTAGACTCGACTCAACCATGGGTATGCCAGGCCTCTCTCTCTCTCCGTGCAGCCACCAAAATATCGTCCTTGATGATGGCCAGATGATCCGTATACCGACCGCGTCGTCGTCACATCATCACTTGAACAATGAATGGCAGCAGAATGCAGCCTCCAGGGTAGGTAGCAGCAGAATCTTTCCCGTTCGATGCAGCTTGCCGCCCTTGCTTCTAGTAGGCACCTTGCGCAGTAGGTTTAGAAGGGCAGTTGCGCTCCGTGCACGCGGCAGTGGCACCCCTTAGCGCCTCAACATGTGAATAAGCTCCGTGCAGTTATCCGTACGTAAAGGATTAAGTGAATAAAAGCACGGGTAACTGCACGAGCTCGTATAGTCAACCGTATACCCTTATATAAAGGAAAATACGCTAATTAGACCCTGCGCTAGGCCGTTAGTAGTTAAGTAAAGGAGTGTGCTAAATCCTTAGCTAAATAGCTTAAACCCTGTCTCCGCCTTCTATTAAATTTAGTTTTCTAGTATAGTAGCTATTACCTACTAGCTACTATATACTCCTTATATATATATATAAAGACGGTAAGTCTAGTAAGAGGTAGATAAAGGTCGCTAGGCGGCTGCTAAGGGTTATATAGGTCTAGTAGCCTATATACAATTACTCTAAGAGCTGTTATAGGAACAGCTACGGAGACCTCGGTAGAGAGTAATTATAATTAGAACTAGTCCGTACCTCGAGAGAGGTATATATTAGGCTTCTAAGAGCACTATAGATGCCTAGACTACCGTGTTTGTTAGCAAACTAGCCCTTCTAAGCATTATAGCGGCTCTAGTAACCCTAACACACACCCTGCCTAGTATTACTACCCTCCTTAATCTAGGTTTCGACTTCTCGCGGAGCGATCTATACCCTCGCTTAGGTCTATATATACTACTTGCTACCTTCCGTAACTATTATAGTTAACTAGTACTATACAGTCTAACCTATTACTTAGCAGCTAGTCTAGTTAATAGGCCTATTTCTATACTAATTAAGTCTGTTTCTACGCTATCTTAAGGGCCTGTTTTAACGCTAATCTAGCTAGTTTCTACGCTAATCTAGCTAGTTTCTACGCTAGTTACGGCGTCTGTTTCTACGCTAATTCTAGCGCTAGTTACTATACTAATTAGCGCTCTATCCGACAGTCAAACTAATAGCTAAACCTTAGTTAACTCTAGACCTTCTTAAGACGAGATTATTGCTACTTCTGTCGCTAAGGAGTATAGCAATATCCGAGTTAATAGCAATAGCTATGTCTCTTCGGACGGCGAGCTTACCCTTACTAAGGTTAGTGCTATAACAGCCTATAAACGAGTAACTAGCAAGGTGCGTAAGTAGAATAATAGCTTTAAGGCTATTATTCTTGCTAGTTAGCCGACAAGTAAGCTAACACTCGGTAATCTAGTAAGGGCTTATCGGGCTATAATTAAGCGCCGAGTTGTTGCTAGAAGACCGTTAGAAGCGGCTTCCGGTATAGTTGTTGCAGAGACTCTTTAAGACTAGCTTCTTAACTAGGCTATAGAGACACTATTTCGACTAGATAAGATATAGCGTAAGAAGGTATTAAATACTAAGGAATTAAGGGCATTTAACTACCCTACTAAGAATATACGTAACGCTATGCTATCGACGCTGTCTTAGCGCAATAACTAGACTCTAGCAGCGGCTCTAGCGGCGGCTCTAGCAGCGGCTCTAGCGGTAGCTCTAATAACGCCTATCTAGAGAGTAGAAGTTATCGACTTATCTACGCTAAGTACGGCCGATAGTAATACTGCTTAGCTTACTAAGCGTCGTCGCTTAGACTTCGAGTCTAAACAGCTTTAGAGAGGGTCGTAGGCTTAAGGAGCTATACTTAAAGAGGTACTATCGCCTATGTTTAATATACTAAGGATACTAGCTAAAGGCTGTAGCTTAAGACGTAGAATTAGATCGCTATTCGAGTCTTTAAGTGTCTCTATTATTAGCGCCGCTAGCGAGGCGCCGAATATACTAAGTCCTACTAGATTTGTAAGCGCCGGAGGCGACTTAAGCGCCGTAATAGGCGCGGCGGTAAAAGAGGTTAAATTAAAGATAGTATATTAACTTAATACTATCTAATCTAGTATTTAAGCCCTATAGGCGACGATAACTGCTTCGTTGCTATTAAGGCCGTTTCTATTGTCTTAAATAGAGCTTCCTTCTAATAATATTATTATAGGCAGTTAAACGGACTCGATAGATAACGACGATAATAGCGACGGCTTCGTAGACCTTAATACCCTCGACGATAAGGTATTCTCGTAGATAATTTAATATATTAGGTTAGTATTAGTATTAGGGTAAAGCAACTACAGTCTATCTTGTTATCGTATGTTGTAATTACTTAGTTAGTATCCTTCTTTTATAGCTACCTCTTCGAAATCGCAGTCTCGTTTAGTACGAGAGTGCTAAGACTGTTGTTTTCTATACAAATCGCAGGGTTTAAACTCGGTCGTAGAACGCGCTTTCGATCGCTAAGAGGGTAGCGTGAAATATAGTATATATCGTAGTATATAGCTCGAAGTGAGGCGGAAAGCCGACCTTTACTCGCTTAGTAAGCGGGCTTTAATCTTCTACGATTTACTACGCGACAACGTATAGGTCGTTTTCGTTCTTTTTTGGATTATTTAACGCACCGCATACTAAAGATTATAGGGCTAGTAATAGGTTAGAAAAATAGTAATGTTATTATTATATTTAAGGTCGTAAAGCATTATTTGCGGTATACTACGCGCTAGTACGGGTATACCCGTTTTCAACAGTTCTACTATCTTCTATTATTATTTAATCTATATCTATTATATTAACAACCTTAATCTTATTAGTCTTATGCTCTAGTACGACCGTACGACTATATCTAAACGAAACACCGCTATCGAGCGCCTCTTTACCTATATAGAAACCCGCTCTAAAATCCCTACTATAGCGTAGAAGGTTACCGTCGGCTAGTTAAGCTACTAGAGGTAGTAGTAGCGGCGGTAGATTAGCGAGGTACTTATACACACTCGGCGGCCTAGTTTTATATAGGCGGCTAATCTTGTTTCTACGATAACAAGTTAGGCAATTAGTAAGCAGTATTACGACTAAATATATAGCTCCGACCGGCATTAACTCGACTCGTAGGCTATAGAAGTACTTTATTAACTCGAAGTTATTAACTACCTTAGCAAACCCCTATTCTACCGACTGCTATATAGCACTTATTTCCTTAGCCGCCGTAGCCTCGCTAGTATTACGAAACTCGCTATTTACGGTCTTCTAGCTTCCTATAACGCTATCGACTACATTATATACCTAGTTACTATATAAGAATACCTGTTCTTCGAAGGGTCGTTATAGCTGTCTAGGTACCTCGAAATACGACTTCTATACCTCGTTAAATTTGCTCTCTATTATTAACGTTATATTACCGTAGGAGCTAGGTACTAGACTATATAGCAATATTATGCTATCTAGAAGAACAATGCCTTAATATTTAAGGCTATAGAAGTGCTTGTGTCTATTATAGAACGGCCGCTAGTTATAAGTCGGCCTATAGCACTTCCGTAAGGTGCTATCGATATAACTAAAGACACCCTTTATATTAATTAGTCTAGCTACCGCAACGGCTATCCGCTATAAGTATTCTTTACTTAGCCGGTTAAAGTCCTATACTAATCGCTCCTTCTATCTCCTTACTATTTAAGTATAGGCGGCATTAAATACACGACTAATCCAACCCTTACTACGACTAAAGGTCTAGCTTAGGTTCCTTTAATAACCCGGATTGCTAAGCCTTCTATATATAATATATAGTATTATTATAGGGTCGCAACGTATACGGTAAGGCAATATAATAGACCTAATATCTAGCAAATCGGCCAATTCTAATACCTATTGCTTAGTAAAGCGGAAGTTACCTTAGAAGTTAGCTTTAGGGTATGTTTCTAGTAACTATTCCTTGTCCTTTAGATATTCTCGTAGCGCTTTATATAGCCTATTGTTACGAGCCTGTCTATGCTAGTATTTACGCTTAGTCTTACCGTCTCGGCGTACCGCTAGATCTAGTAGATTATAGTCTACTTCGGAGGCTAATATAGCCGCAGTTGTTACTAGTATTCTACTATAGATAGCGACAATATCCTTGTTAGTTAAGAAGCCGTCCGAGTCGTATTCTTCTATAGTATAGCGTAGTAATTAACATCTAACCTATAGCACTAATTATAGTAAGGTCTACGACCCTAGCTGCCTCTTAGCACCGAGGTTGCTTACTAAGTAGTCTACTATAAAACGCTACCAAATTGCCTGCGTAACCTCATATAGACCGTTATCTATATTATTCACTTTCCGGCGCTAAAACGGCGCTATTCGCGGCTTCTTACATATGCTAAACGGCCGGAAACCTACTGCGCAAGGTGCCTAGTGCCGCGATTGGCTGCAGGTTGCGTTTCATATTTCACGCCCAATGTCCCTGCCACCTGCCAGCCAGCGCTCCAGTTGAAGTATCGACGTTTGACAGCCGCACAATTCGCTGCTGATTCGAGTGTCGATTCCTCCATCTTTCGCCCAAGTGCACAAACGGCCTTGAATGCTCCCTCGTCCACACTGCAAGGCATATAACCTCAGCGTACCTGGCAACTACCTGCTATAGCTTGCCGCAGCGCAGTGGGGTCAAATTTAGAACAACGCACGTTCTGCCGCACGCCCCAGTCGCTATTCTAATCCTCTGTTGATCTTGGGCAAACCGGTTTCAATCCACGACGCAGGACACTTCATCGACTTTGCTCGACCTTCCGTCGTTCCTGCCTGCAAATCTTGGGCAGCAGCAGCGTGTACATGCACCGCTTCTGCATTGCGAATTCGTCGCCAATCTTCGATACTAAAATAGCCTCGGAGGAGAGCAAGCACGACCCACGTCGCGACCAGCCTCGAGCCCGCCTTTCACGCAGCCTTTCGACTGTCGACATATCACCACACAGCCCACACCAGCGCGCGCTGTAGCGCCTTCTCCGCCGATTGAGCTGCGATCACGTAGCAGCCGGCTCGATGGGTGACTACGGGAAATGGCACAACTTTTGTCGCGACAGCGGTAGCGGGTATGCGACAATTCCAGTATGCAATCTGTTTCTGGAGTCGCGAGCAAGAGGAGGACAACCGCCGTACTTCGATGGATGTCAGCTCACCGGCATTAGCTTGAGCGGAGACGACAGACACCTTGCGAATTTGGGTAAGAGGAGACGTCACAACGTGCAATGGCACGGAGGATTAACATATGCCTAGGCTCGATACTGCTCTGCTTTATTGCGATACTGGCTTCGCTATTCCTGCTATGGCGGTCCGAACGGAAGAAGGCGGCGGTCGGCAGAAGAGAAATGCAATTCTTCCTCATGGGCTTCATCATAATCGAGATCTGCGAAATATTCACCGTCGGAGGATTTCCGCTTAATGGCGCAACACGAAGAGGCTTTTCCGCTGTCCACATCGCAGCGGTTGTGGCTACGACCTGGATTCTCTTGATGAATGGTGCAGTCGGATATCAGGTCATAGATGATGGAACTCCACTCTCACTGGCGCTCATTTTTGGATCTGCTGCTGCACTATTCATTGGCACTGGCTACATTGCACTCGATACAGGCTTCAGTTGGACGGGCTACTTTGACGACACACTGCGCGACCCGAACCAAGCCTACGCATTGTACACACTGTATCAACTGGTGCCGCTGGTGTTCCTGGTCGTATTCTTCGTGCTCGAAGCAGTTCTGGTTCTGAAGGTTTTGGGCGAGATCAGGCCTATGTGTAAGTCACAGACACTGTGTAGCATTCCCGAGCTTCCGCTGACTTGGACCAGACTTCCTTATTGGAGCTGCTCTGCTTTTCGCGATCGGCCAGATCTTCCAGTACGTGATCAGCGTGCATATATGCAACGGTACAGATGGCAAAATCAATGGTGGCTTGTTTGAGACACTCTTCACATTGCTTGCTGTCGTGACGATATGGGTCTTCTGGTCAAGTATAACGGAAGACGACTGGCCAATGCCTGCGACCGGAGCCGGCAGTACATATAACTAGGCGCCTTTTGGGTAATACGGGATAATGCTTCGTGTTTTAGCAAAGTCAGATCAGGCAGCTGGCAGTCCACAGCGCCGCTGTCATGCGTAGCTCATGGTCTTGATGACTGTTCGAGCGAGTTGAGCGTGCTTGTTGGACTCGCTGACGAGTCTACGAATCATGTTGTGCATAGCGTGTATGAGATACCTCCGAACGTTCCTATAATCTTTTCGACCGAATAATTTCGTTCCGTAAGATTCGATACATCCTCCACTGTTCTCGAACCAGCCAGCGTTTCCTGAGGCTCTGCTCTTGTGATCAAGCCCGCTGTTGATCTTGGCCCCGCTTTTCGTGACTTCAGGTTCGCTTCAACCTCGAATTCGACTTCTTTCCACTCGCATCGACATTCGTTCAGCGACCCTGCAGCAAAACAAGTGTTTCGGCAATCAATTCGCAGTCGGAGCTGATATCAAACATAGGAGCGTTCATATAGCGCTCTGATGAACTAGAACGTGGCGGCAAACGCGAGCCGGCGCGTTGTAGCTGCCGTCGAGATCACAGCATGGGGGCACTTTTCGAAGGCGAGTCAGACACTGACTCTGTCAACACCACTTCTACAGCCCTTAGTGAGGAGCATGATGTGTACGAGGTTGAGCACGTTCTTGCCGAAGAGCGCTCCATCGATGATGGTGAGACTCTCAGCCTGATGGAGTATGTACACTTCGACATGCTAACATACAAACTAGGCGTAATGAGATATCTGATTAAATGGGCTGGCTACCCGCTCTCGCAGGCAACATGGGAACCCATTGACCATATTCAAGGCGAAGAAATTATGGAAGAGTGGACTCAGCGTAAACAATTAGTGAGGGAAGGCAAAGCCAAGCCTTTCAATGTAGATGACTATGTTGCTGCTGTCGAAGAGGACATGGCTATAAAAGATGAGAAGAGCAGACGTCGCAAAGCTAAAAAGCGGAAGAAAGGCATCCAAGTCTCTTCCGACGACGAAGATGAGGGAGATGTCGGCGTTACTGGGCAATCCACGCCACTGCAAGAAAGACCCGCCAAGCGCTTGAAGGCCTCGTCACCTATCAGACGGAAAGGCGTCGCTCAAAAATTGGAAAGGAGTCGTGCTCAGCGATGGCATTCAGTATCTTCGAGCGAGGAGAGTTGTGACGAGGCCGAAAGCTCGGGAGGCGACTCGTTAGCTGAAGAGCTGGCATCCAGATCCGAAAACAGTCGCATGAAGCAGAGATCTCCAATAAAAGGTTCAGCATCGGCGACAGCATCTGTGCCAATTCCGGCTCGAACGATCAAGAGGCCAGCATCTGTTGCAAACCCGACACCAGCACCACAAGCCACGATGCCGATTTCGAGACCAGCAGAGAATACGAAGACGATACCAACAACGGCTAGGAAGAGCGCACCAAGCACTGTCGCCACACAGCAGTCTTTGGGAACAGCAAAGAGGACTTCTAAAAAGAACATAATGTCTAATTGGGATGCAGACGCAAAGCAGAGAAAGAGGCGAGCTGGAGGTGAGGGAGCACCGAGCGCATTCAGGAATCTAAAACACCAAAACAACTCCTTGAAATTTCGTGCAACAGAACCCGCGCCGGACATTCAGAACCTTGTCGTACTGGATCCGAAGACTGGAAAGGCCGTGGCCCCCAAACTTGCAATATCTGAAACGACTTCGCGATCAGCATCGCCGACAAAGTTGGTGACGCCGGTCGATCCGTCTGGAAATATCCAGGCGGTATATGGTCGCAGAACACCCCCTCCTGCAGCAAGACAGAGGACTGTGACACCTCCTTCTCCAGATCCAATAACCTCGACAGCGCCGCCAAACGATACTGCTGGAAGGCGCGCTTCGGCAGCTGCAGTCACCTACGGTCCGAAAACAACTTCAACTCGGCCACAGCTGCAAATTTCCCAATCCGCTTCTTCTGTGCACAATTCAAACTTGGCAGGTCCAACTGTACCACCGGCCTCTTCGACGTCCAGTGAGTTTCCCAGCGCATACTTCAGACGATCACCGGCACCAGTGTCGCAACAGCGCCCTCCTTCGTCACCTCCAGAACCAACCTTGGCACGCCCGGGGGACGACAAATGGCAGATCGAGACTTGCAGATACTGGTTGGCAGGGAACTGTCTATACGATGAAAGAAGCTGCAGATTCGCTCATTGGCACATTGCCGAGAAGCCGGTAGATTTCAGACATCTGGCCAACAAACAGAAGACTTGCTACTTCTGGAAGAGAGGCGGCTGCAACAAGCCGGAAGAACAGTGCAGCTATGCCCACCGCGATACAGGTATAGATGCTTTGCCACCGGGTCAAATGGAGTTTGCTGCGAAAGACCTTCGGCCTCATCACGACCCTGGCGAATCTAGTGAGCAATCACCTGCAAAGGTTGTGACCTGCTACTACTGGAAGTATGAGACTTGCAAGAAGCTAGACTGGGAGTGCAAATTCGCGCATCGCGACACCGGCGTTGTTGCTCCGCCGCCTGGAGGTTATAAGAATGGCACCAGGCAGAACGATGGCTTCAACGCTAATGAGATTCCTTTGGGTGTCCGCCCTACAGACGCTTTCGCGAGCGTGACGCCATATGGAAAAGCGCCGCTGCATATACCCGTTACAGACGCTGTTTCGGTTGCACAAGAACCTTCGACCGACCCAAGGCTGCGTCAGGCGAGAGTCTCAACGGACGTGCCACCATCACATCTATCGGACGCCTCACCTATGCAATACACTTTGTCACCTGTTCATATTGGTAATGACCAAGACCATGACCGTTCTCTGTCAAAAGAAAGCTCTATACGAGTCGACTCTATCCAACGTCGACCAAGGCTGCCTACAGTGACTGTAAAAGCTATGCTATCTCTTCTATTTGCACCGAACAACCATCCAATCTCTGATTACGTCAAGCTAGAGACATCAGATCCAGAGGGGTTGGCAAGGGTGGCTGGCACTGAACCGACTTTACGGGTCGAGAGCGTGGTCATGGCTGCTGATGTCGAGTACCTTCTCTGGGAAGAGAAGATACGCCCGCTTCAGCACACTTCTGGTGGCATAGCGCCTTACACATTTGGAGATGTCGATGCTCTTACGGATCTGTGCAGACTACACGCGTGTGGCTTGATTGCACGGCCTGACGGCTACAGTTCAACGATGCTCATCTATCCAAGCAACGCTGAGGACTGGAAGTTTGTTGACTACGACAGCCCCTCTGTTTCAGCCGAGTGTGTTCTTCGCTTTCGCATTTTCCAGCAGCTTTCTGCGCTCGACTTCACCTCGATCGCATCGCTGCCCGGTCTGGACTCGGAAAAGCCAAAATATGCAGCACGTGTCGGAGAAGATCTTGCAATGCTCGATCGAGAAGTCTTCCTTCACGGCGATATCAGGACGGTGTTCTTGATGATCCCACCGGGCGACGAACTTGAGGTGTACAGAGCGTTCTTTCATGATCTGGAGTGTAAAGTATATCATTCTGGAACTCAGGGCGCGTGGGAATACTTCAAAAAGAAGAACCAGAAGCTGGCGGTGTTTCTGCATGCAAGCGTGCCAGTGTGGCGAGTGCCCGATCTCCACCACTTTCTAGCGTCCAACAGCGCTACAATTTTCTCGGTTGGGCATGATCAAATTATGCCTCGCGCCGAACTGGACTCCCTCGATCGCAGCTGGACTCGGTTGTTCCCGCTCGGCAGTGTTCTGTTCATCACAGACGACATTCTCGTATGTCATCCAGAAAAGGCAACGGAGATCATCGACGCTTACAACAATGCGCATAGGCGCAAGCCGGAAGGCGGCGAGTTCTCGAAAATCGCTGCTAGACCGGGACTCAAATCCTTTTTGAGGGCTATCGCGTGGCAGACGTCAGATGCCCGCTACAATGAGCTCTACAAAGCAGTCTGTACTCTGTGTCCTCCTTCGGCCGAAGACCAAGCTGGCTCGGGCAATCCGTCATCAGAATCCAACCTGATTTCCGTCAACCCGGATCTGCTTCCGAGTTTTCAGGGCATATGGGAGAAGGATCCAAGGACAGCGACTAATTTCATGGTGGATTGGTTTGCTGGGTGGTCAGCATTGAATGCGACGAGATACAGGAAGTTTACGGTCTGCTATGAGCCGAAAGTTGGCACTGAGGAAGGCGAAGTTGTTGAGCATTCAAGCGTAGACACGGCTGGCTGGACCTCCAAGTATCAGCATCTTGGAGTCGTGACTATTCAACAGGCTATTGCGCAGTTTTCTAAGGCTCGTGATAAGAAGCGGTAGGCTCGGGAAGGATTAGCTATAGATATAGCATTGAGGTTACATCAAATAAGCAGCATTTCAGCGCCGAAAGACGAGCCGATCCGACCCTCCCAACCTCCTTCCACATGCCGTACTGGAAAGCCGTTGGTTGCCGACGTCACATCATTGAACCGGATTCTCAAAGAATTGAAGTATGTATCAATGGCACAGTCTTTCAGCACCCACAACCGATATTCCCCTTGCTCTACAGCAAAACATCTCATCATGGACCAGCAAAAATTGAAAGCATCTTTCCCACCCACCACCGCAGCATCAAGCCTTGACCTCCCCATCCCCAACTTAAATCTCGACTTTCGAATGTCTGTATCTTTGAACCCCAAAATCTCATTAGGAGACTCCGGCCCCTGGGGTGCAAGGAACTGGATCTCGTTTCATGGTGGTACTTGGTCCGCATCATGGGGTTCAGGAAGCGTGGAAGCTGGAGGTCAAGATTCTCAGATCGTGAATCCGGAAAGTCTGTACACCTACGTAGAGACGAATTATTTGCTCAAGACGAATGATGAGATTCCGGCGTATATTGCTGTGAAAACGACGGGGTAAGGAAGGAGTACTACCCCGATGGATGAGATATCATTACTTATCTTTGATGTTAGGTGGAGGACGGGGCCGAAGGGTGTGTTGGAGAGGTTGTTTGATCCGGAATTGGCGGATGCGGTTGATGCGAAGGAGTATAGTTTTAGACTTCATGTGAGGTTGGAGACTGGGGATAGTAGGTATGCGGAGAAGTTGAATACGGGGATGTGGATTGCTTCTGGGGCGAGGAGGGGGAAGGAAGGTGAGTAGTCAGTCAGGTCTGGGGGTTTGTTTCGAGGTCTCCGGGCTGATTTGAAACCTTCTGCCAGTGATATATGATGCCTATCGGGTCGTGTGAGACCAGTGCGGGAGTTTTGCATGCTGCCTCGGTCTTTGGTTGAGGACGCTTGACTGGAGCGATGGCCAGGCTTCGTGAGAAATGACGATGGCTATCGGAATTCTGGGAGCCGCTGCAGAATTGCCGGTTTGGTGACATGTACAGAGTCGTTGAACTTCGCTGAGGATGAAATGTCCGTTGCTGCTTAGAATGGCTGATGTTCGCTGAGAGTTGCCGAAAGGTCCTCAGAGATACTAAAAGACACCTAGAGTCACTCAACATGGATTCGGAGTGCGTGTCTCCAGCAGATCGTTCAATAGAAGCACGTTTATATCCCCATTTTGCGTCGAAGGGTTTGAGCGTCGATCTATACGCCGTTTAGCAGTGTCCCGGCTTTAAATGCGAACACTCGCACAAGGTAAGTCTTATGTCTTTCGCTTTACATGTTCCCTGGCACAATCTGTATGCGCATCGTCGCTTGGGCACGAGGATGGTACCCGGTACGACATCCGCGTGACGGTGTTCTTGCAAGCATGTCGGTGCACAAAAGAAAACTCTCCTGTGTGTGGATATCTTTGCTTTTTAGAGTGCAGGTACCTCGCTCTTATCTACAATTCGTGCCCATCCCATCTATGATCGCTTGAAACCCACACATCGTACTCGCATCTAGAATGGGTTGTCCTCGGGTGGAATCTCGGTCACGAAGTAGCCGCCGATGAAAGGGAGTTTGGAGAGGATGTCGTGCTTGACCTTTGGCACGGAATCGAGGAAGAAAATGGCGCCAACGCCTGCAGCAAGGCCGAGAGCACCAGCGACAGAGCCGCTGAGAAAGCATTAGAATGTGTCGGCAGTGTGGAGGCATTGGGAACGTACAGATACATGGCCTTCCTGGCATCTACGCCGTAGATGTGTTTCGCGATCTTGTACCTGCGCAAAGCGTTAATACAAAACGTACACTCTCCGGATCAGTGTTGGCAATCTTACTGAGGTCCATATTGCGACTTGAAGGTGTCGTACTTGACGGGTTTACGCCACGGGTGGGTTCCTGGGGCGCCGCTACGACACCGTCAGCATTTGCCTGCTGCCTGCGCGGCGAGTGTGCGCGCATACCTCCTCCAAAGACCAGCACCGCCCTCAAGGGAGGGGATAGTGTTTCTTAATCTCCAAGTGGCCCTCATGGTGTGCGATGCGTGGTGTCAATGGCAAAAGTGCAGAGGATCGGAAGTCGATGGAGGTGACGGAGAAGGGCAATATCCAGCCAATCACAACGCCAACGTTGTTTGCAAGGGTATTCTATCGCCTAGAGGCTAGAGCCTCGCGTGAAGCCGTGGCTGCGATTGCGCATGCTTCTTACACATAATTAAGCCTCGCTGAAAAAGCCATCCTAGCCTGCTCGCGACATACGAGATGGTTCCGGACAGGTGCTGGCGGCGAGGACATGGAACATACGTCCAACAGCTCCTCGAAAGTCACCGGTACGTGCATATGATATGCGGCCTATGCCAGGCTCCCAGCTCCCAGCATGCGAATGGGAAGCTGTACCACAAAGCGCAAAACTGAGCATCGCACACAGTCGAGTATCATGACCCTTCTGGAGTATTCCCCCTTGTCTCGCGCGATATCACGGCGCGTTTGCCTCTGCGCAACTTGAACTGGCAGTCACCGCCCCGACCGTTGCGCCAAATCAGATCGCTGCATGTAGACTTTGTGCCCGACAAGTACACGCAGAATCACCTTCGCCCGCCTGTGTCGCGCACCGATTCCGAAGATCCTCAGACCAGCCTCGATATCGTTCGAAGCGGTGCCACAAATGCAGCCAGGAAGCGCAGACACCAGATTCCTGGCTTCAGAACGACTCCCTTCTTGAAAGTTTATGTTCTACGATGCGATGATAAAGAGGCCTACAAAGACAGCGATCGCAAGAAGATCCGGGAATGGATTCGAGAAAATGCCCAGCCAGAGGGCAAGCAGAACCACGATGCATGCGAGTGGTTGATTCTCCATGTGGTCATTCCAGATACTATCGCCGCCAGCGAGCCAAGGTGGCGTGAGAGCAGCAAAGATCCTGACGATCTAAAAGAACGTAAAGGTGGCAACAAGCTCATTGGAAAGAGTACGCGCACAGTCTTCGACAGACTGCGTGCAGACTTCAACGAGTCTTCGAAATCCAGCTTCGATCGAGTAGCACAGCTTCGAATACCAAAGAAAGAGGCACCGGGAGACCTGCTACCTACGCCTGCCGTCGCGCAGACCCTTGAAGAAACGCCCCAGGAACGGGAGAACGCATGGAGTGACCTGATCTCCAAGCTGAAAGCGCTTCTCCTTGGGTCGTTCGATAAACGAGTGCGCCAATATGAAGCCGACATTGCAGAGCAAGAATCCCGGAGATCATTGCCTGGCTGGAACTTTTGTACTTTCTTCGTCCACAAAGAAGGCCTGGCCAAAGCGCTGGAGAGCATTGGCTTGGTCGAAGATGCTCTGGCTATATATGACGAGCTTGCACTCGGCTTAGAGACTATCCTTAGAGACATGGCAGCGGGACAAGCAGAAGGGACAGCAACCAGTTTTGCAGCATACACTGATGATATCAAGCAACGGATACGAGGCCCATCACACACAACTACAAATGGAAATCACAACGTCGCGAGTGACGAATCTGCTTCTGCAGCAGTGCTATTCGATAAAGATTATCGCGAGGAGATTGTGAGGAGTAACATCTCAGTATTCGACTTCTTGTGCTATATCTTTGTGCGACAAAAGACATTGATCCTGCGATTAGCGAATGCCCAGTCCGCTCGCGCGGCTCTAGGTGCACCACGCGAAGGCGGCGAAGATTTGGTTCTTACTTCTGAGCTGTGCTGGCGGGCTTCAAGCTTTCTCCATAATGCCGCGAGAACACTTCGAGAGGACCTGATTCAGGGCCTGCGGGACGAAGATGGTGAAGCCAAAACACTCGAGATCGAGAGCCTTGTAGGCTCATGGACATGGACTGTCGCCAGTCAGATACTTGCTGACACGGCAGTACCTGCGCTGATGGATCTGACGAAGTCCGGAATCCAGAGTCCATCTCAATTACCAAATGGGAACCTCAAGCGTCCTGCGCTCAGCATGGGACTGGGTGCTAACACCCACCCTCAGCGGACTTCCAGTCTCCCAGACTCGAAAGCAGCCGCAGCACTGATGCGTCCGCCGACTAGAAGTCTTGCCCTTGACGATACCGCTTCTGTGAGCAGTGACGGACATAGTGACTCCGCCAGGGTCGGCGGTCTGCCAGGCCAAGCTGAGCTTGCGACTTATCGTGCTGAACTGATTTTGATGCGGCGCAAAGTACTAGAGCAGCTAGCTTGCAGACGGGGTTGGTATGCAGGATGGGCTTTTGCCAAACACGCCAAGCAGGACACGACGAAGGAGGTTGGCCTCGATGACACCGTTCAAGAAAATCCAGATCTCGAGAAGCAGGCGCGCACAAACCAGGCCTTAGGCCCGACATTGATCAAGCCGCTGGAGTCCAAAACCACTTTCGAAGCCGAATATGAGGGCTTGACCGAATTAGCTATCAAGCACTATTTCACAGCAACGCAGGGTAATTCCGCGAGGGTGCTACTTGGAGACCTCGCTGTGCTCAAATGCCAACAGGATGACTATCTTACTGCGGCCACGTACTTTGAAAGCATACTATCGCCCTATACTGAGGAGAGCTGGAATTCGATGGAGCTTGTAACTCTGAGCACATATTCGTACTGCTTGAAGCGACTTCTTCGCAAAGACGAATTTGTTCAAACGGTGCTCGCCTTGCTAGCGAAAGTCTGCGCTAAATGCAAAGAGCACCGGTTGCCACGAAAGCACCCACGCGCGATCAGCACTTCTAGAGATGAAGGGATAGAGACTGCTGGGATGTTCGTTGAAGCTGTTGATACTTCCGAAGAGCTCCAAGAAGATGTGACGCAGCCACTGAAGAAATTCTTCAGCGACGTCAAGCTGGATCGTGAAATCAAGCATTCCGAGAGCTGTGACGCATTCAGTCTCTTCCTGGATCTGCGACAGCTCCTCGACGATGGCATGGAATTCGATGAAGCAAAAGTGCGTCTGGTCAGCGTAAGCGACTCAGCGCAAGAAGTGTGGCTCTCGAATTCTGCACCCGTTATGCTAACGCCTGGAATGAACCAACTTGAGCTTCGGGGGAGCACGGTTTCGTATGGTGCCTACCTCATCGACACGATCGTGCTTCGAGCCAAAAAAATACGTTTCGTCGAAGAAGTGCGAGCGAAGCCTGACCCTACTCCACTTGGCATCACTGTCATCGCGCCCACGACTACCATAAGGGACTCGTCTAAGGCACCGCCTTTCGTGTTTCTCTATCCAAGAGAACATGCATTTGATGCGCAGATGAGAAGATCCAGCGATATCCACATCGAAAAAGCGCGCCACTTTGAGGTTGTACTAAGCGCAGGACAGAACGAGATTAACAGCATCTCGATTCGACTCAAGCCTGCCTCTGCGGGGCTTCGCTTACATCTTGCTGACGCAAAAGCCGACGGAATTGCCATTCAAGCAGGAGAGAACAAGCCTGGGATGATTGGGCTTGCGGCATTGCCTGCTGGTCAGCAAGGGACGATCACCGTACCTTATACGACTGAGCATCCTGTCAAGGATATCATGGTACGGCTTGAGGTTGAATACACAACGAGTGATGGGACCTTCACCTTCCTGCAATCCGGGAAACTGCCCAATGAGCTACCTCTCGATGTTGATGTCAACGACATCTTCCAGCTGGACACGCTGTTCTCGAGTTTCACTGTCCGTACAACTGGTCAAACGCCATTCATTGTGCTGGACGCCCAACTAGATGCGTCTCCATTATACGCGGTCGAAGCGCCACCAGCGCTCCCTTTGCCACTTCCAGTGTTTCAGTCGCAACCGATGGATCTAGTTTACAAGATCACGCGCGCTACATCCGAGGACAAAGAGGTTCTGAAGCGAGACGCTGCGCTAGCACTTGGCGTACGTTATCTTCCGCTCGACGAGCTATGCCTGAGTTGCTTGCGGCAGTCATTCGTGAAAGATCTTCAGCAAAGTCAGTTCTCGGGCACACATCGCCTTTTGGTGCCACTCTTGCTCGAGCGTGCGCGACGATGCGTCCACGCTGCGGATCTTGAGATGGCTGCACTCATGGGAGAAGCAAAGATACCTGATTTTGACGCAATCGGCTGGAACGAGGTCATTGCAACGTTGTCTACCAAGGTTCGGCAACCTTTGGAGGATTGGTTGAGGCAATGGCATGCGAACCATACAATACTCTCCCTTGCTGATGCCGATGGCACCGTGGCACAGCGGATCACCATCTCAGTTGACGTGCCGAACGTCGACATGGTGTTTAGCACCGCACTCGACCTTGCAGAGCCTCCTCTGTCACGCGTCCACGATCCGCGTATCTTGACGCTTGGAAGTGCGGTCAAGGCATGTGTGAGAGTGAAGCAAACCGGCGATTGGAGTGCCAAAAGCGTCTTTCCGAGTGTGCCCACCTTCAAGATGGAAGGAGAAGTCGAATGTCCGTCGGGTTTTGTCATCGATGTCGGGACGGAGGCGGACACTTGGTTGGTTGGAGGGCAGCGCCGTTGTCACTTGGTTCCAGGAGATGGTTCGGACTACACATTCGACGTGCTACTGGTGCCACTGAGGCCGGGACTTCAGCCGCTGCCAATAATTGAAGTACAGCAGGAGTCGACAGACTTGGAGTTTGCTGGGCATACGGCCGAGTGTGCAGGACCATCTTGCGAGAGTCACTGCGAGACTGCTGGAAAAGTTGTTCGGGTGGTTCGCGATGCCAGGAGTGCAAGAGTGCATATCATGGAGTCATGGTCAGCAGGGAGCCAGTTGCCGTCGTCAAGGCCAGGCACGGCAACGTCGAAGGGCGCGCAGTGAGCAGTGAAGACGATACAAACGGGTATGATTCCAGAAAGGAAGTGACCGATGGATGATTCAGCGAGCATTGACAGGACAGGTGGGCGGAGTCAGGTCTCCGAGCTTAGTAAGAGATAGCCCAATGCATGCCGTTCCTCGTACAGCTCAAGGCAAGGACGTGCGTCTCAATGCGTTCGCTCGGTCTCGCGAGCGCAAAAAGAAAGTCGAAGTCGTCAGAACAGGGCGGCCTGACGGAATGCGTCGGGCACAGCGTCAATTGGGGAGAGAGTCGGTCGTCGTGCGCTGTCTGCCTTTGTCTTCTGCGAAGGATAGCAATGGCGTGCTTAGGACTAGCCAGGCTCACAGGCTTGGATTGGCTGACGCGTGAAGCCGTTCGAGCTTGCACTTTTCAATTCGCGTCCGAGGCGGGGTCGATCACGAAATATTGTAGCCATTAAACTGTTTCCACCATACAGCAGTCCACCGTCTGGCAACCTCAATTCCGCAACTGCTGCTATCCATACGCTGCGGGAAAAGAAGTTGAAGCAGCCCAACCCTTTGACAGCACATGCGAGCAAAATCTCGTCTGCAACAGCTCTCAGAACACATTGGCAAAGTGAGCAGCCTGCACAGTAGTGACCATGACCCGGTGAGCTTGCTAACATTCGCGCGTAGATGGCAGGCCAGGACCTCGCACCGAAATTCGAGACTCTCCAGCTCCATGCTGGCCAAGATCCAGATCCAACCACGAAATCACGAGCCGTACCAATCTATGCAACCACTTCATACACCTTCAATGACTCGGCACACGGAGCCAGGCTTTTCGGCCTGAAAGAGTTTGGCAACATCTACTCGCGCATCATGAATCCAACGGTCGATGTTTTCGAAAAGCGCATTGCTGCTCTCGAAGGCGGCGTGGCTGCTCTTGCTGCATCTTCTGGCCAAGCCGCTCAGTTCATGACTATTGCCGCCCTTGCACACGCCGGAGACAACATCATCTCCACCTCCAACCTCTACGGAGGCACCTATAACCAGTTCAAGGTCTTCATGCCAAGGCTCGGGATTCACACCAAGTTCGTCAACGGAGACGATCCAGCTGGCTTCAAAGAGCTCATCGATGACAAGACGAAGGCCATCTATGTGGAATCCATTGGCAACCCAAAATACAACATCCCAGACTTGGAAGAAATTGTCAAGGTCGCACATGACGCAGGCATTCCCGTCGTAGTAGACAACACATTTGGTGCTGGTGGCTACTTCATTCGTCCAATCGACCATGGTGCAGACATTGTTGTTCACAGCGCGACCAAGTGGATTGGCGGCCACGGAACCACAATTGGTGGCGTGGTGGTTGACGCAGGCAAGTTTGATTGGGGTACTCCACAGGCACGAAAGCGCTTCCCACAGATGAGCGAGCCTTCTGATGGATACCACGGACTCAGGTTCTGGGATACATTTGGTCCAATCACTTTCATCATCCGCCTTCGAGTCGAGATTCTCCGTGATCTTGGCTCGTCATTGAATCCATTCGCTGCTCAGCAACTCCTCCTTGGTATCGAGACTCTCAGCTTGCGTGCAGAGAGGCATGCGGAGAATGCGCTCAAGCTTGCCAAATGGCTGGAGAGCAACGAGAACGTTGCGTGGGTCAGCTATCCAGGGCTCGAGAGCCACAAGAGCCATCAGCTTGCTAAGAAGTATCTTCCAAGAGGCTTCGGCGGTGTTCTGTCTTTCGGCGTCAAGGGCGGTGGCGTTGCTGGTAGCCAAGTCGTCGATGGCTTCAAGCTGATCTCCAATCTGGCAAACGTTGGAGACTCCAAGACTCTTGCCATTCACCCATGGACTACGACCCACGAGCAGCTCAGTGACGACGAGAAGATTAGCAGCGGTGTGACTGAGGTCAGGTTGTTCGATATTATTCAGGTCAGGGTTCAGCGCTAACATGCACTGCAGGATCTCATCCGTATCTCAGTCGGAACCGAGCACATCGACGACATCATTGCCGACTTCACGCAGTCCTTCGCGAATGCCGCGACAAAGCCAGAAGAGAAGGGCGGAGACGCAGCAGTGACGGGTGATGCGAATGCCCCCACGAAGATCGTCGTCTAGTAGTTATTAATGACTGCCATCAGGTCAAGGTCAGCAACGTTGATACCCCAAAATTAGAACGAATTGCATGCATTGAGAGCACATTCTTCTGCCGTTCTTTCATCGACCATCCTCTCCGCTCGGAGCCGAAGATGAAGCTTTTGAGTGCGCAGGGCTGATTCCCTGTGAGACAATCGGTGTGGCTAAAGAAGGTGCAAGTGCAACATTCGATCAGATCTTGCACCAACAACACGAAGTCGCAATGCCGACAAGATGGTGCCTGCCCGTCGCAAGACACTACTGTCGATGCAAAGGACCATCGATCTGCCGTTCTGTAGTAGCAGCAGTGAAAAAGAATGATTTGCCTACGCTCTCCACATGATGGAACTAGCCAGGGTTCTCGACCCTAGAATACAAAGCGGCAGGACGCCGTGACTTTTCTCGTTCATGCACTCCTTTCGCACTCAATAAAGCAGTCTTTGAACGTTTAATGAGACTTGTAGAATGGGAGTGCACACAGAGGAGGAGAGGAGAGACAAAAAAGAATGCTCCTCAGTCGTCGTAAAGACAGGGGCCGTGGTTGGCCACCCAGCCACTGTTCTACTAACACGTGCGATCGAATATGGGAATAATGATTAGGTGCGCGGGTCGGTGGGACTACTGCTTTGGGTGAGGACCGTGAGGCTTTCGCAAGGTACCGAGGCGAAATGCATCGTGAGAAGCAACCAAAGCCAAGCCAAGAGCAGGAGCGAGGAGGTATCGTCACCGTCACAAGAGATCAAGTGATGCTCTTTCCCACATCTCTCCTCTTCCCTCCCTATTCTTCCTATCAAACTTCCGTTGCACTCCTGTTCTTCCTATCAAACTTCTGTTGCACTCCTGTTGGCAAGTGCTTTGAGCCGCAGGCATCCTAGAACGACAACATATTTCTCCACAATAATGTACGTACGTCCGCTCCTCCAACAAGCATCGTCGGTGACGCCGATGCTAGCTATCTTGGCTATGGCTGACACTCTCTCTTCTCCGCAGAGAAGCACCATACTCTGCATACGGGCCATCTGCGCAATTGTTCATTGAAGTGCGACTTCTCACAACAGCTCCTACGAAAGCTGGAATCTTGACCATTCCCGTGGCACGGCACCGCACTCGGCATCGGCATCCTCGTTGCCTGCAGCTGTCCGCCCGGAGCTAGACACCACAGTCCCGCCGCAGCAAACATGGCTCCAAGCTTGCTGGCGCTCGACAATGCTGCCAAACAAATCCCTCCTCCTCCGCCAGGAGCTCCATACTCGGTTTCAGTGCCAGGCAGCAAGCAAGACGGCCGCAGCGCCGTATACAGACATTGGAGACAAAAAGATGGCATCATGTACTCCCTCGACCCGTCCATCACGACCGCGCATGAAATGTTTGAACAGTCTGCAAAACGCGTCCCAACAAACAAGTGTTTAGGACATCGACCTTACGATCCTGCCACCAAGACTTGGGGCAATTATGTGTGGGAGAACTATGCGCAGATTCAAGAGCGGAGAAAGAACTTTGGTGTGGGTTTAGTTGCTTTGCATGAGCAGGTGGGCAAGCAAGGGAGACAATATGGTGTGGGTTTGTGGTGCCAAAATAGACCTGAGTGGCAGATCACGGATCTTGCGTGCATGTCCCAGAGCCTTTTCAGTGTTTCGCTATACGACACGCTGGGCCCGGATGCTTGCGAATACATCATCAACCATGCCGGTCTGACTGCTGTATGCTCGTCTGTGAGCCATATTCCAACTCTGATCAAGCTTGCTCCGAGATGTCCGTCTCTCAAGCTGATCATCTCCCTGGACCCGCTTTCTATCGAGGGAGAGCTTCCAGGTACATCGAAGAAGGATCTTTTGAATACCATGGCAGCGCAGCATGGCATTCAGATCCATGAGATTAAAGAGGTGGAAGCAATTGGTGTCAAGTCTCCACGACCATACCACCCACCTCGACCAGAGGACACTGTCACGATCAACTACACTTCCGGTACGACGGGAAATCCCAAAGGTGTCATTCTGACCCACGCGAACGCTGTATCTGCAGCATCAGCATCCCTTTGCATTTGCAAGCAACAAACCAACGACTCCATCTGCTCTTATCTCCCGTTAGCGCATATTTTCCAGCGAGTTACCGAGCACTCATCACTTTGGGCGGGTGTCGCCATTGGCTATTTCCATGGAAACATTCTGGAGCTTGTGGACGACTTCAAGCTTGTTCGACCAACTGCATTCACCTCTGTACCACGTTTGTACAACCGATTTGGAGGGGCGATCAAGACCCAGACTATCGAAGCTCCTGGAATTCGAGGTGCCATGTCCAGACATATCGTCAACACCAAGCTTGCGAATCTGACGGAAGCGGCCCCAGGCAAGGCCACAAACCAGCATTTCCTTTACGACCGCATTTGGGCGAGAAAGGTCTCGGCTGCTCTTGGTCTTGATCGCGCGAGGACGATGGTCTCTGGTTCAGCTCCCATCGATCCATCTCTGCACCAATTCTTACGTGTGGTTTTCGCAAACAACTTTTACCAAGGTTATGGTCTGACTGAGACGTACGCCATCGCTCTCGCGCAGCTGGAAGGTGACTTCAGTGCCGGCAATTGCGGTGCTGTCACACCAACGACCGAGCTCTGCCTCCTGGATGTTCCCGACATGGATTACTTATCGACCGATAAACCAAATCCTCGTGGTGAGCTGCTCGTGCGTGGACCAACCGTCTTCAAAGAATATTTCAAGAACCCAGAAGAGACCCAGAAGGCCTTCACTGAAGATGGTTGGTTCAAGACGGGCGATATCTGTGAAGTCGACGAAATGGGCCGCTTCAGGATCATTGATCGGAGAAAGAACGTCCTGAAGCTTGCGCAGGGAGAATACATCTCCCCCGAGCGCATCGAGAACGTATACCTCGGCAACCTCCCATATCTGGCACAAGGCTACGTTCACGGCGACAGCTCACAAGCGAACCTCGTTGCGATCTTCGGTGTTCAGCCGGACATCTTCGCTCCATGGGTTGGTAAGGTCATCGGCAAGAATGTCGATGCGACGGATCTCAAGGCCGTTGAGGCTGCGGCCGCGGACAAGAAGGTCCGAAAGGCTGTGCTGAAAGAGCTTCAACGCGTGGGTAAAAAAGCTAAATTCAACAGCTATGAGCACGTCAGAGCTGTGAGATTGATGCTCGAGCCGTTCACGATTGACAATGAGCTTTTGACTCCAACGTAAGTTGTTCTTATCCTGCACGTTCGAAGCACACGTTTGTTTGCTGACATTTTTTCCCGCGCAGTCTGAAACTCAAACGTCCTCAAACAGCGAAGCTGTATCGTTCGACCATCGACGAAATGTATTCTGAGATCGAAGCTGAGAGCAAACCCAAGGCACGACTATAAATTCTCTGGGTGCCTGTCGATCTTCGACCGATTTTTGTTCCATGTATAGTAGTGGTGTTGTTGAAAAGTGCGAAGTATGGATTGAACAGAGTCAAATTTGTATGAAAGAATGCGCCGTACAGATAGGCAAAGGCAAAGATAGATGTATATATACTTGGAGATTTATTACTTGTGAGACAGTACCTAGAGAGGAGGAGGAGGAGTACATCGCGTTCTCCTCTGGCCGCATTATACGAGCATGCAAGTCCACTTACTTGCTGGCCAACATGCTGGCTGCCTAAGATGGTAGCCAATCTTTGCCCGAAGAATTGCTCGTCGAAGGCATGCATAGCAATTGTATGGTCTCGGGCGTGGGACTCCGTGAACGATGTGACCAAGACCAAGTCACCAAGACCAAGCAAGTCGTGGCGCTCCACGGATGCCAAAGCCGAGCATGTAGGCCGCGTCGCTTTGCATGGCTGAGATCATGTTCGCAGGAAATCTTGTCGAGAACATGTTCTTGCGCCAGCGAGGGTGGCACGCACAACGCAACGCGTGGCGTGGGGTCGTTCAGCTATACAGGGTGTGGTGTGGTGCTGCGCAGTGTACTGTACATGTCAAGGATGACGGCATGGCGCTTTTGAAGAGGAGTTCTTTGTGCGATGGTTGTTGTTGCGCCAGTCGGATGGGAAATGCTATGGCGGATGTCAAGGTATTCATCAGAAAAAGTCTTCTTCACGACTCGTCTGAAGAGTTGAAATGTCCGTCTAAACGATTCGCAGAGGATCAATAATGGCAGGAGAACTCCAAGCGTTTGATGATGAAACACACGATCTCCACCTCCACCTCAGTTTTCACAGGCGGCTGCGGCCAAGGTGCAGACGTCAGCGCCACAACCGGTTTTGTCCTTTCATTGTTCCGCGTACTGCAAGAGACATGAATGGGACGGGACGACATGATGGTCACGCACGCGTCATGTCTCGACCAGGTGCGAAGATGATATGTGATATGTAGTATACGTGAATCGTTCCTTGTTTTGATGCGTCGTGTCTCATTATTCACGCTTCTGTGTTTAGCACATTCCTGAGTGTGCCTCTTTCTTCATACCATACCATACATACCTTCCCACGCCACGCGCACATTCATCACGAGTGCGTGCTTGTAGATACCTTATATTAGACACTTGAACGCATACCTGCGACGCTCGCTCGAACATAACCGATCTGCTACTTCCCCCGCAACCATACACGATGCGCGATTTCGATTCAAGACTCGTAGTCCTCGGGCTCCGCGTAGCACAAGCAGTGTTTGCGATCATCGTGCTCGGACTCACAGCATACGGTAGGTTCATTGTTACTCTCACTTCCACCCGCTCCTTACTGATCTGATGTTCACAGTCGCAAACTGGTGGTCCGGCTACTGGCATTCCTCCTCGCCCTCACAAATCAACTACCTCGTCTTCTGCTCCGTATGGACAATCCTCGCCCTCTTATACCTCATCGTCGTCCCATGGCGCTTCTCAGAAACAGGCGCGCATCACAAATTCGCGATTCTGGCGGTTGAGAGTGTGACGATGATATTTTGGTTTGCCGGGTTCATTGCCTTGGCGGTGTTTTTGAGTGATCGAGTGTGTTTCGGACATGTGTGTTCGGCGGCTAAGGCAGCTTGTGTCTTTGCGGCTTTTGCTTGGTGAGTTATAATGCGCGCTTGGGATGGGATGTGGGTGGTGAGGAGCTAATGGGTGTGAGCAGGGCTACGTTTGCTGCGACGACTGCCATGGCTGTTCTTCATGTGTTTAAGACGAGGAATCGGAGCGATCGAGGCAAAGCTGATTCGAATCTGAACATGCGTGAGGGTGTTTAGGATGGATTTGAATAATGTGGGGATTGAAAGATGATGAACGGGTTTGTCGGAAGCAAGGATGGAGGATAAGACGTGGTTGGTTGTGATACGTTTGAGATACCATTTCGCGATGTCTATGATGTCTATGCTGGCGTTTGCTTGCTTCGAGGAGCTGGTATAGTTGAGCAAAAATTGAGGAACTTCACTCGCTTCTCGTCAATGCTTTCTGAACTCCGATAGAATATATAGCCTCGGCGTGTATAAAGCAGGTTTGTCAATCACGATAGCCGTGGTGACACTCGCACGGAAGGGAAGGAAAGTTTAATAATCAGGCCGCGAGGCCACTGACCACTGACGTCGGTTTGTAATCAACGGCGTTTCAGTGACCACGGAGGCGCCTTCCGATCTAGAATCCTCTCTCTCTCTCTCTCACGGCAATTGTCATTATTATCAAAGCTATTCTTTGCGAATTCGCCATGCACATACATATGTATCTTCTAGTAGTCTAACAGACAGGTATAAAGCCTCTTCTTACCATTCGCCACATCGCTCGATCGACTTGCCCCCGTCTATCAACGACGTCAACATTCACTACACCACCCAAACACAAACGCATGCGCTGCCCGGAGGCCAGAAAGTGTTTAAGGACCATGTCGAGCGACGACATCCGGCCCTGCACTTTTCCCACAGAGTCGCAAAAGGATGTGGACGATACAGCGTCTTCGTCGACGAGTGCGAGTGCGTCGCATTTGAGCGAATGTCAGAATGCTTCGGAGATCGAGGACGAGGTGACACCTGAGCCGCTATACAGCCTCACCGTACAGCTACATGGCAAGCCGGCCTCTATCCCCGTCTATGCCGACGATGCGACAATACAAGATCTTTCAGACCAGATTGCCGAAGACCTAAGCATACCACCAGCTCATCAGAAGCTCCTCATCACACCCAAGACAGGACTGCTCAAGCCGCCTTTCAAGGATCCCGGTCTCCTCATTTCTTCCATCAAGAACAAGAAGATCGTGCTGATGGGCGCGACTACGGCAGAGGTGCAAGAGCTGGAAAGCGATATCGCAGAGCGCAAGGCGAGGATGGGCCGAAGAAAAGCAGCACTACAAGCCGCTCGCAAAGTCAAGGCCAACAGGAGTCGTGATTGGAAGAAGGTCCAGGATGATGCGCGATATACTTTTCACATGATCAAGCCTCTTGACTACCTTCCGAATCCTGAGAAGAGTCAGCGGTTTCTGGAGCGATTGGCAGACGATGCTGGCATAAAGGCAGCTATGCGCAATCACGGCTTCTCGGTCGGACTATTGACGGAGATGAATCCTGCTGAACACACCACTCATGAATCGCGAACCCTCGGTCTCAATCGCAATCGTGGCGAGGTTATCGAATTACGACTGCGAACGGATGCCTACGATGGCTATCGCGACTACAAGGTCATTCGAAAGACACTCTGCCACGAACTGACACACAATGTCTGGGGCGACCACGATCAACGCTTTTGGAAGCTCTGTCGTGAAATCGAAGCCGAAGTCGAAAAGAACGATTGGCGACGCGGTGGACATTCAATCGGTGGCGAAGAGTTCTTTAACCCCGAAGATGACGGTGAAGACGAAGAAGCAGATCATGGTGGCTGGGAAGGTGGCGAGTATGTTCTCGGGGCATCGGCTTCGAGCAGTACTGCGGGCCCTTCTGCCGAGCCTCTCAGCAGAAGAGAGATCATCGCACGAGCAGCAGAAGAGAGGATGAAGAGACAGCGAGAAGCAAAAGATGCGAAAGATGCTTCGGCGAAGTGATGAGGCTGATGACCGCGGAGCGAGCGAGCGAGTGATTTTACATATTTCGACCATTGCCGAAGTTTTGCATATGAGATACCCAGACGTTCCTCTTTGGAAAAAGAAATGAAGGGACACGAGAGAGCATGGGAAGGAGTCAAATCGACACTTTGTACATAAAAGAGCATGAGTGCATCAACTATACTAAAATTCGAAACTGATGGTTATTTCCAAAAGAAAATTCACCCACATCTCGCTATTTTTTGACCAAAAAGAAACTCTTGCACAAATGCGAAGATAGAGTGAACTCCACCAACAAGTACAGGCACTTCTTGATACCTTATGGTTTTAGAAGTCTGTATTTTTTCCTGCAATTTCTCACTCGATTTCTCATCCATTGTAATCACGTCGTGAGGTCTAGAAGCCTTTGTTTTATTGAATGCATCCATTGAGCTAGCTAGCTAGCTAGACAGAGCTGAGAATGGTGTTCATGCGTTCTTGCTCTTTCCGGCGGGCATCCATGGGCAATGGAGCATATTGGCGGCATAAGAAGAGCGACTGAAGGCCGTTATAGCAAGGCACCTTGAAGACCTGACAGCGCAATACATCGAGGCCACGAACAAGTGTGACAAGGACCATATCATCTAGGGTATGATAGCCAGAGCCATGAGAACAACCACCGAACAACGCGGCCTCCAGAGTCGTATCGTTGGACCAGAAACACACTTGGAAATCGTCAACCAATTTTTCGACGATGACTCAACCACTGAGATTTCTCCGGTCACTATCCGTGCCACGGTACATGGTCCGGCTGTTGCGCCAGACTGCATCGGGCGATGCAGGGCGAGCAGAGCCAACTTTCGCTGAAGTCTGGCTTCTGCTCAGAGCCTCTGGTGTCCATCCTGGCATCAGCAGAGAGCACGTCACAGCGCAATAAACTGGAGCAGGGCCAGAAACAATCCGAGAAGTCCGGTAAGCAACCTATTGCAGTCCACTCCTGCTCTTGTCCAGGCCTTCGCTGACAGGTATTGGTGCTGGTGGTTGATGACAGGCTACGATGCGTTGCATGGCAGAGCTGCCTGCTCATGAGGCTAGTCTGCAGAGCCGGCAAATTCATGGGCTGCTCGACTTGGTCTGATTGCGCTGTCGCTGCTTGCTGGCACGCTTTTTATGACCATTGCTGGTAACATGTTGCTGCCACTGAGTCGGAGTGACACTTGTCACATCGCATATCGAGCAATACTGCTTTGCCCATTCCTCAGGCTTCGATGCCAGATCGTCGCGTTTCGGCTGAAGCTGTTCGGCAGCAACAGCAGACAGCAAGGCAGGCGCAGGCATGTCCTCGGCGCGCAAAAATTGACCTGTGAGACCCAAGGCCGGCTGGACCACAGTGTCTTCAAACCTGCTCACGTCTGAGCCATCTAGGAGATACAGATTCTCGATCGCGTGAACATCCGCAAGCGCGTTCACCAATTTGATCCTGATCCATCGAACTTGACGTTTCGAGTACTGCCGCGTAGCTGCTTTCGTTTGCTCAAGACACGCGGCATGTAGCTTGAGCAAATCATGCGCATCCGCTTCTGCGTTGCGTCGTGCGTGCACGTAGTCGATGAATTCCTTGTAGCCGATGCTGACCCATATGCCCTTGGTTTTGTCGATAGACATGCCTTTGACCCTCTCTCCCTTGGCGACAGTATCGAGGGTCTCCACTTCATCAAGGAGACCCTGGGCCAGCATTTTGTCGACTCGTGCATCGAGGCGAGTTCGAAGAATCTGCTGTTCAGCATGCACCCAGTACAGCAAAGTGGGAAACCGCATCTCCGATCGTTCCATAGCCTGCTCGGATCGCTGTTCAGCGTAAATGTCCGAAGCTCTCTGCCCAGTCTGCATGTAGATTTCGAGACTTCGCTGAATCTTCCGCCTATCATTTGGATGCCACCTGTCGGCCATGATAGGATCGATTTTCTTCAGCTTCTCCAGCAAGACTTCCGTTGACTCCTTCAACATTGGCCACTTATCCGACGTGTCCGCGACGAACTCGCGCTCCTCTTGCGCTTTATCGCTTTCAGCCAAACGGTCTTTGAAGAGCAAGCTCTGGGTATAGTAATGTGTCCCTCCAACTAGAATAGGTAGTCTCCCTCGCGACCTGATCTCCGCGATAACTTCGAGGGCCTTGCGCACGAAGGTGCCCACGACCCACGTCTGCTCTTGCAATCCTATGCATCCCAGCAAGTGGTGTGGTATTCCTTCTTGTTCTTGAAGCGTGATCTTGTTCGTGATTATGGGGAGACCCTCATAGAGTTGCATCGCATCGCCATTGATGATTTCGCCATTGTAGCGCTTTGCAATCTCAACTGCCAACTGCCTGCGGTGATCAGATTCGTACTGTGAAATCACCTACCTTGAGCCACGACCTACTTGCGATTTTCCTGTGCCCGTTGCGCCGATAATGGCGATTAGCGGATTACGCGGCGGTATTCGCGTCATTTTCGACCTCGTGCTCAGGAGTCTGCCCAGCCGAAAAATGAGCATCGCATATTCGGTGTTGTCGCGAACGCGAAGCTGTTGCTTGGAGGGAAGCTAGGAAGCTAGAATTGTAGTTCTAAGGTGCGGTGAAAAGTCGGCTTCGGACGGCGCTAACACATCGAGTGGCCGTCATGCACTCGATGTTTTATTTCGAACACCACCCAACCTCACGACTAGAAATACATCTCTCACGATTCGTTGCAGAGTGAAAGCCTTGAGCCTATACTAGAAGAACTGAAAATGCCAGACCAAAAGCCCCCAAGCATCAAGACCAGCAACCTTTCCTACGCCTTCCCAGATGGCAGCGAAGGTCTCCAAAATGTCAACCTAGACCTGCCAGCAGGTGCCCGATGCCTGCTAATTGGCGGTAAGCTACCTTCTCGTCAAATCCTTACCGCGAGTGCTAAATCCTCAGAGCAAATGGTGCGGGCAAGACCACACTGCTCCGCCTTCTCTCCGGGAAACGCATGGCCCCAGCAGGAACCGTGAGCGTAGCAGAAATCGACCCATTTGCTACAGGCCTGGAAGGCGTGACCTATCTCGGACTGGAATGGGTGTTGAACCCGATCGTGAGAAGCGATATAGCTGTTCCGGAACTGCTCAAGTCGGTGGGCGGAGACCATTATCCCCAGCGTCGCGACGAACTCGTCAAGATTCTGGATGTAGATCTCTCGTGGCATCTTCATGCCGTATCAGATGGCGAGAGAAGACGAGTGCAGCTCTGTATGGGACTTCTGAGACCATGGACGGTCTTGCTACTCGATGAGATCACTGTGGATCTGGATCTTCTGTCTCGACACAACTTCTTGCAGTTTCTGAAGAAGGAAACTGAGACGAGGAGTTGCACGATCGTGTACGCTACCCACATTCTCGATAATTTGGCAGAGTGGCCTACTCATCTAGTGCATATGGCATTGGGCAAGGTCAAGAAATGGGGACCTTTGGATTCATTTGAGATTCCCAAGACCGATGGTGGAGCGGAGGGGAATAGCCGCCTGGGCCAACTGGTGATGGTGTGGTTGAAGGAGGATCTGGAGGAGCGTGGTCCGCGGAATGCACGTGGTGCTGAGGGGCTTTCCTACATCAACCATACGGTAAACAAAGGAGGGTATGGACAGGAGAAGAGGCCCGAGAAGTGAGGCAGACGGTTTTGTAAGTAAGGCTGAACTGCGTTCCACCGCAGTCTAGACCTTTGACGGGGAGCTCGCGATCTCCACGGCGGTATTAGCGCGGCGTTCAACATGAGGCGGTAGAACGAGTTATGCAGAAAGGTATACACCCTCTTTCAAGAACCGAGGGAACACAGGGTTCCTAAAGTTTAAACTGATCAATCGAGTGATAGATTGTGAGTCGTTACAAGCATTCGACAGGCCGACTAACCAACGACACTGCTCGTTTCTGGTGACTCGGTGGTGACTCGGGCGCAAGACAAGCTCGAAAAGCTAGAAAAGCGTTCCCAGAAAGCCTGCAAGAGGGTGTGTGTATTGTGATGGATTTAATTGGTCGCTTGATCACAATGTCCTAATCTGGTATTTGCATATGCGTGCATTCGAGATGTGTATCTCTCTCGTAACTCGTTCATCGGCGAGATCATCGCCAGGTACGATCAATAAGATTGATTTCGTGATGAGGCTTGCACGGACATGCATTCTCCTCAAGGGTGAACCATGATTGACGCATGTGCCTGCAGCGGATGGCATGGACATGGGAGCAAGTCTTTCGTGGCTTGGTTGGAGGAGGCGGCCACGAGATGCGACGGAATCACATCCCGTATGATCCTGAGAGCTGAGGGGAAAAGAAAGTGGTCGTAGCGCTTCTAGGGCTGCGTCTTGAATTCATTCATGCCTAGCAGACTTAGCCCACGATGGGTGTGGGGGCTATGCGGCCTGTCTACGGCTTTCCACGAAGTCGACAAAGTCAAAGAAGCTCTTCTTGTACCTCCTCACCTGTGTTGTACGGTTGACAGTCTGGATGCCGAAGTGTGCATCGTAGTCACCGAACTCCCAGTTGTCAGCAAAGCTCCAAGCAAATGCACCTATCCATTCGACGCCATCCTCCCATATTGCCTTCAAGCCCTCATTGAGGTACGATACATAGTACCAGCTTCTTGGACTATCAAATTCCTGATGGTCTTGACTCAAGTTTGCCTCGCCGGCTACTGGAAAGCCAAACTCTGTCACAGCGACAGGATGTCGGAATGTGTTCCAGAGGTAATTGAGATATGTACGAAAGTACGTGGGCGTGATGTAGACGTATGATTGTGAGCCATAGCCAATGTTCCATCCCGTCGTCGTATTCGTATACTGTTTGACGCAGTATGGGCGAAGTGGATGGCTAATGTTTGCAGCACAGGCAGCAATCGTGTCATCTGGAGGCGATACCACCGTTGCTGTGTATGGCTGGATGGAGAAGAAATCTGCAGTACCGTTGATATACGCCAAGTCTTCCTCAGTCAAGGGAACATAGTCAGCGACACTGGAAGTGTACGAAGAAGGGTAATCTTTGCCAAGAAAAATGGGATTTGCAAAGGTCGCCAGCTGAAATGAGTTGAAGTGATTCGCAGCATCAACGTCGGCAGCGTCTTGAGGATTCCGCGGCACCCCAAAATTGTCGTTAAAGGTCAAAGATACCTTGCCAGTGCCTTTGATCTCCTCGTGATAGTAGTGATAAAGACGAGCATGCGCTTTGATGACGGCATTAATGGACTTGCCGTTTCGTGCACCAAGTAAAGGCTCATTGAAAGTCCACCAGATAGGCACCCGGTCTGCGAAGTGTGCCATCACAATCTTGCCATAGTTGACGAAGGCATCCTCAAAGGAGATATTGTGGTAAGACCTCTGGTATCCTGAGTCGGTGTAGCCGATGCCCCCAGTCCCTGGAAGGATTGAGACCTCGGATATATTTGAGTAGAACTGGAAAGGAGTGTCCGTATGGTGCAACACGATAGCAGGGTGCATTCCTTTCTCAAGTACGAAGTCGATGAGATCCTCGTAATGAGCGATTCCTTGCTGGTTGACTGGAGTGTCAGGCAGAACGAAAGGCAATATTCTTGCCCATGGAATGGAAAATCTATAGTATTTTATTCCCATAGAAGCTATGCGCTCGATGTCCTGCTTGTACAGGTAGTAATTCTCGTTTGCGATGTAATCGTCCGCAGCTCCAGGTGTCAGCACAGGAACTGCGTCAATGTGAACCGGAACCCGGCCTTCATCTGCAACTGCTCCTTCGATCTGAACAGCAGACGCCGCCACTCCTAACAGGAAATCGGCTGGGAATCGATAGCATTCCTGTGGTCCAAATGGCTCAGGCGGCGGAAGGACGAGTTCTGAAGAAGGAACTGGGGTAGGCTCTATTGTCGTGGAGTAGATTCCGCGTGAGAAATTCGCAGTGGGGAAGGTGTTCCAGAAGGCACTCCACGAAGCATTGCCATATGGACTACCAAGATCTGTTGCGCTGGCGTTTGAATCTGGATCCCAATTGCCCCATCGAGTAGTACTGAGCCCTGGCACTAGGCTGCTGAGAGACGCGTAAGGAGGGGCAAATGTGGTGGTCGTTATTGGTGCCGGGACGGAAGTCGCTGTTCGAACCGTCTCGGTCTGCGTGAAGCTGAACTCGTGGAATGTATACGAAGGCAGTGCCGTGGCATACGAGTCGTTCACGGAGCATGGAAGCTTGGAGGGCCCCTGGACTGGAACATAGACCTGCTGAGCGAGTGCCTCGCTGAGACCAGCTATCAGTACGCATCGCTTCATTGTCACGATCCTGCTATGATCAGCCATTCTCTGGTGGGATTGATTTGACCTTTACATCCCCATTCCGCTGCTTTAGCACCGGTCTTCTTGGCCGTTGTCACACTGCATTACGCTCCATCAAAAGGCCCGAAGATGCTGCGATCCTCCACCGTACGAAGTCGGTACGTGCTCTCGTCGTTACCGTAGAAACTGGTGAAGAAGCCCAGGGCGGCAACGTAGCCCACCCCTGCAGATAGGCCCACCTAATAATTTGGTGTGTATGTATCCGAGGTCTTGGGTAGTCAAGAAGCCCACCTAATAATAGCATATTCGAGGCCGTAGAAAGCGTGGTTTTTATGGAAACGGCTCTCTCCGGAGGCTATTTCTGTGTTCAAACTAGGGTCGTTCTTAGCCTTGTTCTATCTCTTATATAGTCGACTAATCGATATAGTATAGCGGATAATACGGCGCGAATAGACGTAGGTAAAGGCTCGGTAAGGTGTCGGAAGCCTACTAATACTATTAGTTTGAATATACGCCTTCTAAGCCGTCTAAAGGCATCAAAATCGAGCTATTGTCGTCGCTACCGGCCGGCTCGGAAACCTCGAGTTTAAAGACTCCGTAGAGGCCGTTTACTTAGTAAATGTAGCTAGAGGTAGACCAAATAGAGGCTCGTAAGGAATACTAGCGTAGATTAGTAAGGGAGGGTCTAGAAGTGCCGTTCTACGCCTATCGCGACACTCTATTACCGCCGTCGCTTTAGCGCGATAGAAATGCGTAAATATAGGCGGAATTAACCTAGATTAAGGAGGAATTAGCGTCGCTAAAGGCCGCCGTACGCGATATGCTTACTATGTATTAGCATATAATAAAGATTAAGGCATAGAGGTTATTGTTAGTGGTTTAGTTGTCTTAGAAGTAATGGAATATATAATAGGGGGCTTTGTTAGTACCTAAGGTATACGGGGTCTTAGCGGCTTTCTAAAATCTTAGATTCTACACTAATACCTAGTATTACTACGTAATTACTCGCTCGATCTGTTATATTTTTCTTTATTATACGCGCTTTTATATAAAAAAAGAACGAAGTAAATCGGTTAAGTAATAGTTAAGAAACCGGCGGTAAACTAGTAGAATCTCGGATTCTCGAAATTCTATAGAATTAGCGGGGAAGAAGCTCGGCCGACTTTAACCGAAGCTTTACTCTACGATTATTATAAACCTTTACTAATACATTCTATATGCTACAATAGTCTAAATAAGACAAACAGTAGCGGCGCCGCTTCGTATAAATGTATACTACAATCCTATCTAACATTATAAGATATAAAAGTCAAAGGGTAGTATAGTATAGAAGCTAATCGATAGAAGCTAATCTTAGCTTCAAGCTCGTAAAGAAGCCACTTTTAGTCTTTAACGTCCGACTTATGTTCTGCGTCCTTATTTAACTTAAACTAGTCCCTTATACGGCCCTCGTTATTACTGTCGGCGGTAAGGTTAACGTGTATATTATTAAGCTGTTCTTAAAGCTCTACTAGTAGCTAGAATGCTAGTATGTAGTCTAGGGGACCGAGTTCTATACCTTCCTCTTCTTTAATTAGTTAGTCGGGTATTTGAGGGTTGAATATAGTCTCGTAAGTAACCTCTAAGACTTCCGCGTCGACCGTAGCGATATTCTTACGCCTATAGTTACCAATTTTAATGTTAGGTAGATCCTTAATCTAGATCTTGTTGTCTTCTAAGCTATTAGTCGGAAGAGTGAGACCTAGGTTACTAAAGGTCTTAATAATAAGGTCCTTCTTCTTAACGTAGATCCGCCTCTAGGCTATTGCTACCTATTTAGTTATAAAAACACGCCGCTCGTATATAGGCTAGTTAATCTTCTTAGGGTAATAGAAGATATAGTCGTCGTAGGCTTCTTTAATATACAATTTAAGAAGCTTGTTAATAGATACGTCGAGTGCCTAGATATAGCCTATATAGCTACTAGGAATAAAGGAAGTAACTATATTTAGCTTACGGAAGCGGTTCAAGACTCGTTTAGTCTTCTATACCGAGTAGACGTCTAATATAAGCAAACGAGGCATATCTTTAGTCTCTCCGAGGCTAGGTATATATAAGAACTTCTATAACTTCTTAATCTACTTAAGTATTATATCCTCGTCTACCTAGGCCTTCTCTTAGAATAGCACATAAACGCTAGTATCGTAGAACTTCTTCTCGTACTTACCGTATAGTAAATCGAGATACTTTAGACTACTACGGAAAACAATAAGCGGCTTGCCTCGTTGTATACTATTACTATAGACCTCGCCTTAGAAAGTCGCTTGTCTCTTATCCTATCTAGACTTTCTAACCTTTACTCGTACCGTCTTAGCGCCTTTGTTATCGTACGTCTTATTAGCGCGGAAGTCGAAGGGTAATAGCGATTAATCTATATTACTAATCTGTCTAGGGGAATAGCGACCCTTCGTAACTAGATTAGGTGTCTTACTAGGTCGATAAATACTATTTCGACGGTTGAATTAGAGCTACGAGATTATAAACAGTACAAGCTCTTTAGGCGCCTTCTAAGCCGTCTTTGTCTTCCGCCGAAGACTAATATTCTAACGTCGCTTATAGCCGGAGAACTAGCCCTTAGAGAACTTGAAATCGACGTATTCTAGGCGACTATTAAGCTTGTAAACCTTCTCTAGATATAGCGTAGCATATATCTTCTAAGCGGCTCTTAGAATCTAGGCCTTGTTTACTCTAATGCCCTACTTACGTGCCTAGGTTATGCCCTTATAAAGGGCGGCCTCGAGTTGTAGATAGAGGGCTAATCTCTTACTATTGCTAGTCTAACGACTATCCTTCCTTAAGGCTCGAATCTTGTCCTTATTAGCACACTATTCTCGCACCTGTTTGCGGTCTATTTTAAACTTCCGAGCAGTCTTGTTAATAGATACAGGCCCGACCTTAACCTTGCCTCCTTTAAGTCGATATAGCGCCTTCTTAGACCTCCTATAACTAACAACGTATAGCTTAAATTCTCGGACGTAGGACCTCCGCCGTATACTAACCTTCGTCTCGGCTATAGTAACTCTTCTACCTTTATTAATATCGCTTCCGTTAGTAAGCTCGTTATACGCGTTAATCGGCGCCTCTAGGTTAGGCTCCTTATCTTTAGACTTATTAAGCTCGCTAGCGGCGACCTACTTTATTATTTCCTTTACTATCGAATCTTCTATTGTTACCTAGTATAGGCGACTGCCGAGCGAGTCCGTATCGCTATTAGGAGCGCGCGCCTTGTTAGTCTCTAGCACCTTTAACCTCCGGCGCTTAGCCTAAGAATACGAGTAAGCCTACGACTTCAATTTAGGTCTAGTTCTAATAGCCGCTTTGCTAGGTAAAACGACCTTCTTACTACCCTTAATATGCCTTAGAATCGCCTCTAAATCTACTACCGGCTTCTTCGAGAACGACTCGCTCGCGCCTGCTTATAATAGGTTATAACCGAAGATCTCTTACTGCTTTAATCGTAGTATAAATAGCTTCTTCGTAGCCTTAGAAGAGCTCGCTTTTAGGGTAGACCGATTAGACTAGGTAGACCTCGCTACCTTCTATAGATTACTAGGCGCTATTGAGATAATAACAACTACTATAACAACACCTTCAAGGCTGCTATACTATAGATATATCGTCGACCTATAATAGCACTAAATTCGAGGTCTATAGGCACGAGAGCGCGACGCGACAAGGTTTTCACTGGTTACTAAGCCCACCTTGGCAGGTAGGCCCACCTAATAATATCGGTGGTCTAATACAATACAGTAATAAGCCCATGGGCGCAATAACCAGTTTCTACGGTATCCGAGGAATAATGCGGGGGCGCAAGGCAGAAGGACGAAGTGCTGGACATTGACAGTGGACATCATGGAGATTCATTCTGGCTGACCTCATTGGGCTTCGTGTCCATCGTGTAGATATGCATTTCAGTTGGTGATGGTTCTCATGCCGAGGCCGGTGCAAAGCCAGTGACAATGCATTGCCACCAGACTCTTGTAGGCACACGGCTCTTGTTGTGCTGGGTGTCGTGAAGTTTGCCTGGTAGCCGCTGTCGGCACAATGCAGTCCGAATCGAAGAACCGAGTCCGAGTGGTTCTCGCATCGGGACGCATCATTACGCACGAACCCAATTGCCTGTTGACTCTCATCTACCGCCGTCGGCCGATCAGCATATGAACCATGACTCGAACCCTTGAGGGCTTGACTCCTTGAAAGCATGGTGATTGTGACGTGCATCGATGGATACATACACGGGTACGAGCAATTATTATCGAGGATTGGATCGAATGGGACGTGCAGATAAGCAGCTATTCTACCCTAGGGCAGTTCAATCAAATCGAGGTCTTGCCAATGCTTTAATTGCTGCGACGTCAGCAGAGAGTTTGGAAAGATGATGCTGGAGAAGTATGCGGCAGTAGGCATGTGAAGTGTATCTCAAGAATACATGCGATTATGCTGGAGAAGTATATCAATTTGTCATTCTCTGGTCCGATTCTTCTCTGCTAATTGCTAGGTAGTGTCGTGTTTCATTTTAACGATCTCAGACCCCCCGAACGCCTCGCATAGAAGAAACAATGCTTTGATGAAACCCGTCTAATGAACAGCCCCAAGATGTGGCCTGAGGGAAAGGCCATAGTTTATGTCCAGCGAGTAATTTGCGCTGCCTTGAACCTACGGAGAATGGAGACGCTCAGTATCGGTTGTGTGGCTTGTTGTGGCTCTCCTTCCACTTGTCCTCGCCCTTGCTGCCGAGAAAGGCGCCAGCGAGAGCACCAAGGATTCCATGTCCGGCTTTGTGGCCTAGGAACCCACCACCAAGTCCCCCTGCAACAGCTCCCATGAAGCCTCGCTCGCCTTCTTGCGGGTTATTTGGATCGGCTGGATCTCGAGTATATCCGTATGGATTCATGGGATCGCTTGGGTTCGAGGGAGGATGTTGTTGCAGATACTGCTGTTGGTTGTCGTTGAAAGCATAGCCTTGTGGAGGGGGAGCAACTCCGCCCGGTGTCTGGCCGTAGGACTGATTGTGAGGCTGCCCGTAAGACTGATTATTGTGAGACTGGCCGTTGTTGTAGCCACCATAGTGGGGCGCGCCGCTCTGTTGGCCTTGATGATATTGACCTCCAGCGTAGTCTGGAGCGGGAGGAGCGCTGTATTGTTGCTGCTGTCCTCCATATTGTTGCTGTGCGCCGTAAGGCGGGTATGAGCCTTGCTGAGGCTGGCCCTGGTAGCCGGCGCCGTTCTGTGGATAGTTCGGATCGTAGCTTTGATAAGCCTGGTTATAATTTCCTTGGCTGTAGCCGTAGCCGCCTTGATTATCGTAGGGCCCGGACATGGTTATGCTGTGATTGTGATGGAGACGGTCGATTTGTGTGGGAGGTATGGCGCTTTGCCGCTGATGAGAGGAGTGTGTGTGTGATTCAGGATCAGAATGGAGAGTGGAGAGCAAGACAGGCGCAGTGCTTGACTTATATCGAGCTCGGTCAACGCGATGAGGGGCTGAGTGATCAGTCGTCCATTCGCACAGCCCGAACGAATGACGCAGCTGCAGCTGCCGGCTGGGCAGTGGAGCACATGTAAGTGTATGCAGCGCCACAATGGAAGAGCTGAACCTGAACCTGTACAGCCAGCGTCTACTGTACCATACTCCCTTCCATTCGGCATTTGACGCCTGAGACGCGGTTCTTCACATCATGATCGGGATTGTTCTTTGCGATGAGCTGCTGTGCTGTGCTGTGAATCCGGTCCGTGTGGCTTCATCACTTGACGCCACACCGCCAAGGCTTGGCTAGCCGAGTGCCTGAGGTCGTTCTCGCTATTATCTTTTCTTCTCTTTTCTTTTCTTTCCTTTTCTTTTCCGCTGGTTGTTCATCTTCGCGCCAGCGTCAGCGCTTCAGCACCACGTGCAGTTGACGTGCAGACGACATGTGCGACGGATTCTCGTTAGTGCTCCAGAGTCGACTGTTCCTGTCGACCTGCAGAACCGCCACCAATTTTGCCTTTGCCCCAGTTCGTAGTGGCCCTGCGTCGATATCCCTGCATGGCTGGCAGAAATGGTTGGCGACAGGATGCTTCTGAACGACCACACTTGGCCCTTCAGAACTTCGGTACAGCCATCTGTTTGGGAGCATAGTCGGCGCTGTTCGAGAAACGTCCAACGAGCGAGGATACCACTACGCATACTTGATGAACTTCGTGCCAAGCGATTGTCTTTCGAAGCCTCGATACTTATCGTGCCTGACATAACTCTAATAAGCGGCCACGGCGACTCATGCTAGCTATCGGCCCGCCCTCACCCTCCTGAGCTTCCATCACCCGACATTTCTATAGCATCGGATTGGCTGGATGATCAATACGTTCGAGCACATGGAGGGAAAAGTCAGGCTACAAGAAGCGAGGCATCGTCTTTTGGACGGGGAGCTCATCGTACGCTGGTCTTCTGCTTCTACTGCATAAGATCACTGTATGTAGATCTCTCCACCCTATGAAACGTACTTGATGAGAGCCTGCTTTCACTCCCTGACGTAGCAGCTTAGATTGATCCCAATTCTCTGCAAAATGACGATGTGACAGTCGTTGGCCCTTCTTCATTGAACCGCGTCCCGAGCTCTCTCAGGCATACCTTCCGATATGACAGTCAAGTATACGGGGCTAACCGGTTTGCTGCTGGGTTCGCCCTGAACATTGGGAGCTCAGTTGTTTCAGACAGATGAAACCCCAAGGAAGGTCTAACTCCACTTTGCTGTCGGGAGTTATGTGCCGAACTATTACTTCGCTCTCTTGGTCTGTGCAGCCTGGAAGCAATTTGTGTACCTCATCCTTGCGCTACTCAGTCTGTGCTGCAAGCAGAGACCCTTGGCTGGTCCCGATCAAACCATATATTAAATGCTTGAAGCCCAGATCAGCCAGGATATGCTGGCGAACCGCAATGCAGCCAGGCTGATGATGTAGTTCGACCGCATCATCGAAAGCCTGTCTTGCTATGCGGCATCTTGTTTCGACCCTGATGAAGAAGGACGCATCACTGCAAGCTCTCAGCATGTTACAATGCCAGCACGAGCTATGTTGACTTTAAGATCGCTGGAAGGGTATTGGATCTGCTTGTCGATTCTCCCATGCAGAGCAACCGAACGCCTCTCTTCCAAACCTTCTCTCTTGGCCACCACTTTCATGATCACGCACACTTTCCCACCATACTAGAAGTGCAGCTCCCCACAACTGACTTTCTGGAGGATTTCGCTTTACGGTCAGAGGTATCTCCCTGGTCGAGGGCTTTACTATCGCGTACGCCTCCCTTCGCCATACTACTCAATGGAGCGGCGACAAAACAATCAAGACCGACAGTCCAGCGGCTCGTCCAACGGCCAAAGTAATCAGTCACAGCAATGGTCTTCGAACCAGAGAGACTCGACTAATAACAACGGTCAGAATGGTTCTCAGCAGAGTCAATCCGGTCAATCTGGTCAATCCGGTCAATCTGGTCAATCTGGCAACAATGTTGGGACCCAGCAGGGTCAGTCACAGACGAACACCGGTCAACAAGGCCAGCAGACATCGGGAACATCACAGCAGGGACAGCAGGGACAGCAGAATTCCAACAATCAGCAGAACTCGGGCTCGAATGGTCCATCGTCTTCTCTCGGGCAACAGGGCTCAAATAACAACTTTGGAGGAACGCCGACAGTTGGATCGGCCCCTACACAGACACTTGTCCTTTTAGTCCAGACTCAAAGCTCAACTAATGGCAATCAAGGCTCAAATACAGGAGGGCCGTTTGGCGGTGGTATTGCAATAGTTAGCCCTATGCCAACGGGACAGTCGAATGGGCAGCGGGGAGGAAACGATCAGAACAACCAACAAGGTGACCAAGGCTCACGGGGAGGTAACAACGACAATAACTCAAACCGGGGAAATAATGGGTCGAATAACGACTACAATGGAAATGGTAGGGGTAGGCACTCAAGCTGACCGACCACACGCGACAAAGTATCTAATACGATATTTCTTTCTAGGGAACAACGACAACAACCGTAATCAGCGATATGACAACAATAGGGATCAAAACCAACAGGGCGGAGGGGGGATATCAGATGGTACCGTCAAGGGAATCGCTATTGGAGCGAGTGTCGGTATGATGCATCAACGACTTTTTTTTTCATATGCGAGATACTGACATGAGCCACAGGAGGCGTGTTGATTCTCGCCGTTATCATTTACATCCTGTGGAGAAGACGCAAGCGCGCTTCCTCCGCGCGCTCCAAGTCGCCATCCAACAGCACGATTCTCCACCCTCCGGCAGGTAACGACAACATGGCAACTCTACCGATATACCGCAGTGACCGCTTCTCTGTACGATCAGCTGGCCACGACTCCGTAACTAACATGGCGAACCAAGCAGCCAGAGATCCTCCTCATGCTGCCCAAAGGAGCCCGCTGAGCGCACCTGAAGCTTGGAAGTCCTTACATCCCCCGAAAGTCGGGTCACCCGAAGCACTACAAGCATCCACTCAACTCTCGCCTCCTCTATCGCAGCCACCTCAGGCTCACATGGCACCTCAAGAAAGGTCAAGCGCAACCATGCTGGATCTCCCGGTCATGAAAGAATCCAACGCACACAACCCCGGCCTCGGTCTCTTCACTCGCCGCTCAACAGACTTATCCGGAGCCAGTGACAACGAATGGCCCCTCAAAGGCGAAGGAGACTCACCCGAAGAAACCCAAAACCCAGATCGTTGGAGCTGGTCAAACTCCAACGCTCCCCCCACACCACGCATAGTCCCATCCAACGCTCGAGCATCTCTTCAAAGCTACCCGGGAGGCGCAAGTCTCGCAGCGTGGTTACGTAACCAACGAGAAGATCCTGCAGAGTCTGCTGGTGGCCATAAACCTCTCCTGAAGAACCAGGCTACGACGCCTGTTCTGACCTCCGATGCTGCTGTGCCTGCGAGAAAGGCTTCGAAGCCACGTGAGGGGAAGAAAGGAAATCACGGACATGGTCATGCTCTGTCCGGCATGTTCAAACCGAATAATTCGAAACCCCAGCCGTCGAAAATGGAGACTTGGACGCCGCCGAAAGGGGCGAATTCTCTGCGGCCGAGCACGAATATCAATGGCACTGACGTCACTGCCATTGAGATGAAGGAGAAGATTTGAGAAACATTTTCTCGCCACCAACGACAACAAGATGACAACGTACATTTTGTATGATACGTGGGTCCTTAAGTGCTGGACACATCATATTCATCTCCGCGGAGATCGAGGTGGATTTTTGAGAATCCATCTTTGCTTTACGACACGATACCCTTTGAAAGCGTTATGAGACAGAAAGGAGCAAAATAACAAAACATTCTTTGAAAAGAAAGGGGGCGAGCACAGAACATCTAGAAAGACAAACAACTCGACTTCTGTATCTGATACGACCGCTATCCATGCAGCATCTTATAGTGTACGCAATATACCAACCGCTATGCAAGAGCTTGTCTTCCCTGCCGTCCATTGAGAATTTGATGCAAAAACAATGATGTGTCGTTAAGATTTCGGCTCTCTATGAACTTCAGGTATTGGAAAGCACGTCCGTTTGTGGGCGCGGAGATGGCAGAATCATATGTTTGTGCGACTGCAGGTACTCCGGTGTGGGTATTGGTGTTTCCCTTGATATCTCGTGTGGCGCTACGAAGGCAACCACGAATGAATCTTGCCCTGAGTGCTCGGATCCAAATTTCCAGTATAGAGCGCCGGTATGCCCCTCCATCAATCCTCTCGACAAGACTACCAAGTCCGGTCGGTCCAATACACGTCGCAGCTCGTCCAGGTCCGCACACCAGCCATAGGGCGACCTCTAATCAGGCTTGAAGACCCCAGGTATGGTCAGGTTGCTTACTCCTCGCGTCACTCCAGGAATATAAATATCAATCCTCTGCCAGTCGTCGGGGCCGCCACTATGCAGGGTTGAATTTCTCAGTTCCGTCAAGATATCCCTGGCTCTAATACCATGGGCTCGCTTCAAGATCAAGTTGAAAGTGGCATTCGTCTTGTGCGTTCTCCGCGAGACGTTGAACAGGATCTTGCGGTAGGACTTCCGAGTTGAGGTGTAGTACAGGGTCACATGGACGCAGTTTGTCGGAGGCTGGGTGAGATACATATCAAACCAGGACTGACAGGTTTCCAGAGATGTTCGGAATTGGTCTGGTCGCAGACGAATCACGCTGTGTATCGATGGGAAGATTGGGTTGAAGCATACCGCGAGCTTTGTTCCGGTGGCATTTTCGGTTGTGGCCAGAGAAGTACTTCCCTCGATTGCACTCGGATTCGGATGGATGGGATGCGGTAGTGATATAGGACCTTGCCATGGAGCAAAATTGCTGTAAACGTATCTCGACAGATGACCAGTTTCAGGCACGAAGCCAAGGAAGGCGAATCTCAGCAGTCGAGGTGAGGCTCGGAAGACACGCCGCCAGCGCTTACAGACTCTCTCAGCGCGCAAAAGGTCGGGTATGAGCAATTGTAGAAGGATGGCCTCCAGCAGCTCGACACAAGCAAAGACTTCTGTTGATGCGGAATTGGATTTGGCGCAGGAGTCCGACTTGGGATCCTCGATTGACATAGCTGGGTCGTAGGGGAGAGGCAGGCGTCTTGTGTCTGCCAGACTGCAGGGAGTCCGGTAATGCTGCCATCTTGACTGCTTGTGTGATGAGGTCACTGCATGCCGCAGGAAGGCGCACTCGAGTAAACAAGGATGAACCTTTGATTCGACGATTTCTGTGAAGAAGACAAACCAGTCGTTCTTACCTGGAGTGGCCCGCGCTGGGATGGGATGGTATAGCACCGCGCTATGGAGCCGGCCATTCAGGCGAGCAGGCCAAGTCAACAAACCCACAGACCCTGCTTCCACACCTTCCACACCAACGTAGACGTTTTTGCATGTACAAGTCAGTCATTCCCGAGCTCTGAGCAACATGTTCAAGAAGAAGCCAACCATCAAGCCGCTGGCTCCAGTACGAAGCTCGGATCGACGCAAGCTCGCAGACCAGATCATCAGCGAATATGGCCTTGAAAAAGTTACCGGCCCAGAAAACAGCGAACAGACTCCAGAACAGAAGGCTGAAGCTGCCGCGACGCGAACCAGCTTACGAAACTCCTTGCTACCCGACAATGCTCAATCAGCGCGATTCACTACGACTTACGGTCCTGAATTGAAACAGGCTTCGGGAACAGTCTACTTAGGCTCACAAGACGGAGAAGAGCCCAGGATATTGTGGTTCGACATTGACAAGCGTATACTGCCGTCGGTCTACACGCTATGGCGGAATCCCGACATTGTCCCATTGCTGCACACACCGGACATCGTCATAAAGAAGATGCAAGGAGGCGCAGACCTGATGACTCCCGGACTTGCTGCTGGCCCTCCATTTCCATCGCGGGCGAAGAAAGGAGCTATTGTTGCAATAGCCGGGATAGATCGACCCTCAGTGCCAATCGCTGTAGGTATTTGCGAGATCGATGTTGGTGCACTCGAGCAGGTGCGAGGAGCAAAAGGACACGCGGTCGAAAACATGCACTGGCAAGGAGACGAGCTTTGGAACTACAGCACAGCTACCAAGCCTGGACAGCAGCCGCCGCAAGAGATTGAGGGATGGTCAAAAGTGCTAGAAGAGCGAGGACTGATAGACAAAGTGCAAAATCTTGCACTTGAAGAGCAGGAAGATGGAGGTGGGGTTTCGCTAGGGAAAAATGGTGGTGGAGGAGCTGTTACGGGCGAGGTGCAAGCTGAAGCCAACAAACCAACTGAGAATATGAATGCGCTGGTAGAGACTGTTGAGGCCAAAGAGCTCACTCCGAAGGAGATCGACGATGCATTCCGAAATGCATTCCTGTATGGTGTACACCACTTCAAGACCACCAACCCCGACGCCAAGAACCACGGACTAGTATTTCCTCTACAGCAGTCATCAGTGATGGCAACTTTGGTCCAGCCATTTCTACCCGCATACTCGCCCGAACAAGCGCAGCAATTACAGATCAAGAAGACCTCGTGGAAAAACATCAAAAAGTTCGTCAAGAGTCTCGACAAGGAGAAGATCATCAAAACCAAAGATCGAGACGGAAATGAAGTTGTCGTACAAGACATTGATTTCGACGATGCTGCCATCATCAACTTCAAGCCTTACCGCCTGCCAAAGAAAGAAACAGCAGGCGGCACCTCTACAGGACGAGGCGACCTCGCCACCGAGAAGATTGACACTGGTGACGAATCAGTCGGCCAAAAGCTCCAAGTCATAACATCCTACCGACCAACCTCCAAACTCCAGCCCGTCTTCGACGCAGCAAAAGGCATCAAGACCCTTTACGCCCCACTCGAAGTCCGCGAACTCATAACAGCCTACATCGAAAGCGAAAACCTCATCTCAGAAACCAACAAACGCCTGATAAAACTCAACCCTATCCTCGCCAACTCCGTCTTCGACGGCTCCGGGCCCCTCGATAAAGAAGTCCTAGCCAAAGGCTCCGTGCCTCGAGACGCCCTAATCGACCGCATCCTCCATAGCATGTCAACATCCTATTCCATAATCCGCAACAACGCCGACCCATCCACCATAAAACCTAAATCCGGCACGCCTCCAAAGATCCACATTACCCTCGAAACCAGAAGTGGGAATAAAACGGTGACAAAAGTGTCTGGGTTGGAAAACTATTATGTTCAGCCGAAAGTTTTGGCGGATGAGTTGAAGAAAGTTTGTGCGGGAAGTACGTCTGTGGAGGCTCTTGCGGGCGCGGCGAAGAAGAATGAGAGGGAGGTTATGGAGGTTATGATCCAGGGGCCGCAGAAGGATGCGGTTGTTAAGGCTTTGGAGAAGAGAGGGGTTGATAGGAGGTGGGTTGAGGTGGTGGATAAGACGAAGGGGAAGAAGAAGTGATGATGCTGATGATCACAGTGTTTTGGGAGCATGATATTAGCCCTTTCGAGCCGGTGGTAGTTCACACCACTGGAAGTAAGCGATATCAAGAACCTGAAGCCCTTCTTCACAGTTCATGAATTCCTACTCTTCCTCATCAAGACTAACCTCAGCTCCAAGTTCCTTCGCAGTCCTAGCCCCAGCCGTAGCAAGCTCATCAGCAGCATTATTCCCCTCATCCTTCGCATGACCTTTGACCCACTCGAACCGAACACCACCCGGACCATGATCCCAATAAGATCTCTTGTCTCTCGTCGTAGGATCATCATGATCATCTTCCAGCCGATACGCATTCAAACGAAGCCGCTCGCCCAGCATATCAAGAATCTTCTGAATGAGGTCCTTATTTTCTACAGGCTTCCGCGAAGAATTGACCCAGCCGTTTCGTTGCCAGTTGGGGAACCATTCTGTCACGCAATCAATGGCGTACTTGCTGTCACTCACAATCACGATCCTCCGGTCTTTCGGGGCGACTTCGAGCGCTCGGACTATGGCGGTGAGTTCTGCGCGTTGATTGGTTTGTTTTGTTCCTTGGAGGGGTTCGCTGATGTTGCGTTGATCGGCAGGACCGAAGTAGACGCCTACGCCTCCCCAGGCATTTTTAGAGCCGTTGGCGAGGGAGCTACCGTCGGTGTAGATTCGTATTGCCGAGTCTTTGACGGGGCGTACGGCTTGGTATTTTACGCGTTCTCGTTCTTCTCGGGTTTTGTAGCGCGCTCCGTTTGTGGTCGGGTCGAGCACGATGTCTCTGTCGAAAGCGTCTTCTGCGTCTTCTGGGAGAGGTGCTTCTCCAGGTTCATATTCGCCTTGTTCGCCTGGAGGTGAACTGCCTTCTTGCTTGATTCCATTGCTCTTCTTGGATTTGCTGGTCTTCAGCTTCTTCTGGTCAGGCTCACTAGGCTCAACACTGTCCATTGGCACGTCGGCGTTCGCGAATCGCTGTTGGCCCTCTGCAACGTACTGCTCCGCCTCTGTCCTCGTCTTGAAACCCTTATGCTTGGGGCCTTTCCAGCCCGTGATTTGCTCCAGCACGTCTTGCCAATTGGTGTACACTCCAGGGTTCCGACCTGCCTGCACACCATACCACTTCGTCACCTTCTGCTCTCCCATTGATGTGCCCTCGTTGTTCACAAAAGCTTCGGCTTCGCTGAGAGATATAAAGGATTTGAACATGGCTTTGGGGAATCCTCTCACTTGATCTAGACATTCGGCCCAAGAGTGGTATATGCCAGGCTCTTTTCCCACACGTACAGCATAGAACTTCAATTGGGCTTTCGTATCTCGTTTCCTCTTGGTTCCAGCTGTTTGCGCGGGTTGTGTTGCGGTTGTTGGTGTGGGGTTGACCGCGGTGAAGCCGTTGCCATTGCCATTGCTGCCCTCGACGTGCGCCATCTTGGACGTCGCCAGCAGCAATGTCGATTTCGGTAGGTCGTGAGATATTCTAGGCGTATGATCGCCCGTGCCTACGCAATGAGTGCTTTTACTATGCCGAGTCGCGCATCGGTGCGCACGTATGTGCCGCGCGATGAAGAGCTTCCAATGTCTAGGGAAGCTGCGGACAAGGCGAGGCACCCCCACCGCGTGAAGTGTGGTCGGCAGAAATGTACAGCGGAAAAGGACGGCGCTTGGGAGAGACTGTGGTGGAGCGATGGAAGAGGCGCGGAAGGAAAGGCAGCTAGCATTCATCACGCAGGTGGAGGGAGGAGGTGAGAGGGTACAGCCAACAGCCTACAGCCTACCAGGTCGCGGGTCGCAGGTAGGGATGGTAGAGCCCCACGCAAGAAGCTGGCATGATTTACATTCCCAGCCGGCCGCAAAGCCCTCCTCCCCTTCCTCCTCCCGGCTCATGCACTGTGAAAGACGTGGGAGTAGTGCAGCTGCGCGCGAGGGTGTATCTACCACCTGTCTGCCGCGCTGCTGCTTGGCGTGAGCTGAGCTGAGCTGTGAGCTTGGGCAAGACGACGTCGCTGCACACCGCAGCGCCTCACCATTCCTCATCGTTGCAAGGCAGTCCATCGTCTGCAGCCTCCCAACAACCCACATCCTCCTTCACCAGGTCTACCGCGGACCGCATCTCCAGTCAAAGACCATGTCCCGATAGCGCACCATGTTCGAAGTAGGTGATATCGACACCCTTCACACGCACCCTCCCTTCATCAAATCTCCGCTCCCAGCCCCTTACTCAACCATGGGAATATCCTTGAAGAGGCCGCGCCTACCATTCGTCACATCGAGGCCTTTCTCTGATAGACTGCATAGACTCGCCATGCATCAGACCGCTACCGCTTGCGCCTCCATCGAGCTCGGTCGGTAATTCTCACGCCTCAAGAACTGGTCGAGATTCGAGCTGCGCAGAGGACGTTTGAGGGCGCGTATATTCGTACGAGTCTCAGTCAGTTCAGTTTTGCGCTTGTGGTCTTGAAGATCTTTACGAGTGAGTTTTATAGTATTGGTGAGTTCTTTAATGCCTCGATGGCAGATATGAGTCTAACGCCGCGGCAGGAGCGCTATTTGCTGTGTATGGTGCCGGGGTCCTGGGTGTTAGTGCTTTCAGGCGTATGCAAGGCAATCGTCAGTTCTTCAGCGAGGTCGGTGAGGATGGCTTAAGCAGAAGACGCTTCAGAACAAGTGGTAATGTGGTGGTCGTGCTGACCAGCCTGAGTGTGGCAGCATATGTCACTCTGCTTGTATTGACACTGAAGCTAGGAGGAGATTCTCCGCAATGAATACTCAACTCATTATTTACGCCTGTTGCTTCAAGCAGAAGCTGCTATCGTCTGCCCTGATTCCTCAGAGCTCAGTCACAAGTGCTATGCAATGGACACCCGTCGCGCATCGAAGCCATCCCGCTCGGTTCCTCTTGTCATGGAAAGCTGAATTTGAGCGCCTACAACCATGGGCCACTCGTAGCCTTGAGTAAAGGACCATTTTCGGCACTACCTCCATTGCAAGAGACCGTCTCGTAGCATGTCCTTGTCTGAGGTCAGAGTCCGTCCTGCTCGTGTGCCATCTGGCCTAAAGACATCACCCCCAATCCGAATGTCGATGAGGTCGAAACAAGCCCTGTGATCTTGCCGGTTGGTGCCAGTGGTGCGGTTGCCTTTGACAAAACTCTTGTGCAGGTCACGTGTTCTTGCCTCTCGTTCTCTGTAAGATGACTTGCAGCCTGCGAAATGGCGCCTCCATAGCGTAGCTAGCGAGATATGACCCTGTTCCGAGTCGTACTTGAAATGATGAAGACTTAGGTTTTAATGGACGGATCCGTGTGTGAACAACATGTTCGCAGCTGGTTAGGGCACCTGAAAGGTTTGAAGCCTTTCTTGTGCTTTGGAAACTAGTGTCAGCTCGTCTCTTCTTTCATAGCATCATTGCTTACTATGAGCGCTGCTGCGAAAGTGTTGCAGTGTAGCGATTCGTCGTATGGCCCTGTTCCCATGCTTGACAGTTGAGCCTGCTTGGAGATAGCGTTTCTGTTCGAAGCACTGCTATTGCCAGAACATGGTCGCCCCTACCGATCGATTCCCCACTGCTGTGATGAAGGTTCCGTTGACACACGCGTCCAGTGATGGCTCCCACGCACCGCAGCCTGTTCACTTGCTGCAAGCTGTTGGACTTTCCTTGGTCACCACTTCTGGCATTTCCAAACACCAGTAGGATATGTCGGACACGAGGGTATGGGACAGAGCTCTAGCAAAGGCCTCTTGATTGTAAAAGTCTTCTATGAGGTGGATCGTTGTCTCCGCAGGCTTGCTTGTGGAACTTCGGTCGCCGTTGAAGGGGGTAATGGACATGGCTTGGACGGAGTATTCTAGGCTTGGCAAAAAAACACAAAGGCAAATACTGTAGGCATCACTCGCGTCTTCTTATCCTTCCTTTCACGATGACGAGACTCCTGCTTGGCGGAGTTGGCGGAGACTTGTTCGTGGGCGTTGAGAGAGGTGCAACGGTGGTCCTGGGCGGAAGCTGTGCACCGAGATATCCTTGGCAGCGGTATGTGGCAGCTGAGCAGGCGCGTGTCTCGCTCACATCGTCCATCTCGTGCAAATTCCATTTGTTGTTGATGGGTCAGATTGGCAGTGGCGCTCAGCCTCAGGCGAAAAGGACAGCACCAGTAAGTTTCGCGGCGGACTGGCGCTCAGCGGCCCAGGAAGGGGGCCCGTATAAGACAGATACCGAAGGCTGCCACCTGCCAGGCCAGGCCAGGTCAGGGCTCGGGCTGTATGTAAGAAAAGCCAAAGCGATATATATTCTACCGCTCGGCGCGGAACCTCACCAACGCTGCACTTTGAACCACAGCGCACTGCCAGCTTTTGATCCAGTTTTCGCAGGCTCTGCAGAAGACATCCCGATTTTCTGCCCATTTTCCGAAAATCACCAGCACCAGCACCAGCTCCAGCCGACCAAGCACGTGTGCGTCATCCTGCGACGGCGCTGCGCCCGGCCAAAATCTATTCTTGCCGGCTGCACGACGTTGATTCACGTTCCTGAGCTGACATCCCGGAATGCCGCACTTCACGGCAGCAGATAAAGATGACAGCTTCCTCCATAACGCGCACAACGCTGGCGCATGCAGTTGCGTAGCAGAAGACACCTCTGACCTGGGCCGATATCGCAGGCGCCAGTCGCAGCAGTCCAAACTCGCCCAAGCTACCATGATCTCCAACGGGAACCACACCAGCCAGACTCTTGATCAGCGCCGATGGAGCAACGAAGTAGCGCCGGCCGACGACAAACAAGTGGACCAGTTGCGAAATCATCTTGACAAGACCCTCAAGCCCACCACTATTGCCTCAAATGCCATCTCTACAGTCCATTTCGATGTCTCACACGAACACCTCCAACTCCCTCACAAGCAGCCGCCATACCAGCATAGAAGCGCCTCACTTGCTGCAGCCATGAGCGCCTCCCTCCCAGACCCGCACAGCGCCACTATGGCTCTGAACGATACCCCTGCGACGACAGCGCCCAGCAGCCCGCGCTTGGCCGGCAACACATCTGCCCCGAGCAGTCATGGCAGCGACAGTCCTGGTAACACCGGTCGCATGATATTGCCTCCGCAGCGACAGAACTCGGGCACATCAACACCACGAATACGGCCTACTACGCTGGACATTCCTGGGTTGACAAAGAGTAAAGTGTCTCCAGACGGTCGAATCGCGCAAAGGGATGTCGGCTCCAAATTGGTCATCGTCATGGTTGGCCTGCCTGCGCGCGGTAAAAGCTACATCACAAAGAAGCTTGCAAGATACCTCAACTGGCTACAGCATGACACGAAAATCTTCAATGTCGGAGAAAGGCGACGGGTGGTTGCCGGAGGACCTAATGCGTTGGAGAAGACCAGAAGTCAGCAGATACGCGACGAGAGGCACGATTCGATGCGAGAGAGCATGGCTGCGATCACCACTCCAAGCATCATCGATCAGCAGGAACCGTTGGCGAGAAACCCTACCAACACCGCAGACGAACACAAGCATTCCGGTGCACAGATCATCCTTAATGGCGAGACAAAGCTGGAGGCACCAGCAACACCTGCCAAGGAGAAGCAGGACTCGATTGCGAACGTGAATGGCAACACAAACCATGATAGAGAAGAGCCACAGCGCAGGCAGAGCCTGGCCACCCTCGTGATGGCGCGCGATGCGCCGGAGATCAAAGAAGACAAGATAGAGAAAGAGAAAGAAGAAGCAAACATCGAGCAGAACTCGGCCTTCTTCGACCCACAGAACAAGAAAGCCTCTATGATCCGCGAGCAAGTCGCCAAGCAAACACTGGACGACCTCCTAGATTATATCTTGGACCAGAACGGCAGCGTGGGCATTTTGGATGCCACAAATAGCACGCTGCAGCGTCGAAAGATGATCATGGATCACATCCGAGAGAGAGCCGGACCTCAGCTGAACGTGCTCTTCCTCGAGTCGAGCTGTGTAGACCAAGATCTTTTGGAGGCAAACATGCGCCTCAAGCTCAACGGTCCGGACTACAAAGAAATGGACCCAGTGATTGCCCTCGAGGATTTCAGAAAGCGCGTGCAAGAGTACGAGAAGGCCTACGTCCCATTGGGCGAATATGAGGAGAAGCACAATATGCCATACATTCAAATGGTCGATGTCGGACGCAAGGTCATCAGTCACCAGATCAAGGGCTTTCTCATGGCACAAGCAAACTACTATCTCCTCAACTTCAACCTTGCACCCCGACAAATCTGGATCACACGACATGGTCTCAGCATGGACAACGTGTCTGGCAAGATCGGCGGTGACAGCGACCTGGCTCCTGAAGGACATCTATATGCCAAGTCTCTAGCGCGCTTTATGGATGAGAAGCGTAGAGAGTGGGATTTGAAGCAAATGGAGAACATCAAGAAGACGCACTTTCCGCCTCAGCCTGGTGATGTTACTCCACCTAACCCGTACTACCAGCCGCAGTCGCCCACTGTCAACGACAACGATTCGATCATCACTGAAGCATCTGCCCTGGGCTACGAATTGAAGCCTTTCTGCGTATGGACATCAATGTTGAAGCGCAGCATTCAGACTGCGCAGTACTTCAACGAGGAGGACTACGATACCAAGCAGATGCGCATGCTGGACGAGCTCAACGCAGGTGTCATGGAAGGGTTGACGTACAACTGCATCTCTACCCAGTTTCCCGACGAGTATCGCAGCCGCAGAGCCGACAAGCTGCATTACAGATACCCTGGCCCGGGCGGAGAAGGCTATCTCGATATCATCAATCGTCTTCGACCTGTCATTGTTGAACTCGAGAGGATGACGGACCACGTCCTGCTCGTTGGGCACCGCAGTGTTGCGCGAGTGCTTCTGGCCTATTTCAGAGGTCTGAAGCGCGAGGAGGTCGCCGATCTGGACGTCCCACTTGGCATGCTCTACTGCCTAGAGCCAAAGCCATACGGTGTCGACTTCAAGGCGTACAAATGGGATAAGAACCAAGAGTGGTTCTTCGAATGCCCAGACTTCGAACTAAAGCGCGCGGAAGACGACATGCAGTAGAATTCATGTCAACTAACGCTGAGCCCTTCCGAATTTGAGCTCTCGAAGCTACCGAAGAAGTATCGTGTACGAATGACATTCACGGAACCTCAGGACGAATGAATGATCTTACGCATTGGATGGAGAGAGGCGGCATCATCATTGCATTACTTGCCTTGTACACTTAGAGAGATGGTTTGATCTTAGCGAGGAGTTTAGAAAGGACAACAGAACTCTTGGATCCAATAGATCAGAGTCACGGCTGTATTCAAATGTAGAACTCTTTCATCAATCAGTGTGAACAATATGTCGCCTCTCTTACGGAGTTCGGGTAAAGCTCGCCACGTGATGCTCAATCCTAGCTTCAAATGGTCAGGTCATCATTGACTTGGACTTGCATTGCGACCACTTCTTTTCAACCCGCATCAACACTTTCGTCGCAACCAAGATGGGAGGCCCAAATCTCGAAGTCTTCAAAGTGCGCAGTTCCTTCACCCTCACAAAACCCTACCCTACTAATCCAGCTTCCAGTTCGGCATGTACATAATGTTCCCAATCGGCTTCATGTACTACTTCGGCATCAACCTCGACTCACGGTTTTCAGTCCCCGATTTCTGGCCCAAAAGAGGACAAACGCATGAGATACCTTTTGAAAGAGATGAGATTCGGGAGGAGATTGAAAGACTAAAGCAGAGGAGATTGGCGGCTAGGGCCAGGAGGTTGGCGATGGAGGAAAAGGAAGGAGGGCGTGCCATGAATCAAGAACATGAAAGGGAGGTTGAGGTGCAGCCGAAGGAGTATTTGAAGAATACGCATGTTGTGAGTCCGCCGAGTGAGGAGGATGCGAAGAGGACCGGGTGGTTTGGGTGGGGAAAGTGAAGAGATGGTTTTGCTCCGTGAACGGATATGATGATATGGGGCATGGGTATTGCTTGGTGTGCGAGCGCAGAACGGCGCGCGAGAGGCCAGTCAGCGCTTCTCGAGCAGAGCGTCCGCGCAAGTCTGAGCTTACGATTCTCACTTCGCCAAAACTCCTCCGGACAAGTACCTATGAGATCCTGCGAGGAATGGCAGACGCATTGTGCCTTCGCGCACACCCTAAGACACGCCCCATGCGACGGACCACAAGACTACGCCTGCAGACAAGCAAGATTGCACGAGCTACCAGCGCCCAAGCTGATCTACCAACCACGAGACATTCTCCCCAACAGCTCCACGACCTCAGCCTTACAAAAACCCTCACCACTCCACTTCCGAACCTGAGAAGGTATCGAAGATCGGCCTCGAGAAGTGCATGTAGCGAAACCGAAAGAATCGAAATCATCCATACTCTCGAACACCCGCACGCTCTTCTTCTTCTTCTTCACCTCACCATGCCTCTCCATACACTCAAAACCCCCCTCACCCTTTCCTGTAATCTCAAACAAAACCCAATGACACCTCACCGGAGGCCTCACACAAAATTCCGCCCATCCATAACACGGCCTCATCAAACAAATCGATCTTAAAGCCGTGAAAACTTCCCCGCCTACACACCCAATATCCTGCTCGATATCGATCAGAAGTTTTTCACCCCGTGCGTACCACATCGACAAAACCTCTCTCCTCAGCTTTCGACATGTCTGAGCGAGTGTGGGTTGCTTTGTCAAAGCTTGTCGCAATGGGATACATTCTCCTCCTTCCACTCCTTCTCCAAGCTTTAGACTTGCGAGGATGATTGAATCATAGATTACGTTGCGGATTTCGGCCGGGAGATTGAGAAGATGTGGTGGTGGTGGTGGTGGTGGTGGTGGTGGTTGTGGCGCCACCATGATCGGGTACAGTGGGCGGATGGATGGATGGGACGCGTATGCGTGGTGCTTGGTAACTTACGGAGTGTTCCGGGCGAGTGCTCGTTGACGTACGTGCATTATGCTGTTTGTCGTGTAGCGCGAAAATATCGCTCATCAATGTTGCTGTCTTATGGCGAAGGTCTTGTGATACATGGCAGCAAACTTGTGGCAAGAGCGATCGATCATTCGTGGTTGCCAATTCTGTCTGTGCTCAATGCTGTGAACTCAAACAGGACTGATTCTTCAATTTCTGTTGCACTGCACGTATATAGCCTGGCTTCTGACAGAATCGCAGTTCCGAAAGTCCTCTACTGCTCGAAAACAAGAAGCGCTATGCTATTTATTCATCGTCATCATGTCCGTATGCTGTGATCTCCATCCATGCTATGCCCAAACGCCCACCCTCTATGCAATGGGGGAAAAAGATTCGGGGTATCAGGTTTTTTCCTTTCCTTCTTTTCTTCGACTACAAAGCAAACATCGCACCAGCCATAGCCACACCTCCAATTGCAGCCAAATTCCAACTCGGAGCCACTGTCGGCGCAGCAGCAGCACCCAACGTTATCGTACCGCTTGTGCCACTACCAATTCTGGCACCACCCGAATGCACGGCAACACTAGTGACTGCGTTCTGGACAGGGGTAGCATCAGGAACACCCGTAGATTTCGTGATTTCCAGGATATTGTTCGAGGTGGAATTGAAGTTGGTTTGTGCGAGGGAGATTTCGTTGGCTGCCAGATCGTAGACAACGTATGCTGATCTCAAGAACGTGTCTCCAAGAACTGGTGTGCTACTTCCTGCTGGTCCAATTCCCAGAATGCAGATTTCTTGCCCTCTGTCGACGCCTGCGACGATGACGAGTTCGTTTAAAGCGACTTTGATAGTGGGCGAGGAAAAGGTGAAATCGATCGTTTCGTCCGAATCTCCTGCGCTGCAGTCGATGAATGCGATACCTTCCTGCGAGTCGTAGGATGCGCCGGTAGCTTTGTATATCGAGTGCGTGATGTTGTTTGGTAGGTACATCAATGAGCTTCCGGAATCGAGCAAAGCTGGAATGGCCTGGTTGCTGGCGATAGATCCTTGCTTGCCATTGTGGCCGACTGCGGTCAGAGCGATGATGAACTCTGCATACACGCCCTGCTCTTTGACGATTGGGACTGTTTCCAGGGATCCGGTATACTTAGCCGAGTTCACACCACCGAACAAGATCGACCCAGTCGAAGCATCGAGATCGTTGAGCCACAAACTGTAAGCATTAGTGTTGATGTAGCCGTTGTTTAACAACGACTGTGGCACGTTGGGGTACGTTTTGCCGTTATTGTACTGCACTGCAACTTCGTTGATGGGATAACCAAGGCCCAGAATTCCCTCCGCCGAACTCGATTCATATCCAATTCCGAATTGCTGGTTTTCGATAGTGGCGCTGCCGAATGATACAGTGTCGGAAGCATAGTCTCCTGAGCATCCAGAACCGTCAACGTAGGAGATGTTGAAATCGCTGTTGATGAACTGGTATGTTGACGAGTCGTTGGCGCTGTAGGTTCCAGATACTGAGCACTGATTGCTGGGATGCGAGCACAATGAGCTGTCGGCGACATTCACCCATAAATCACTGCTTCCAGTGTCAAGATGTAATCGCAATTTTTGCTGGGGAGTTCCAATAGTCGCATTCATAAAGTACAGCGTCTCCTCATTATCCAGAATGACCGAGAGCGTTCCATCACGCTTTCTCATTCGATTCCTGTCATGTTGTACTGGATTTCTGATATGCCTTCGTTGTATTGTATGCTCGACGACGCGCGGAGGGTATCCATCGTCTCGCTTAACCAAGTTGATCGCGTTTGCTCCTCCAAATATGCCAGCGGCGATGGCGTAAGTCGTAAAAGACTTCATCGTAAATGCAAACGAAAGGAAAAGCGAAAAAGCCACAGGTGGATGGAACAGGTTGTCCAGAAGAGTCAAGGATTCAAGAGCCTTTCAGGCAGGGGAAGGACTTGCGATGGCCATACGCAATCCCCGAGTATGACGCGGCCGTGATACCCACAGAGAAGGCGTAGGCGTCACGCTCACGGTGGCGGTGTTGTCAAGGATGCGGCGGCCGAGCCCGGGCAGCAGCGGCGGCAGCGACGCTCTGACAGAGACGTTATCCAAGAATGCACTCCGTCGAGCCCGGGGTCGAAGCGGATCCGTAGGTGTTGTTGTGAAGGAGAAATGTGTCTGTCCTGGAGCAATATCATCGATCGGAATACTGCTCTGACGAGGTCCGAGAGTACGCGTTGCAGATGCGGTCGCTTACGTAGTTTTGGCTTCTTCCCGCACCTGCCAATCGGCAATTAAGCTTCGCAAGACCGATTGGGATGCGCAGATCCGAAAGTCAAGTACCGCGTGGCTGTGCAGCATAGCAAGGAAGAAGAGATTTGGAAGGAATGACAAGACATCTGGCCTGCTTTTTGATTCACCGCTGTTCAAACATCCTTTGATTGCTCGTGTTCGTTTGCGCAGCAGCATTGAATCTCGTTGCAGTGCTCTTTCGGGAAGAAATTGTGAGCTGCGCTGCATCCCGCAGGCACAGTCAGTATGCATGTCAGCCCGTTGGACGACTGACACAGCGTCCTCAAAGGAGTCGGAAGGATGTACGGCTCTCCAGCTTATTTCTGGCCTGGGCAAGCCAGCAAGGCTTGTTGCAATTCCTGTGCCGTGCTGTGTTGCTGTCTCCGCCCTCGCCCTGTCTGCCTAAGCTTCACCTCTCGGCATCACAGCAGCATCCATACGCTGGTCTTGGTCCGGCTTCATGAATCGCGACGCGTTTCACAACTGTATGTCCATTGAAATCCGAGATGGGACTGCTCTTGCACTGTTTCAGCTGTGCGAATGCCGATCGGCTTGATTTTGCGCGTCCCTTGCGGCGAGGTAAAAGATACTTGGTACTTGCTGCGAACTCCTCACGTTACTGGAAGTCCCCGTGTCGCCGTAGGATCGCATTCTCCGAAGGTGCGTTGCACAGGCACGTGAAAGCTGGCTTTCCAACACGAGCATCAAGCAGCCAAGACTTGAGCCTCTGTGGAGAGCCCTTGGCTCCCCGCCTGGGCGATGTTTCGGTAGTGAATCGATGTATGTAGTACCAAGAAGATGACTGTGGACACGTTGCGATCAACACGGGTGTCTGCATTCCGAGTTGCCACTATACAGAGACCTATCAATAATCGATTTGTTTTCGTCGACGGACCAACTAGGTCGGCAAGGCCCTCTTTAATGGGTGCGCTTCAGTATTAAATACCCACTCGTCCAGATTGATCGTCGATGGCTCGGAAAAGAGCAGATAAAAGTATTTGAGCGTCTCCGCCAACCAGAAACTCTCCATGCTATCCATCTTGACAGAAGCTCCTGCTGCTGCGAGCTGTTCTGGTGGCCACGTTACGTCTGCCAATGCTGCATTGGCGATGGCTGTCTCTGTAGCATTGATAATACTCGTGAACATATCCCATCCTCGATGGAAATATGTCTCGTCTCCTGTAGCTCGATAAAGGATGAAGACGCTTTCAATTGCCTCGGGTCTCAAGATGTATCTTGTGTCGTGAATGTCGCTGAATCCTTTGGGTAATCGCTTATCTTTCATGATCTGATCAAAGTCTTGTACCTCCTCGGGTGAGTGGCGGAGAACTTCATCCTTCCACTTTTGTTCGTTCCATTGACATTCGCCTGTGCGAGATGGACACGGTATCATTTCGAATGTCTCTGGCATGACACCCATGGGAAACGCTCGATACGTCCATATGCATCCGTCAGTGAGCTTCCTGCCAATCTTGACGTGAGCTTCTTCGCTCATAAGCCTGCCGCCAAGAGCAAACATGCCACCAGCAAAGCAGACCAGATGCTGGCCCTGTGGCTCTAGTCTAGGCAGAGCACCCATTTCAGCTCTCACGTTTCCAGAGAGAAGGATGTCCGCATCTTCCGGCGTCATCGGCTTCCAGAGGTTGTACTTGATGGCGGTCTGCATACTTCTCAAGTACATCTTCTGATATATCGGTTCCGTACCTCCAAGCAATGCGTGCATCTTTGGCAAGTATTCGTACAAGGAGTCAGACATCGCAGAAAGCGTGAAGTATGTATCCTGAGTGAAGTCGGCCTCTTCTCCATTCACTACGACCGGCCACATGCCTGGCAGATGCGTATCCTCTTGCTGTTGCGCAAACAATTTCATCACTCGATCGACAGCATCATACCATCGCATGTCGCCAGTGACCATGGACAATCTTGTAAACTCCATAGTAAGAGATCCAATCTCAGCGACCAGGACTACCGGATCCGCTGTCTGTGGGATTTTGAGTGCCTCTTGCGGTTTCCATCGAGTGATTGGCATGTGGTTGGGAGTATCGAACGCTTTCAGAAGCATTTCTCCAAACTCTTTTGCCTTCTCCAGAAGTCGTTTGTCACCACTCAAATCGTAGGCAGAGAGAAGGCCTCCAAGATGGCGAATAGTGGTTTCAAAAACGTTGACGGTGTCTTGAGTCGCCTTCCCAAGGTCGATCGTCATGGTAGCTTTGACTGCTTCTTCGAAATCGTCTCTGAGCCCCATGATCCAAAGCGTGTCGAGACTGTCAACAAGAGTCGCCGCCCACCCACCAAAGCCATTACTCATTTGGCCACTGATTGGCTTCACTTCGTCCGCCATCCAGGCGAATTGTTTGTATGCATTCCAACATCGCTCGAAGGCTGCTTTCACAACAGCTTGCCTCTCCTTGCGAGTCTGGGCGTGTTCTGGGGTCTCCTTCGGAAAGTCGAACTGCACCTGAGGCAGCTTGTGGGGCTTCGCACTGGGTAGCGCGGTGAGGCTCTTTGGTGCATAGTGGACTGGCACCTGACTCCAGTCGAAGCGGCCATTGGATTGCGTCTTAGCACTTGGAAAGAAAGCCGCATAATGTATTCTTGCTTGCGACGCTATGCCATCGTGGAATCGTGTCACGGTAATAATTGCTAAAATAGCAATGACAGCATATAGAGCGTAGCGCTGAAGGCTGATCATGGTCGAAATCCTGCTATATCATGTCGTCGTTATCACAAAGTCGGACGTGTTGGGGGAAGTCCTGGATCCAATTGGGAACAGCTAGTCATACAGCATCGAATGGAAAACTACTTCAGAAGGAGGAAGAAAACATTATAACAGTGATGGCGGCAAAGCAAGGTGAGTGCACTTTTCAAGCAGGTGGAATGCAGTGACCCAGGTTATCTCGCGAAGCACGGACCCACTCCAATTTGACTTCGCGTCGCGGGAAACGCGTCTCCCAGTGGGCACATCTGCCTCTGCCATTCAGAACATCTTCACCACCTCCTCCACCTCTCCCCATCAACAACAATGGCCCGCGCAGAATCCTCCAAAGACGCCTCAACGAACGGCACAAAAGGCCACAACACCCATGGCACCTCCACCACCTACGAACTCCCCTGGGTAGAAAAATACCGCCCAGTTTTCCTCGACGACATCGTCGGCAACACCGAAACAATCGAGCGCCTGAAAATCATAGCAAAAGACGGAAACATGCCGCACGTCATCATAAGTGGAATGCCAGGAATCGGAAAAACAACCTCAGTCCTCTGTCTCGCACGGCAGCTCTTAGGCGACGCATATAAAGAAGCCGTGCTCGAACTCAACGCATCAGACGAGCGAGGAATCGACGTAGTACGAAATCGAATCAAAGGCTTTGCGCAAAAGAAAGTCACATTACCTGCTGGCCGCCAGAAAATTGTGATTCTCGACGAAGCGGATTCCATGACTTCAGGCGCCCAACAAGCCTTGCGACGAACGATGGAGATTTATTCCGGAACCACGAGATTCGCGTTCGCGTGTAACTTGAGTAACAAAATCATCGAACCTCTGCAGTCGCGTTGCGCGATCCTGAGATATTCGCGCTTGACGGATGCGCAAGTGGTCAAGAGGTTGTATCAGATTTGTGAGGCGGAAAAGGTGGAGTATAGTGATGATGGGATTGCGGCGCTGGTGTTTAGTGCGGAGGGGGATATGAGGCAGGCAATCAATAATTTGCAGAGTACGCATGCGGGATTTGGGTTTGTGAATGGGGATAATGTTTTTCGGGTTGTGGATAGTCCGCATCCGATTAAGGTGCAGGCCATGATTAAGAGTTGTCAGGAGGGGAAGATTGATGAGGCGTTGGATGATTTGAAGGAGTTGTGGTGGGTCTTTATACACGATCCGAGCTGCTGTGGGTGTTGTGCTGACTTTCTTGCGCCAGGAATTTGGGATACTCTTCTCACGATATTATCAGTACCATGTTCAAGGTGACAAAGACGATTCCCTCATTGTCGGAGCATACGAAGCTAGAATTCATTCGGGAGATTGGGTTTACACACATGCGCATCTTGGAAGGCGTGCAGACGTATCTGCAGCTCGCTGGCTGCGTCGCTAAGCTCTGCAAGCTGAACATGAAACCGCAGCTCTTCGAAGTGCCGAGAGACTAGCATGTGAATGGGACAGAAATCAACGAGCATTGTCATAATTAGCGCGGCGTTTTGGGAGTCAGCAATATGGTATGATGAGCTATGCAAGTGCACAGAACAGATCCTGTATATTCAAACCCAAGCTGTATGGTATGCTACCAGTACTCTCCAAGGTTTCAACCCGCCACCCAACCTACATGCTTGCTTGCTTACTCCACATCCTCGTAGCTCATGATATGCATCAAGCAAACTCGAGCGCACATGCCTTCAGTCTGGATTGGCGCCTTGAAACGCCGTGCATAGAGACAACCAACCACCCCCGGACGCTATGCAAATCATTGCTCAAAGCCTCCCAAAACGAAGTGAAGATCCTAGCTTTGCTTTAGATTTCGGCGTGTCCTACAGTCCCATCATCTGCATCATGCTGTTATTAGCGTACGCCATGGGCTTGATGTCTGGATGCGGCACGGCATCGAACTGGTTGTATTGCAGCTTATAGTCGCTCTCGATATTGATGTAAGCACCCTTGTTCTCTGTTGAGTCGCAGTATTTCGGCGCAGAGAACACTGTGATGCATCGTCCATCGTGCTCGACTTCGTAGCCATCCATGCGCACTTCGTGACTTCGGATGACAGCTTCGAGGCCGTTCTTTTCGCAGAAGCGCTTGGTGACATCTGGGCCGAATTGAAGACCAACGCCACGTTTTGATGGACCACGTCCAGGTGCTGGCTGTGGATCGGTCCAGAGCATTTCCATCATGAGTCCGGACTGGCCTGGCTGCCTCTGGCCGTGTCTGTTGAGCTTACGAATATCGTCGAGGCTGATGCCGTCGTCGGAGAAGAGGCCGCCATGGAGCACGAGGTATTTATTGCCAATCAGAGTTGCCAGTGGAAGAGCGGAGAATGATTCTGAGAAGAGTTTGAATACGCGTTCGTTATACTTGGCTTTGCATTCGCCCTCAAACCCATACATGCGGTTCATATCGTCGGTTTCGTGGTTTCCGCGGTTCAGGAAGAATGAGTTCGGGTGGAGCCACTTGTAAGCGTATAGAAGCAACGCAATCTCCGTCGACCAAGAACCACGATCAACAAAGTCTCCGTTGAAGAGGTAGTGATGCTTGTCGGTAGGGAACCCATTGAGCCTGAAAATCTCTAGAAGGTCGAAGTACTGGCCGTGTGTGTCTCCGCAAACCGTGAGTTTGGTACCCGCTTCCACCATAGTCTCCACCATCGTTGGCTCATTGTATACGATGTCCTTCACAGCAAGAATGATCTGGTAAACATATTTCTTGTGTATCTTTTTCCCGTTTTTGAAGCGATCAATCATGTCGTCTATGAATTCCTGCGTCATTTCGTCCTTTAATCGCACGCCATCGTACTCTTCTTCCACGATCATGTTGTCCAAGTCCAAGCCCTGCGCCGCCGACGGCGCATCTGCAATCTCGATTGCCTTGAGGAAAGCATCACGCTTCACCATCTTCTGACACGCCTCATATTGTGCTTTTGCAACCTTGTCCGTTGGATTTTTCCGTACCACCACTTTCCAATCATGGATAGCATCGCTATGCTTCAGAATTGCGGTATTGGCGACAGCTCTTCGGTAATATGCCTTTACAAAGTCTGGGTTGATCTCAAGCGCTTTTGTCGCATCTGCGATGGCGTAACCATATGCTTCGAGCTTGATGTTGGCTTGTGCTCGGTTGGTGTAGAATGAAGGCTCTTTGTCATTGGCCTCTATCGCTTTCGTGTAGTATTCGATGGCGGTCGGCCAGTCTTTTGCCTTGAAGGCCTCATTGCCCTTATTCTTCAAAGCAACAGCGTCCTGTATCGTCTCGTCTGCCGCCATGTTGGGCGAACGAAATGTGTGGTCTGTCCCGGACTATGAGGCGTGTGCAGCTCCGGAAAAGTAGCTGTAAATTTGCTCTCCGCCGAGTAACGCTGATCTGGCTATTCCTACAGAGAAAAGTGAGTCCGAGAAAATGTCGAGAAGGTTGTGGAAGAAGGTCGAGAGGGTCGATTCGATTTCTCGAGTGAGCGAATCACAGCCACAGTTCGAGGCGGAGAGAGGTCCGCGCTGGAGACAGGGATCTGAAAGGGCACGCGACGACACATGCATCTTTCGGCAACAAAGCACCTGCGCCTTTACCAAACCCATCTCCAATCCTGAACACTGCCCGAAGACCACATCTACTTCAAAATATCACCACTCGGACTCCATCACTATGGCTTCAGTACCCAGACAGCTCCGCGCCTGCTTGGTCTGCTCGTTCACGCAACAGGCCTCCAAATTCCAAAAGAGCGGCTGTCCCAACTGCGAAGGATTCCTCGAAATGCGCAATAACACCGACGCAGTAGCTGACTGTACGAGTGAGGTATTTGAAGGCCTGGTCACAGTTAACGACACCAACACCAGCTGGGTCGCGAAGTGGCTACGGATTCAAGGCTACGTCGCTGGCATCTACGCAGTGAAAGTGAACGGCTTGGTGAGTGACATGATGCCCAATCAAGAACGATCTGGACTGACGTATGCCAGCTGGCGGAGGAGTACACCGCTGCAGCAGAGAATGCTGGGATCAGATACATTCCGTGAGTGTATGCGCTTGGAAGTCTTTGCTATATATATACTGACAGCTACTAGGCGAGATGGAAGCGCTAGTCACGACGAGTAATCGTTGGATTGAGTCTACTGAGATTTTTGATGAAGCGTTCGAGCGGGAGTGGGTAGCGTTGGGCACTGGCATAGAGAGAAATTCTGGTCGCAGCCTGGAATCAAGAAAGAAATGGCGCATGGCTTGCTTTGTATTCATGCTATGGCCTCCCAAAACCTGCTAAGGCATTAGTGCTTTCAGTCATCGGCCAAAGTAGCCGGTAGAAGCCATAAACACCGCTCGGCAGCAGGATATAATATACAATTGTCCACTGTATGCCAAGGTCCTTCGCTGTCGGATTATGCAGCTCTCGACCTTTCATGCTTGCAAGACCATCATCGCGCTTCCCTTGTGCCACGTCAGGAGTCATCTCATACAGCTTATCGTCTTCGTGCTGCCCAAGTCTGCCATACACACGTGGCAAGCTCATGACGTTGCAAAAGCTGTGAGCAAGGACAACCGCGAAGAGGTTTCCAGTTCGCAAATACACAAAAGCTGTAAAGAAGCCAAACAAGCTCGTGTAAGTGAATTGGAACAAGCTTTGCAGGATGCCTCGGATCCAGACGCTCAAAGGCGGTAGAAGTCGGCCGGCAGGAGTGTGGGTCCGAAGAAGCTCGACTAGATGATGGATGTGAGCTGCTCCAAATATGAGTGGCGAGGTGAAGACAATACGGCCCGCAGGAACTTTGGCGAGGAGGTAGAGCGACACGACCAAAGATCGAAAGACCCACTCCTCAGCCAAAGGAGCGATGACGTTGTTGCGTAGTCCTGGCAACGAGTCGAAGAACCTTTCCTTGACAGCTCTCGGCCGCCACTCGCGCCAACCTCTGTCGACGATGACGGTTTCGTAGAGCGGTGCAACGAAGAGAACGGCGACAAGAGCAAGGACTCTAAGACAGTCAACAAGGTTGACGGGCCAGACGGCGAGTAAGCGGAAGACATCTCGTGCCGTCGCATGGCCATAGACGACGAGAACGTAGACGGCGACAAGGGTGGAAGCAAGGCAACTGAGAGCGACGGCTCGAATTCTTGCTTTGATTACCGTTGGAGCATCGCGTGACTGAAGACTGCTGGTCCTCAAGGTCGGCGACAGGTAGAAGGGCGCTATGAAAATCAAGGTGAATAGCAGTCCAAACAGGACGGCCGTCGTCTCTGAGATCAAGGGTGATCCTTCTGTAGAACGTTGGTGTAAGCGCTGCTGCTGCCAATGTGGTGTATGGTCGAGGCCAAGATGACGAGTTGGCGACAGCAGCTCACCTTTCTTTCCGAAATAGTAGTCTCTCAGGCGTCCGAAGAGCTGGCTACTTCCCTGCCAGACCTTATCCATTCTCCCGGGCGGCGCCATCGTTTCGAGCTTCAATCTTGATCCAATTTCTATTTTCTGCGCGTGACGGCGTGCAGGAGATCAGGCTCCGTCGACGATTATGCTACTGTTGCGCTCGCAATGTAGGAAGAGATCAACGGCTTCATCTCTCTGCAGGCCAGAACTGGGCAGTGTGGAATGGTGTTGCTGGTATGCACAACTGTCGGCGACGAGAGTGTGGTAGCGGGAGATGCAAATGGCTTGAGTTTGTGGTCGTCAGGGATGCTTGGTATTGCGGATAATTTAGGCTTCAGTGCGTGCAGTAGCGGCTCGCTCCAGACGCGTTCGTGGGTGGTGAAATTCTTGTCGAAAAGGGAGATGGCTGATAGGTGTTGACAGCCGGCTGCACTGTCAAACAATGCATGCAGGCGCGCGAGTTGTCGATGCCGTTTGCTGTTCCATGGTCGATGTGTCAGGGACCGAAGGCTACGTCGACGACATGGTATTGTTCTTTGCTGTCCGCCAGACGTCATTTCATTTCCCGCGTGCAGACACTGCACCCGGACTCGACCAGCTGTCAACTGCTGCTGAACACTGAAATGATGAGTGAGAGTGTTTCAAGGCAAAGGAGAAACGGCGTCGACCGCTCTGTCCCTCTCGGCGATGCCGTGTGCACCAAGCATTACGCCATTATCGACACGTCCAACTGTCGAAATCTGCTTGGCCCAGAATCATTGTCGAGCGCTTCGTGCGAGCTGTGCCATTGGCTGGCGGCGAATGGAGGCGCGCCGCTAGCGTGTCATTTCCGCGTCCTGCAAAGACGCAGGTGTCTGCCCATGCCTATCGATTAACGATGGCGATAGTGACCACTGACCTGCTAGGAGTACGCACTACTACGCTCGGGCGGCCGTTCAGCAGGCTCAGTACCAGCAATGCATCTCCTCAGCGACCCTCCTGCCTCCTGCCTCCTGATTCTTGTCCGTCTCCCAGCCACCACCCACGACCCACGACCTGTGCCTACACTACACTACCAGCATACGAATACCGTTTGCCCACCCATCCTACCCCAGCAAAGCCGCCTTGTACCACCCTGCAGCGTGCAGTCGCTCTGTGCGCACGACTGCATGGCCCGCGAACCCACCACCCGCCGATTCTACCGAGCGACTCCTGAAGCTGTATATACATCATCTACCGCCGAGGCCACTCTTCGCGCGACCGCGCTTCTATTGCGCAGAGAGCGTTGTGCTCTCGTGCTTGTCACTCTTTTGATATTATGCTTCACCACATGCACTGTCTTTACCAGCCTTCCATTCTACCCCTCCTAATACGAAGTCCTTCCCTATGTTTCTCGAACCCGATCCGAGACGAACCAAGAACACCGGCCAGAGTATGTCCGGATTCTTTTCATCGCAGAGGCCGATAGAATCTCCAAGAGAGCGCCAGCAGAGAAGATCGCAAGGCAGAAAGGCGCTTCATGAACGTTCGCAATCACAAAACAACCAGAGCTACCCGAAAGTAGCTTGGAACCCTACCGCAGCTCTGAGTCAACCCACCGTCCGCTTAGTCAAGCCTTCACTTTCGGATCCAACGCTTCCTGCAGACATCCGCGACGACAGCAGCGCCAGTGAGCTTGACGATGGAAAAGAGAACTGGAACAAGACGGTGAAGGATGCGGCCGCAATTCCTCCCTTACCCCAGTCCGCTAAAGCCTCAGAACCAGGATTTCCGGCCTCAAGCCGGGACTTTGGTGTTTCAGAAGCAGGTCTGCCAACGAATGAGGCGCCCAGCCTGGATCTTGCAGAGCCTCGAGCACCCAGTGCAACCTTGCTTCCGAACAGCTCGCGGGAGACGGTGACTGCGCCTTACCAGACGGTGCCCGAACTAGCATGGCTTCGAAGAAACACTTCGTCGGGCTACTACTCGCAATGTTCCACTTTGCACGCCAGCGAGATTACGCTGGCTCCGAAAGGTGCACGGAGTCAGAGGGCTAGTCAAGCAACAACTTTGCGCACGACGCCCACGCCGTACGAGCAAGAAAATCGTGCTCGAGCAGACGCCGACGAAGATATTTCCAGGTTGTTGGGCCCTGCGCATGCACTCGAGACACTGCAGGAAGCCTCTCCAGAGAGATTGGTGACAATCAGACCAGTCTCGCATTCTGATACATCCTCGCCGGACGAGCCGCGACCAGGGTCACAACCATCAGAAGGCACCTCTTCAAGACCACATAGTGCACCTGCTACTGAGTCGCCCACAGACTCGGAGCCACATCCCACGTTACGACGAAGCCCTCGAAGGGTACATTCGACAGGGTCTATTCAAACTCTGTCGAGTATACCTAATCTTCGGGAAGTCGGTTCATCTCCCATTGTAGAGACCTACGACTACGAGTCAGCCACGATCTCAAGGGCTGCTCAACTCACGTTGTCATCGCCTAATTTCATTGCATACAGCCCAAGCGCAGAATCACTGAGATCTCGTTCGCGGCTTAGGCCTCTACGTGTCGAGACCTCCTTCGACTCTATCAATTCCAGGTTACAACGGCACAGCTCAGTCACCAGGCCAGAAACTGGCCGCAGCTTAACCACTCACAGCTCTTGGGCGAGCTTAGAGCCGAACGACACCCTCCCTCCACTACTGCAGATCCCAAAGAAGCGATTGCGACACAAGCCAGCATCTGCATCACTCAACTCCCAAGCCAGTTCAAGAGTACGGGGGACTGCCGGGACTCAGACCGATGACACCATGACTTCCGAGGACATCGATACGTTACCGTATCCTCGACGCCCTTTCAGTGGCCACTTGAGCACAATCGCTAGCGAGAGTGATGGAAGAACCGAATCGCAACACTTCAGCCACTGGTCGTATGGGAGTGGTGTCCTGACTGGCGATGAGCTCAGCAGCGCACCACTTTCGCCCGTCAACGACAGCTACAGGCGGCGAGACAGCGCCCCGGTTGAGTCGATGGTGTCTAGTTTAGCACCTGAAATTCAACCAACTTCAGGAACGCAGAGGACGAGTATCGAGTCGCCTGGCGACATGACGTTAGGAATATTTCGAGAAGAGTCTGCCGTGCCTCAGCCATTATTCCGACCGCACGCTGGCCCTAGCACAGTGAACCAAAGCAAGAAGAAGTACGACGGACCTCTGCCTCCCATTCCTCCGATCCCAAAGAACCGAGACGACGACGAACGAGCCGACACAGTGTCTGAAATGACGCGACATTCTCTACATCAAAAGCGATCAGGCTATTCATTGCGATCGAAGACCTCCAACACACCAGGTCACTCGCGACAGTTGAGCGAGATCAGTTACGCTGACAGCGAAGCTCGATTCAGCACGGTCAGCAACAGCACCAGTATTTTCCCGACTTGGGCCAAACGCTTCTACAGCGGCACTGCACACTTGCCCAGCAAGCTCTCATTACATAGCAACTCGACAGATGGAAACGCACCAGTACGGCATCAAAGAGGCGAAAGCTCGTGGACAGACCACAGCATCACGAGCCGACTCGGACACACCTATAGCAATGCTGAATCGGTCAGTCCGGTCAGCAGTCACTTCCTGCCTGCCATTTTCCGGCCGAGAACGCGAAAGAAGAGCTCAGATAACAGTCGTAGGAATTCGAAATTGCGCAAGAGTCAGAAGAGCAAAAAGTCGAGCAGGTCAAGACCTTCGCAGGACACACAGCCGGATTCGATGGGCATATCCCCAGATCCTTTACCGCAACATCCTGAAGGCGATGAGATCGAGACACTTCCCTCTGGACAACCTAGATGGGGCACTTTACAAGGTGAAGACGGCCCTCCAGCAGGAAAACGACCACTTCGGAAATATAGCAAACAAGGACAGTGGGATAACATGGAATTTCCACGACCAATGACCAAAGACCGGTTAAGCGAATTTGGTGCGCATGAGCCTCGTCTACTCCCATCAAAACGATCCTCCCAACACCGCTTATCGATATGGAAAGCACCAAGCTTTGTCGAAAGTTTGGACACTTTGGTCAAATGCCGATGTAATCGTCAGATCTTACTTTTCGTCCTGGGCTTCATTATTCCTTTTTTCTGGATGCTAGGCGCTGTACTGCCTCTGCCGAAACAACCTCCTAGCAATGGCGACCTCGAAAAACAAATTGCTGGTAGCGAGGATGATGTTCAAGCTGCCATGATGGCTCACGAAGCTGGTGATGCCGAGCATCGCTGGAGAGAAGAGAGAAAATACTTGAAAGCTAGATGGTGGCGGATGCTGAATAGGATCATGAGCGTGATTGGTTTGCTCGTGATCGGTGCAGTTGTGGGTATCAATCATTCAATCTACACGACTAATGCTAATATGTACGCAGATCGCCCTCGTCGTTGTTGCCCTCACATGACATTCTCATCACCGAACACCATCGCACGAGCCGATCGGCAGGCTCTCTCATATGTCGACAATCTTTGCTGCGTCAACGCGTTTTTAGCGACTTCATTCTGGAACAGGCCATTTGCACGGCAAACACTCAATCTTATTGGATTTCTCTCTTGGATGATGATACCCATGTCAATAACATAGTGGCACGCATAATGTCGAATCGAAAATAGTTTCTAATTACAGTTACAGTTGCATACAGGGTCAGTCCATGGAAGACTTGGACCCTAGGTTTTGAATTACGGGAAGGAAATTTTTGGCATACAGACTAGAAGGATGACATGAGAACGATTCTTGATCTTCTGCGTACAACAAAGCACAGAATCGCATTACATAGCGCCTTTTTATTATTAACGACGGCGATCTTGGACGCTGTAATCTCTCCTTCATTCGTTCTTCTTCACCTTCTATCTGATCTTGCGCATAAAACATCTAGAGGATCCCATCTAAACGCCACACGGTCCTTTTTCATCATAGTCACAATCACATCAACACCAATCCCAATCCAACCATTCCCGCAACAACCAACGCCACCCCCACACTCCGCAAAGGTCCACTGGCATCATTGAAATAATACACAGCTCCCAGATAACTACAAGTCAAACCACTTGTACTCCTCTTCCCATAACTAACCTCCAACCCTCTCCCAGGATACGGACAAGCAAACTGAATACTCGCCGGACAAGATTGCATCAAACTATAACACAAATCTTCACACGGCAAGACCTCCTTGTACGGTCCCGGTCGTATGACTTCATCAATCATTTGATTCCTCGAACGATTGGTCGCGAAAGACCAATTGTAGGTTTGTTGGTAGGCAATACTGCCTTCGAGCGTTGGGGCCTTGGTCATGGGAACGTAATTTGACAGGAGGAAGTCGGAGTCGAGCATGGAGTCGTTGTTGTAGAATTTCTGGCCCACGTTTCGGGGTTGAAGGTAGGGCGCTTGGTTGGAGAAGTCTTCGCAGCGGGGAATGGAGACGGCGCAGAGCCATTCTTTGTACGCTGCTGCGCATTCTGTGCAGTTTCTTGCTAGAGAGTATTGGGCGTCTGAGGTTGTGTTGCATGCGACTTGGGCGAGGGTTCGGTTGAATGGTGCGTACCACCTGGTGGTATAGTCCTCGTAGAAGTTTTGAAGGGCCTCGAAACTTGAGACTTCCTCGTTGCTTGGGTTGGCTGGGACTGCATATGCGACTTCGTCGCAAAATGTGAGATTGAAGAGCAGCTGGCAGTTTCCGTCTGATTTGGTGGAGAAAGGGACAGGTGCCCAAACCTTGCCGCCTCCGCCAACCACGCCATCTCCAGTAGCTGTTGAATTGCCATCCATGGCGAGGAAGGCGTGGTAAGAGCTTGATGAGTTGAGAGCATTGACTAAGAACTGCTCTTTTGGCTTGTGACCGAGGCCACGAGTGATCATGCCCATCTGAACATTCGTTGTGTTGCCTCCCATATCATCTTGCTTCGCTTGTATCTGGTGGTTGTCCGAAGCGAAGGTCTGCAGGCCACAGAATGAGCTTTCCAGGCCCATCATTCCACTGAGATTGTTGTTTACTGCGAACATGATGAACGGCGCGCCCAAGTCCATCCATTCAGTGTATAAAGGATCTGAGGCGTCGGCCTGTGTCAGGTTGTCTGTGACCAGTAATGCGGAGTCGGAATCGGTGTCGACTTGGAAAAGAAATGGATCACCCATCTCCGCGGCGTAGAAGTAGTCATCGATAGATACAGCAAGCCTGTACGTCCAAGATCCTGAGAATCCGTCTGGCAGAGACGGCCCTGAAACGGCCATGTACCAGTCTCCGCTGGCATTATCGACTGAAGCATTGACGAAGCCATTGACGAATGGATAGACGCTTTGCGATTCGTTGCCAGCGTTTGGTCCAAGATCGGTATTGCCTGAACTCGTGGAAACATACAAGGTCAATTGTGGTGGTGCTTCGGTTTGTGGCTCACTTCCATTCCATACAGGTTGCGTGCAAGTATTAGCCGATATGTATATGGTCCTATCGCTGTCACTATCCTGCCTCTTGCGAAGTTCAGAATGCTTCACCTTAGTGGCACGCTTGCTTTTCTCAATGTCGCTGGGTAGGCCTTTGCCCTTCGCAGTATGGTTTCCAGTAAGGTATCGATTCGGATACATCAACAACGTCTGATTGCCTGCGCTCACGGTGTATGGGCTGGCAATATTGTTCCCTTGAATTTGCGAATCTGCCTCAGCCCTCTTACGTGGCTTCTTCTCTTGCTCTGCATGCCCATTATCCAGCGCATCAAGCTCCACGTTCAGCGCAAGAGCTTCCTCTATCCGATGCCAGTTGTGGTCTCCCCCATCTCTTACACCTCCACTGCCATCCGCAGGCAGTTCGGCCGCGTATGCAAAGTGCGGGTTCGAGAGCGACCAGAATATGAGTCCAAGGAGAGCCAGCGCTGCAGCCGATGCCAGCAGCCTGGTCTGTATTGGCGTGAGCTTAGGACATTGGAACAGCATCTTGAGCGCTGGCGCGCAAGCAGCGCATTTTGGCGCTTGTCGTCTGTCAGCGAGTGGGTCTCGCCGCTTGGCCGTGATTGTCAAGTGAATGTTCTCGAGACAATCGCGTTATCACATGCACAGATGCTCGAGCTGACGAGGCGAGGCGTTGGATCGATGGAGCTGGCTGGCCTCAAGTCGTGGCAGACCAGCCTGCTGTCACTGACTCTGCTCGCTTGCTGACTTGGCCAAGACCAATAATACACACCACGAAGAACTGCTGCGCTTCCTCAACCACCTCCTCCAAGACCTATTTTTGCTAATACCGTCTCTCGGCTGCAACAATAGTTCTCGTCCCACGCAAGCAGTCAAGACAGCAATCTCCGCCAACGACGAGCATGTCTCAGGTCTTGCTTCAAGAGAAGACAACTTGAACGTGACCAGGCCCTCCTCAAAGATCATGGCATGAGGCATCTCACGATCAGCTACGGAGTGGCATAGAGAAGCAAGCTCGGCAATGCAGAGTACTGTATGTACAGTGCTATATGCAGCTGGCCGATGGAATGCTCAGACGCCATGCTGCCAGCCTTACCCGGCTCAGCACAACACATCCACACAAAGGCCAGGCTTGGCTACTGGAGCCAGGTCGCTGCAGTCGATCCAACACCATGCTGTGCTTTCCCTTCGTCCTTGTGTGAGCGATACAGGCACACGAGCACGGCGACAGACGTGCAGGTGAACGACCATTGATTAGAGCGTATCCGGTCGTGAACATTGAACGATACAGAGAACCAACAAGCTTGTTGATCCTCGAGTGCATCTCATGCGGGTCATCAACGAGCAGGATCGTCGACTGCGCGATGTGATGTGTGCAGGAGATTGTGGCTTGAGACCTATTCCAGTCGCACGCGCTGTTACCCGCACCTCTTTCGCTCAAGTGTGCATCGGCGCAAGTAGTAGCAGGGCTTCCTGTGGGCTGGTCTGGATCTCCTTTCTGATCTGTTTGGCACTTCTCACTGTATCTCTCCCTAGTATTGTTACCCAGCGATCGATTTGCCATTCTTTCCCACTGCCGCCACATCGGATCCAAGGCTAACATTGAAAGACTGCGCAACCTCAAGTACAATGATGGCCCGCAAGGCTCTCTTCGGGCTCCTGTACGCGATCAGTCTGGCTGTCAATGCGAGTGCTCAGTGGGACAATCCAGATGGCGAAAGCGGCGCCGAGAACTCAACCACACCGACGTCGATGGAGGGGGAGATCACGATACATACTATCAATGTCGGATCCGACACCTTCTATCCCAACAGCATAATCGCGAATCCGGAAGATAAGGTCATGTTCGTATTCCACGACGGCAACCACTCTGTCATACAAAGCCTCTACGGATGGCCGTGTCAACCACAAGCAGCAGTCACTGGACAGGAAGGCTTTCATTCGGGATTCTTTCCAATCACCGATCATGATGCCGCGCTCTCGACCTGGAACCTGACTGTGACAAACAATACCGATCCTATCTTCTTCTACTGCGGAGCACCTGGGAGCTGTTATGGAAAAGGCATGCTGGTATGAGGGTACAAGGCTGGATGCAACGCCGCTTCCGAGACTAACGATCTAACTAGGGCGTCATCAATGCCAACAGCGAAACAAATGTAACCAAGCAGATCGAACTGGCCAAAGCATCTAGATATGGTCTAGAATTCGGAGACACGATGGCACCGGCAGCATCAGCTAGCATGACAGCACTTGCTGCGGAAGTCCTGGCCGACGACAAAGAACACCCACATAGCTTGTCAACAGGTGCCATCGTTGGCATTGCCGTAGGCGGAGCAGCAGGCGTTGCGCTTCTTGGAGCACTCTTGTTCTTCCTGCGACGCAATCGAAAATTGAAGAAGCAGCTCCGAGCAAGCCAAACTGTACCAGCAGCTGGGATGCCGCCACCGTCCGATACCATGCAACAGCATCACGGCCACACTTCATACCTCCCACTCGAGGATCCACGAATGATGAACAAGCACTCGAGCCCAGCGCCACCATATCAAGCATACAATCCCACGCAAGAGCAGGTCAAAGCGCCAGAAGCATCACCGTATGTCCGTTCCGTGAGTGAATTCTCATATCACACGCCGGGATGGAGTTCGTTTAGTCCACCTCCTCAACATCAGAATTCCAGGTAAAATAACAAAAACTTCAGACAATAACCCTGACAGATTAATGATGAGATCATAGACTTTCCAATACTTCAGAACTGGGAGGCTCAGAACCAGCACTGCGGCACGAACTAGCAGCAGCGCCACGATCACCAGATAGACCTCCAACAGGACTGGGCATAAACGAGCATGAACGGAGACGAATAATATGAAGAAGCGAATCTTGTAACATATCGCATCTTTACGATTTATTCATTCCACGATGATCACGATTCATGCATGACAAGTGCCACTCGTTCATCTCCCCATTCCCATCATGAAAGTTTGTTTGCTATCACCACATCTGGCCAGCAGTACAGTACGTACATATTGCGCATCCCAACCCAACCCAACCCATCCTCTCTTCCTCTCCTCATCCACGACAATGTGCAAATACCGCCACCGCATCTTCTCCTGCGGCCACCGCGAAGAATTCCTCACACGCCGATGCAGCTACGCCTCCATCGACTCCCACCATCCAATCCGAAAAGACATGTCGGCGCACGACATCCACTCTCCCGTCCCCTGTCCTCGCTGCCGCCACCATCGACATCGACACCCAGAACAAACCACCGACCCACCCCTACACCACCAAATCCTATCTCTAAGCCTCGGAATTCTAGGCCAGTGGAAATAAGGTGGTTATCTTCATCTTCTATTGACCCTGTACCATAAATCCTCACAAGAAGTTTTCAAGCGTTGGAGATGGCGCGCGCAAACTCGGTTTCGGACGTTGTCTTCCAAAATTTCGAATTTTCCGCAGCGTGAGGCGCACCAGAGGAGTTGGCGTGCGGATCGGGGGCAGCCGCAGCCTGAGTAGTGGGTCGGGGGTTGGAAGCACATGGGAGGGAGCGCTACGGCCGCGACAATGGTGGGGTGTGTCGGTGGATTGGATCGTATGATGTTGCTGGCTTGATTAAGAGGAATATTGAGCTGACTTTGGCTCCATGCGTGGTGAAGGTTGTTGTAGTAGTAGTAGTAGAAGAAGAATGTGATGTTCCAATGGCCTCGAATCTTTTGCGTGCATGCCAAAGATGTGAGGCATAAACACTGTTGCTGTTGTTTGCAAAGTCCTGGCTCTTTCCGAATCTCACTCACGTTCTCTTGCCGACTGTCGCAGCCCGCGCGGCTGTGTCAGATGATGGCAGGTACAGCTCGAGCCTGATCTGTCGGTCGCTGCCTTGCTCGAAAGGGGATGTACATATGCTGGCTGTTCGGCAGTGAAGCGCAGACGGACGAGATATTTTGAGCCTTCTACGTCAGCGTTCTGACACGTGCAAGGTGGAATGTGGTGGAAGGCTGGAAGCAAGGAGGAGGAGCTCACCATTGTCCGATAAATCTTGGGTCGCGTTGCAAGCTTCTGCATTCCTTTGTTCGGAAGTAGTACCTGCAGCGGCAGCGACACGGCAGCGACAACGGCAACGGCGAGCACAAGATCAGGAGAACGCGGGGAGGCATTGTCATGGCACATGTTCGTATTGGTAGCACTATCATACAAGCCAGGTTCAAGCCATCTTAATGCCCATTTGTGAGATTAGAATGCAAAATCGCTTCTGCAATCCAACTTGAAGAGATATCCAACCCCCTCACCCAAACTTATCTGGCTTCTTTCCGGCTATGCAAAACTTTTTCTTTTCTTCTTGGTAGTACAAGATCAATGGGTCTCGTGTCGTTATCGTGCCATGTAAGTAGTTTCTTCGTGTGAGATTTACCCTCCTTTCACCATAAGCAAAGTGTCGTAAAGCCGAGAACAAATGGAAAGTTTCAAAAAAGTCGAAATGGTGCTAAGTCAAAAAGGTGTGTCCAAAGGATACGCCGACGATGATGCAGGTGGTCGGTGGTGGTACAGGATCATCCAAGAGGTAAGAGATGTCCACGAGTCGCCGGTTTTAATGCAAGATGTCGGTGGTGAAAATGCTGTAGTCTGCAAGTACACTGGCTGCCGCGCCGGGTATGCCAGATCTGTCGAAGTAAAGTGCCACGCGTCTATTCGCGTCAAAATACAGTTCGGCCGTGTCAGGAGTGTCGTAGCTCATACTGAAGAGAGACTGAGCGCCGTGATGCTGTGAACAGTCGAAGTAACAACTGCCAAACGCCAGAGGCGAGCCGAGATACTGTTACAGCAGAGGCGAAAGTCGAATGCAGATAGACGTAGACGATTGCTCAAAAGTGACCGCCATACGCCTGAGCGCCAGGACCAGAGAAGCCAGGAGCGCCATAACCGTTGTGGTATGGTTGCTGAGCACCATTGAACATGAATGAGTTCTGGTTGCCACGCTGTGGAGATGGGGAGGTGATGCTGTCGCCGCCGTAAATGTTGCCGCCATAGCCTGGAGCATCGAAGGCGCCGGTACCAAAGCCATTACCGTTGGATGCCCACTGGGTAGGGGCGCCAACCATGCCGTGGCGGTTGGCACGAGAAGGAGTCTGAAGTGGTGGTGCAGAGAATGGCGCACCTGGTGGATTGCCGGCCGACTCCATTGGAGAGAGGATGGAGGTACCCTGAGTGACGTTGCGGTTGTCGTATTCCGCGAGCTTGCTCTGGATGCGGCGACCGTGAGGAGTGTTGCGGATGCCTGGAAGGATAGAGCGGACGTTCTCGAACATGAGAGCCTTGAGCTCGTCATCGGCGAAGTCCATAGCAGTCTGCACGACGTAGTTGGCGAAGCCGTCGCGAAGAAGCTTCTCAAGTGTCTGCGGTGGCATGATCTCGCGGACAATCTCGCGCCGAGTCTCGACGCTAGCGCATCGGATGCACTTCTCGATGACGTTGGAGCTGAACTTCTGTCGTGAAAGAGCTGGGATCTCGCCATAGAAAGCGCGGCAGAGAGGCTCGGTGAAGCATGGCTCGGACAGATCGAGAATGTACTGCACGACGTAGTTGCCAAAGGGATCCTGAACCAGAGAGTAAGCGTTGGCGATGACGTGATCAACCATCTCGCCCTTCTGCAAACCATCGGCGTGATCGATGCAGCGTTGGAGGACGCAGCAGCCGTGACGGTGAGTGCCGACGGTGATGCAGTTGTTGCCGACAGCCTCGAAGATGAAGGTGGCATCGATGGAGGAAAGGTGGTTGAGGCACTTCTGGATGACGTGGTTGCCGTTGAGGTCCTGGATCAGCAGCACGACATCGTTGCGGAGAGCCTTGATGATCTCCTGGGTCTGCTCTGGAGTAGTAATGTACTCAATCATCTTCTGGAGGGCGCGAGTGCCGTGTTGGTTGAGTGCAATCTTGTTCATGGCAGGAGCGGCGTTGACGATCAAGGCAGTGCGCTGCTCATCGTTGACGCTCTCGAGAAGCTTCTGGCAGAGATAGTTGCCGAATGGGTCGACCATGAGCTCAATCATGTGGTCCTTGACCTCCTCGAAGATAGTCTTGACAGTCTGCTCGTTGCGCTCCTCAAGCTTGCGCTGCAAAAAGCGGCAACCATGCTGGTCCTTGCACAAGCCGTAGATCTCGCCAACGAGCTGCTCAACCTTGATCGAGTTGAACTTGGCTTGAGCATCCTCGGCAGCCTGGCGACGCTGCTGTGCGCTGACACGCTGACCATCGTATCGACCAGCACCTGGTCCAGCCTGGCCATTCTGAGAGAACTGTTGATGCTGCTGCTGAAAACCACTATAGCCGGCTTGAGCGAATGGACCGCCGACCTGAGATGGCCACTGACCTTGACCATGGCCTTGAGCGTGAGCATTGAAGCCGTTGGCACCGCCGAGGTTCATGTTGTTGAAGCCGTTGGCGATCATGTTCATGCCGTAGCCGCCGTAGTAAGCAGCAGCAGCAGCAGGCTGAGCAAATGGAGTCATGTTTGGACTGCCGAATCCTTGAGCTGGACCGTTGTCGTGACCTGGACCGAACGGAGCGGCGTTGGCGTGCAGACCAGTATGAGATTGGTCGTAAGCGTCTTGAAGATCGTCTTGCTTGGTGGCAGAGTACTCCTGGCTTTGACGGTGGTTGTTGGAGGTAGAGGAAAGGCGGTGGAGGGCAGCGTTGCGGTTCTGCTCTGGAGAAGTGGTGTTGGAGAGGGCAGCGTGGTGGTTTGGAGGAGACACGAGGGAAACGCCACCTTCTTGAGCTTCGCCGTTGATGCTCTTAAGTGTTGGGATGTCGTTGGTAGAGTAGGAAGACTGAGGCATCTGAGAGCCGTTTGCAAGTGCACGAGGCGGTGAGGCCAGCGTTGGACGCTTGGTCTCGGCAGTGAACTTGACCTCCATTGAGCGACGGCTGTTTGCAGCTGATCGGTTCTCGTTTGAGTTCGCAAGAATGCTGTTTAGTGGAGCGATGTTGACTGTGCTGCTCAGAGCACTTGGTGGCAAAGAGATGCGGTGACGGTTAGCCGATGCACGTTCGGGTACGTGCTGTAGATCCGAATCTGGAGATGAGGAAGCAAGGTCAAGAGCTGCTGAGACGGCGGAGACCGACAGATCACCGTTCTCTTCGCGCCTGATGAGCTTAGGGAAGCCGTCCGCAGTGTGCTGTACCTGCAGATAGGTCTTGGTGTCGGGTGGTGACGTCTGATTAGACTTTGGTATGGTAGAGGACCTCTCGTCGTCGTCGAAGAGGAAGCCTGTGGTGTTCACGTGACCAAAGACTAGGTCGGTAGTGTTTCGTTTGCTTCTGTCGTATGAGGTGATTGGCATAGAATTTCGGTTCGGACTGATGCAGTGCTGGTTAGCTGCTGTGGGCTCTGGCCGGGGGCGGGCGAGCTTTATATACAAACTCGCGGTGCTGGCGCTATTGTTGTTGAAGCGACAATGGGGAATGAAGTTGCTATTGTTACAGAAGATATTGAGGTGGTCGGGGTTGAAGGTGTTGTCGGACAATAGGATGAAGTTTTGACAATTGCAAAGTGAGTGAAGCAGACCGCAAAGTGGCACGTGGTCTCTCTCATGCCAAGAATTATGCAAGTGAACGGTGCAGAAAGCGGTGAGTGGAACTGAAGAAATGACGAAAAGACTCACTTTGCACCTGCACGACGAAGCGCATTTTCATAACCGTAAATGAAGTCATCGTCCTCTTCCTCGTCGTCAGATTGGCGTCGCGAGCCAGGAACTGATTGAGATGGGAGGTTGGAATTGCTTGGGCCGGCGTAGGATGCTCGAGCATATGCCATGGGTGGAGAGGTAAGCTGAGTGCTAGAGCGATTTGGTCGGTTTGCGATGCCTGGCGGAGACGTGAGACTCGCAGCAGAGTATCGGTTCGGCCTCGTGAAATTGTTTGGAGCCAGGACGCTATGATACTCTGGCGGTGTGGTCGGCTCACTTTGAGCAAAGAGCTGCGTGACCGCTTGTTCGTGGCGCAAATTTTCGTCGACTTCGCGGCGTGTATCTGCGTCGACTTTTGCCAATTCTTCTTCGATCTTGCGCTGAGCTTGAAGAAGGGTTTCGTAGTGACGGGCTGCTCGTTCAGACTGAAAGATGTCAGAACGAAATTCGAAGGAAGATGCCTAACAGAAGTCTCTGCTCTCGTCAGGCTGCAATGCCAACCGGCAGCATGCATTTTGCTGAAAAAAAAATAAGGTGTATCCCAGGCAACCGAGCCGAACAGACGCAGCTTTCACGGCAGCCCAATGCTTCTAGACAGCTTTCTCAAGAATCTGCTTACCGGAGTGATTCTGTTCTGCGTATTTGTCTGCTCAGGCATCAAGTCAGCCACACTCTGCCGCACGCACGACGCCCGAGGTTCAGTAGGCAATAAGTCTACATATCTTGCTCAAGGCGGAGAAATGTGTGTCGCTATATCACGGCTTGGTCATGCATCGCGTCCTGCTGAGATGAGAGCTGGAGTCCTGCAGGCGTCATTCTGCAGACAGGCGCATTCACAAGCAACCACGACATCTCCAAGGCTCAAATATTCCATTCTTACACCAAATCGAAGACATATGCCCTCCTCTTCGTCTATTGTATGGCGGTGCGAGGTGGAGAGGACTTACGGCTTGCATGTCGCCGGCGGCTTGTAACCTCTGCTGGCCGATAGGCGACAGGGTGGGGACGGTATTGGTGGTGAACCTCCGCGTCAAGACGCCCCTAGCATCGTTGGTGGCAGCCATGCTCGCACTCCATCTGTTCGGGTTTCGCTGTGGAGGGCTCAGAGAGTTGAATTGCTCGTCTCGGGGCGACTGGGGTCCGCGGTAGTATGCCATCTTCAGAATGACAGAGTGTCAGCGTGCATCGCAAAGTCTCAGCCGTGCCAGCGGGAGGCTGATGGAGGGGAGTGGAAGCGTGCATGGGAGCAGACGTACCTTGGAAGACGGGACAAATCGCAGGCCCGGGTGGAGGGTGGTGTAGCAGCGTTGCCGTTGCGATATGCAGGCACCAAGGCCAGATGCGATGGGATGGTTCAAGGGGACAGAGTATGCGGGCGACGAATAGAGGGTAGCAGAACTATACCATAAAGACAGACAACGAAATGTGCACGCGGGAAAGGAGAAGGGTGGTAGTAGTAGTAGTAGTAGTCGTAGTAGTAGTAGTAGCAGTAGTAGTAGTCAGGTCGCGTCAGAGGTAAGCCTGGTAAGGGTCCAGAGGAGCAGTAGGGTGCTAGGTGTACGTTACTACGGAGTACTGGGTGAGAGTGGGAAGGGTGTGGAGTGGAGACGGATTCAACATGGGCCAAGCCAAGCAGCGCAGCGCAGCGCAGCATTTTAATTTTTGGGGCAGAAGAGGCTGGCTCGAGCTTTGCTTTGCTCTGATTAGTTTTGGTCTGAAACGAAGCATGCCTCCCTGCCGAGATGTCATGTCCGCACCGTTATCCTATGCTGCCTTGCAAATGCCATTATGCCTCTGCGTGCGGAGGAGCATGGCTGCTGATTAGTCAGGTTAGAATAGAATAGTGGGCGAAAATGGGTTGGGCTTCAAGGCTTCCGCTCCGCTTCGCTTCGCTTCGTCACAGGCACTCGCTGCCAAATGGCGGTCTGCTGCTTCGAGTCATCATCGGCGCAAGACTGATGAGCATTATTATTGCGCAGCCTCGCTACCGCCACCGCTACCGCCACCGCCACCGCTACCGCCACCGCCACCGCTACCGCTACCACCGTCGGCACGCCACGATAACAACAAACGCCCATGCACCACTGTCGGCCGCCCGTCTGCCCGTCTGCCCGTCTGCCCGTCTGCCCGTTGTCGACGCGGCGGACAATATTCCTCGTGGGCAGCCCTCGCCCCTCCGTTCCGTTCCTGCCAACCCGCGAGTGACGCACGGACGCCGCTGCAGGGTTCTCAAACTCTACGCACGCACACCACACATGCGGCAAAGGTGCCTGCCCTGTCCACGTCCACGACCACATTATTGCATTATTGCAGCGATTGAGCGTGCGCTGGACGTGATCGGTGCCACACCCGATAGCCTCAATGCCGCCGCGCGCGAAGAAAGCCGCTGGCCCTACAGAGGTGACGATCAGCAGCGGCAGCAGTAGCTCGTCCAAGGTATGCCGTGGCAAGGATCAGAAAATGAGGTGAGTCGCAACTGACTGTAGCCACATGATTGAAGCCTGCCGCACCCAAAGCTGCCGCGGCCAAAAGAAGAAGCACCACAACTGCCGCCAAGACGAAAGAAACGGAAGACGCTGCAGCCAAAGCCGCAGCCAAAGCTGCCTCTGCCTCTGCCGCGCGAGATGAAAATGCTGCAACGCACAAAGCAGCGGCCAAGAAGAATCGCGTGGCCGCCGATGACCTGGACGCACTTCTACGCCCGTGGTACTACTCCAAGAGCCTGACCGATCCCATCAACACTGCCGCCGATAAATGGAATCTTCTACCCGCCTTCCTGAGAGTCAAGGGCTTGATCAAGCAGCACACGGACTCCTTTGATTACTTCGTCGACATCGAGCTGAAGAAGATTCTGAAGGCCAACGAGTTCATCTTCACCGACGACAAGCGGAAGTGGATCAAATTCGTTGACATTCGAGTTGGGAAGCCGTGTCGGATCGAGGATGCCCGCGCCGGATATGTCCAGACCGAAGTCACTCCCAACGAGTGTCGTCTTCGCGACATGACCTATGCTGCTCCCATATATCTTGACTTCATCTATCCTCGACAAGCAGGCAATGTGCGAAAGACGAATGTCCTGATTGGTCGACTCCCCATGATGCTTCGCAGCTCGAAATGTGTGCTCAAGGGTCGCTCCGAGTCAGAAATGGCTTGCCTGAACGAGTGCGCCGTCGATCCAGGTGGCTACTTCATCGTCCGCGGTCAGGAAAAGGTCATTCTGGTCCAGGAGCAACTGAGCAAGAATCGTGTCATCGTGGAGTCCTTCAAAGGCGTCATCCAGGCCTCCGTCACCAGTCATACAGCAAATGTCAAGACAAAGACCTACGTTTTGCTGAAAAAGGGTCACATCTACTTGAAGCACAATTCTCTCAGCGAAGACATTCCCGTCGCCGTCATGCTGCGTGCGATGGGTGTTCAGTCAGATCATGAGATTCTGCTGCTCGCCGCTGGTAACGATGCTCAATATCAAGACGAATTTGCACCGAATCTGGAGTTGGCTGCATTGGAAGGCGTCTTCACTCAAGAGCAAGCTCTGGATTTCATTGCGACGCGCTTGAAGCCAGACCGATTTGCTAGCCGGAGACAAGAGCGCACACCGAAACAGCAAGCTCTCGAGAAGCTCGCTGGCACCATCATTCCACACGTCGAAGTGGAAGGCATGAACTTTCGACCGAAAGCCCTCTACGTAGCCTTCATGACACGAAGAGTGCTGATGGCCATGAACGACCCAAAGTTGGTCGACGATCGTGACTACGTTGGAAACAAGCGTCTCGAATTGGCAGGTCAGATGCTTTCACTCCTATTCGAAGACCTGTTCAAGGATTGCGTGAGGCAGATCAAAGGAAACATGGACAAGATACTCAAGAAGGCAAATCCTACACAGGAATTTGATCCTCTGAGACTTGTTGAGCAGATCGAGTCACGCATCACCAGCGGCATGGAGCGTGCCATCTCTACTGGTAATTGGACTTTGAAGCGTTTTCGTATGGACAGAGCAGGTGTGACGCACGTGCTGAGCAGACTGAGTTATATCAGTGCTCTCGGCATGATGACAAGAATCACCAGTCAGTTCGAAAAGACTCGCAAAGTCTCTGGACCTCGTGCTCTGCAGCCATCACAGTTTGGCATGCTTTGCACCTCAGACACTCCGGAAGGCGAAGCCTGTGGTTTGGTCAAGAACTTGGCTCTTATGACCCATATCACGACAGCAGACGACGAGGCACCGGTGCGAAAGATCATCTACATCCTTGGAGCAGAAGACGTGACGTCTGTTTCGGGGACTGAAATCTATGGCAACGGTGCTTATATCGTTTTCATCAATGGTACTCCTGCGGCGCTCACACGACAACCAAAGCAATTCTTGCTCGGATTTCGCAAGTTCAGACGAATGGGCCGGATATCGGAGTTCGTGAGCATCTTCATCAACCATCATCACAATGGTGTCCACATTGCCACCGACGAAGGACGAGTATGCCGTCCCCTCATCGTGGTCGAGAAAGGAAAATCGAAAGTGACAGCACGCTTCCTGGAATCGCTCCGAAAAGGCGCCATGGACTTCGATGACGCCCTGTCAAGAGGTCTTGTGGAGTATCTTGATGTCAATGAAGAGAACGACTCCAACATCGCCGTTTATGAGAAAGACATCAATGAGCACACAACACATCTGGAGATCGAGCCATTTACCATCCTAGGCGCTGTCGCAGGGCTGATTCCATACCCACACCACAATCAATCGCCAAGAAATACCTACCAATGTACGCAAGTTATCGTCGCCCTGAAATCTGATACTTCATATACTGACTTCATTTAGGTGCCATGGGTAAGCAAGCTATCGGCGCCATCGCCTACAATCAGTTCACTCGCATCGACACCCTCCTCTACCTTATGGTATATCCTCAGAAGCCCATGGTCACTACAAGAACAATCGAGCTTGTCAAATATGACAAGCTCCCAGCTGGCCAGAACGCTGTTGTCGCAGTCATGTCGTACTCCGGATACGACATCGAAGATGCTTTAGTCCTCAATAAGGCATCATGTGACCGTGGCTTCGGTCGCTGCCAGATCTTCAAAAAGATCAGCATGCCGTTGAAAGCATATGGCAACGGCTACACCGACCGACTCGATGACAGGGATCCAAGCAATACTCGACATCGCAAAATCGGCAAAGACGGACTCGTGGAAGTTGGCTCTGAGCTGGAAAACGGCGACATGTATATGCTCAAAGCATCGCCCATAAACCAATCTCAAGCGATCCCTCAAAAAGACCAAAAGTGGTCCCCTATGCACATGTCCTACAAACTCCCCGACCCATCCTATGCCGACAAAGTCATGATCACCGCCAACGAAGCCAACACCACGATCCTCAAAATCCAAACCCGCCAAACCCGCCGCCCAGAAATCGGCGACAAATTCTCCTCCCGTCACGGCCAAAAAGGTGTTGTCGGCCTCCTCGCCGAGCAAGCCGACATGCCCTTCTCCGACTCCGGCGTGGTCCCCGACATAATCATGAACCCACACGGTTTCCCATCCCGAATGACAGTCGGCAAAATGTTGGAACTCGTCTCGGGCAAAGCCGGCGTTTTGACCGGGAAACAAGAATACGGTACCCCATTCGGCGGTTCCAAAGTCGAAGATATGGGTTCCATACTCGTAAAACACGGCTTCTCATACTCCGGCAAAGATCACCTGACATCAGGCATCACGGGAGAATCCCTGCCTTTCTACGTTTTCTTCGGACCAATCTACTATCAAAAACTCAAACACATGGTTCAAGACAAAATGCATTCTCGAAGCACCGGTCCTCGCGCCATCTTGACCCGTCAGCCTACCGAAGGTCGCTCAAGACAAGGAGGTTTACGTCTCGGAGAAATGGAACGTGATTGTTTGATCGCGTACGGTGCGAGCCAGTTATTGCTGGAGAGATTGATGATTTCTTCTGACGCTCATGATGTGGATGTTTGTCAGGGGTGTGGCATGATGGGGTACAACGGTTGGTGTCAGAGTTGTGGAAGTTCCCGGGGGGTCACGAAGATGACTATGCCTTATGCTGCGAAACTTCTGATTCAGGAGTTGATGAGTATGAATGTTAAGGCTAGTTTGCAGTTGGCTGATGAGTTCCCTCGGGAGGAATGAGGACATGAGGGTTAGGCGGGAATGGGGATGAGAGATGGGGTGATTTGTCGCATAGCGAGTGGCGTCCGGACATCAAGGGAAGCAAATGGGTGAAATGCCTCACGGCAAAAAGATGATTGTGTATAACATTGTGAGATGAGAACTCGATCAAAAGCGTGAGTTCTGGCCTTTCATGCGTCATCATCATCATCATCATCATCATCCACCAGACAAATTCAAGGCTACGAGATCCTCGTCAGCGTCTACATCATCTCATCTCATCGAATTGTCTCTCTTGGACTTCCACGCTGAATCACATGTACCCTACAAAAGCTTTCTTTCACCATGACACTGAACAGCATATAGATATAATTCGAATGTTGCTTGCTTGCATTCGAAAGTCATTCAATGGCTCGGCTCAGCCCAGTCAGTAAGTCGTCCTACTCATGAGAACGCTTGACATGCAACTTTGACCAGCTATGGACTCGAAACGACAATAACTACGGCGTTTTCGCCAGTCCAGACGAGTGCTGGAATGCCCGTGAGCCGTGTAGGGCGGATTGTTTTGCCAGAGGAGATTTTTTTTTGTAAGAGATGAGACTATCGTGATTGCGACGGATGGTCGAATGGTTACTGTGAGGTTCTTGACGGGAGTATGATAGGTATGATTCGATAAGTAGTGCCTGCTAGCTTGACCAGACAGCAAAGGTCCTAGGTATCCAAAGCAACCCAGCAGGCTAATTACAATACGAACAACACCCATCCAGCCCCATATGTTCCGCTCCAATACCTTCCGATCACTGTGAGTACGACAATCTGACGACGTCCTACTAGAAAGCCGCCATATGCTCGGCCTCGCCATTGATCGAACGTAGAGCTTCCTCCGCCAATTCGCTCCTCAAAGCCGCAGCCTCAGTCTCACGGCTCATCCGCTCCCACTCACGCAAACTCCTTCGCTTCTTGGTCTCCTTGTCTTCAATCTGCTTCCTCAATCTTTCAGCTTCATCCTCAAGCTTGTTGAGCTTGCTGCGATCGACGACTGGTTCCATCTTCTGTCCACCTTCAACGATCTTCGGTAACTCAGCGAGCGCAGGATGCACACGAGAAGCAGAAGAATTACCAGACGGTCCAGTTGGTACGGTCATCGAGTTGATGCTGTGTTCGGTTGGACGACGACCAGCTCTTGGCCCGGTCGGCGCATCTGGCATAGCTGCAGTTGTGCCATTAGTGGGCTCGAATCGCTGTGAGCGTGGTCCGGTGGGTGCGGTACTACTGCTTGACTGGCGGGAGAAGGAAGCTGGGCCCAGAGGTGGTGACGCCTGCGAAAAGGAACTCCTAGGTCCTGAAGGCGGCTGACCACCGGGCCCGGATGGAGGGTTGAAGGTCTCGCTCACGCTTCTATTGCCTGCGAATCCAGAAGGTCCTGCTGGCGGCGCGCCTCCTCTGCCTCCGCGGAAAGAGCTGAATCCACCTCGGCCTCGAGGAGCAAAATCTGCACCAAATCCACCACGACCACGTGAAGAGAAGTCGCCTCTACCAGACATGGCACCGCGAGGCCCGCTAGGAGGACCGCCTGCTCTTGGGCCTTGAGATGTAGCTGCGGGGCCAGTAGGAGGTACCATGGACATTGCTGGTCCACGCTGACTGCTAGGGCCTGTAGGAGGAGCTCTTGCAGCCGGAACTGGCGCATCGTCTTCACGCCTCGGTTCGCGAGGAGGAGGAACTTCTCGCTCTCGGCCATTGGAGTAGCCACGATCATCGTACGCGTCCCGCTGTGACCGGCGTCTCGTACTCGCGAATCTCCCTATCTTCCTGATCTCCCGCACGGTAAGGCTCACGATCGTCGTATGGATCTCGCGGAGAAGCTCTGATAGGCATTCGCTCTTCTGCAGGAAGGTGCGACATTCTGCTAGGATGCACAGGCGGCGATGTGTGTCGGGAGGTCACCGCAGAATTGACAGCTGATTCCTCACGGCTGAGGTAGTCCTGTCTGGTATCGCGCACAGGCGATCGTGGTCTTCTCCAGTCGTCAACGTTTCTTGGATCGATTCTTTCGTTTCTAGTCAAGGGCGACCTGGAGCGCAACCTATACCCTCTAGTAGCACCTCTTGTGGTCGGTGAATATGCTTCCCGCTCTCTCGGTCGCTCTGGCGAGTAGCGCCTCCGAGGCGGGCTGACACCTCTGCTTGGAGGATAGTCATCGTATGTGCGGCGTGGTGGGCTTGCCAGTCGCTCGCGCTTGGCAGCAGGTGGTGTCCTCCGGCCTCTGCTTGAGATGGGTGATGGCTCGCGAACTCTCTTCAGTGCGACGGCACTACGATCACGATAGCGAGCAGCAGCAGACGGCGCAGGCGAGCGGGCGACAGGCGCATAGCTTCTGTCCCGATCGTCTCTGTAGTCTCTGGTATCGCGGTAGTCTCGCTCGTCTCTTACTGGCTCTCTCCTGAACAAATCATCGCGCGGAAGATCTTCTCTTCTCGGCGGGGGAGATCGCGGGCGACCTCTGTAGCTATCTCCGCCTCTTGGTATGCCTTGTCTCTCATCGCGAAATCGTGGTGCTGAAGGCGAGCGTCGGCGAAAGTCGTCACGTCGAGGTGGCAGGCGATCGTCATCGCGGCGCGGTGGGAGACGGTCGTCGTCTCTGCGGAGTGGCAGTGGCAGTGGTGCGCGATCGTCATCTCGTCTCAGCGGCAGTCGATCGTCGTCTCTGCGCGCGGGACTCCTGCTCCTGCCTCGAGGCGCGCGATATGTGTCGGCCTCCAGGTAATTCGGTCTTCGCGGTGGCGATCGGGCGCGATAGCTGTCGCCGCCCAGCCTCGGTGGTGATCGATCGCGTTCTCGGTCGCGTGGTGCATGATTGCCTGGTCGATAACTCTGTCCACGCCCACCCATATACTGATCTTCTGGCGGAAAATCGCGCTCGCGCTCGCGTCTTTGCACATACAGTCAGTTTCTCCTCTCCAGGTCATAGCGCCATCTCCCATCGTCCGTCGACCCATTTCAATGTGTCCAGTGCGTGCCCATCTATTTCGTAACATCTTCGACAGCAGTCCTCCTCAGGAGTCGCGGCCGTACCAGCTTGCAGAGACAGGGCAAATTTTGGCTTTCCCGTGAGATGTGCTGTACGATGACTTACCTGCGATCGCGGTCCATGGTTGCAGCAATACAATGCACTGCTACAGCTGCTTGTAGCAATGCGTGTGGTAGTGGTGCTGTGCGAACGTCGACTGTGGACCAAGCTTTCGAAGTAAGCTCTTCGCTCTGCCAGCTTGGGACTGGGCCGGGCCAAAATACCGCGAATCATATGCACGTGACACTTCTTCCCAAATTCCCAAATGTTCAACGGATGGTCTGTGGTCAGGATATCTCGCTCTGCCTGTCTCCTCCTGTCGAAGCCGTTTCATTCCATCATAGTATGATTATCATGCCGCCTCGCCTCGCGGTGCGCTATTCAAGCTTTCGAGTTCAGCGTCGGTCCATCGATAGGATTTCGCAATTACACGGCACGGCATACTGGGAATCTGCTCCTAGCCATCTCTATACACTGCCCTCTGCCCTTTCTCTTCTCCGCCGCTCATTCACATCACCGTCTCCCTCTCAGTGCCCGCTCTCTGTCCCTCTTTTGCCGCTTAGCACTCTCCTCTGCCACCATACCACTCAGATCCTCCTGGTCAACGCCTGATCCTTGGAAGCCCCGATTCTCTGCTGCTCTCTGCCGTTCATACACTCTCTGCAGGTCCTCTTTACTCATCTTTCCGTCTCGTACCAAAGCCTCCACGTCCATAGATACATCGACATCGCCCGCTTTCCTCTTCCTGCTACCATCTTCCTGGCCAAGCACAGGCACCTTGCTGTTACCGCTGAGATCGTATGCGCGCTCGCCGCCAAAGAATCCCTCAGCCCGGATGTTGCGCTCATTGAGCACAGTTCCTGCGCTTCGAGGCTGATTCGATGCCTCCGTTTCGGTACCGTATCGCTGCTTTCGTAAGTTGACGTCGTCAGGCATACCACGTCCTCCTGGAAAGTCGGTCGGTATTGTACTCATGATTCCTCCAGGAGTTTCGGTACCGCCGTAAGGAGTCTCTAGACCAGTCCTCCTGCCAGACTCGTCATCTTCTTCCTCGTCATCTTCTTCGTCTTCATCCTCCTCCTCCTCGTCAGACTCATCCTGTGGTGGCTGCAGCTCGCCCCACAAGCTCTTGTCTACCACCTCTACTCCTGCGTCTTTCTGATTTGAATCGTCTTTCAAGTCTGCCAGTCCGAAGACATCTCCGCCAAAGAGCGGTCGATTTTGATCGTCGACCGGTGGCTTACCATATCCACCAGGATGGAAACCCCACTGTGCTCCAGGTGGAGGCGGCGCATTGAGCCCAGGAATCTTCAGGGCGGGATAAGAAGGCGGAGGGCCGACTTTCTGCTGGTTAATGAGCCATGGAGGAGGCGCACCTGGGGGCATGTTCAAAGCTTCCTTGAGTTCCTCACTAAGTTCTCCGGGTCGAAGATGCCGCAGGTTCGTCTCGAATTCCTTTCCTTCATAGTAGACTTCGCCGTATCTCGTCAACGTCGGCTTCGTTTGTCGTCGGAAGAACGCCTCGTAGAGTTTTTGGTAGTCGATATCTAGCTTGCCAGTCTTTCCCTGCACCCTCTCACGCTGTCTCTGCTTCAAGCTTGCTTCCGCCTGCTTTTCCAAGACCGCGTCACGCATTTCTGCAATGCCTGTCTCTGCGATAAACTTAGGTAAAGCAAATCCGGGCTTCTCGATACCGCGCTTGCTGCTCAAATATTCGCGCTTCAGACTCCAGTGAGTTGGAACAGGGACCACATTTCGCGCGCTCTTAATGTTGACCAATAATCGCGGATCCTGCGCGGACGTGTCGGTCCACTCCACAATCTCCGGCTTTCGCACAATGGCTTTCAATTCTGCGATGCTGAGCTTGTTGGCAGCTTTGCGAGCCTTCTTTGACAATCGCTTCTTCGTCTCCTCTTCCTCATCTTCATCTTGAATGTTGTCATCGTCATCGTAGAATACCTCAGGCTTCTCAGGCGCCGTTAGCGCAGCTTCTTGCTTCTCCTCTTCCTGGAACTTGGCGAAGATGTCTGTGAATTGAGAGTAGAGCGGATCATCTGGTGACAGATCGTCTGGTATTGAAACGGCCGGAACATCTTGGATCGGATCGCTGGGTGCTGGCTCTGCTGGCTGCGCGACTTCTGTGGTTTCCGAGCGGCCGAGGGTTTCTGTCTCTGAAGGCGCAACAGATGTCTGCAAATCCGTCAATCCCCGATCGCGGGTTCTAGATATGGCAGCAGATACCTCGCGCTGCTTCAGCTGCTTCTTCTTGGCACGACGCTGCTCATTCTTGGTTGGCTTGCGCGCCTTCACATTTGCTGCAGGTTGGCTCTCGGCAATGACGCCGGGCATATTGAAGGTCTCCTACCTTGACGTCTCCGTTTCCGATCTGGCCCCTGCTTCAAAGTGGCCCTTTGCAGATTGCGAATATCCCGGTGTTAAGTGCAAGGGAGTGCGCACGAACAGCAGGCAGTGAGGGTGGCAGTGGCAGTGGCAGAAGCGCGGCAGACGTTTGCGACTTGAGGGGAGCGCGATGAGATGAGCTTCGAGAAGTTCTTGGCTTGGCGCGATGGCAAAACTGGTGGCACACTTTGTATTCTAGACCTCACATGCACCACAGAACGCTCTTGCTCTCGCCCTGACAACACCTCCACTCCGTAGGGCACTTGTATGCCACCTTACGAATGCGAACTGTGACCATCTGTGCTATTTACAAAGTGATGGTGTTGAGTACGGTGCGCACGAAATGCGCGACACTCTGTTGAGCCACCTCCCATAAAAGCGTAGTGAGGATCTACCAATTGAAGGAACATGTAGCGGTCCCATGGCCTCTCCATTTCCTTGTCAAGGGTCCAAGTCATTGCCTTTACTTGATTATGGACTGCTGATAGATACTAGCTACATGTGTCTGAATGCTAGGTGCCGGACACTCCAGACGCTATGGCGTTGTATGCTGGATGGCCTGTGATTCGATCCTTCACCTACCTGTTCTGATCACATGGAAGCAGGTCAGTTGCGAATGGCGTGACTTGGAAGACCTCACTCCTTGCAGAAAGTGAGGCTATTTCAGCCTACTTATTCTGCGGCATTTCTCAGAGTCGCTATCTACTTCCATCAACTGATCAACAATCTACCAACAACAGCAAGCATCTTGGTGGCTTCAAAGACACACTATGGCATCGGAGCCAGGCACAAAGCGTCGCAGCGATAGCCTCTTTGTTGGAGCCGACGAAGACTTCGATGATTATGACACTACCAGTAAGCCAGGGCCTCAATTCATGCTTGATCAAGTATCACTGACATTGCACAGGCACCAAGCGCGCTAAGGCCAATGACGGCGCTTTGACACAGCATAGCCGCACCAATGCTGAACTCATAGCCAGTGCTGGCGTTCCCACTACAAGCATCACTCGCAGAGACTTCCCCAACCTCGCGGTATACCTTCCGGCATTTGGACAAGCAGAGCAGTTGATCGCACAGATCGTGGATGGTCTTCTGGATAACATCGCCAAAGTCAAGAAAGAAGAAGGCTACGAGAACGAGGAGCTCGACAATGCTTGCGGGACAGCAGGCGATGGTCTCGAATCATGCCGAAACCCATCAGATCGATATCCATCAGTCGGTCCCACAGCCTGTGTTGGTGCAACTGGCAAGGGCAAATCTTCGACCATTAACTCCGTCACTGAGCAGAGAAAAGCAGCGTATGAGCACACGGGTGGCAAGCGGGGCACTTACATGCCTCACGAATTCGCTCCACCTTTGATCACACAGACTGCCGACTACAACCTTGAAGTTGTGTACTGTGATGAGACCACTATTGTGAACCTCGTCAAGCGCTTTGTGATATCCATTTTCGAGCATAAGGAACTCGAGGAGGAGGGAGAAGAAGATGAGGAAGACGAGAAAGATGACGACGAAAAGGAGATGATCGAGATGAAGAAGAACACTGCGGTTGAATGCTTAACGGATACGCTCTGTGGCCTTCCGAAATTTCGAACATCGCAGAAGACGGAGGACTATATCAAGAAGTGCCTGAGGCAAGGGCCCAAGGACATCATCAACGAGCTCACTGATCTGGTGAAGGATGCAATTCGTCAGGATGATCGGGCGCTCCCACAAGTCCGACGCTACAACTTGACCAGTGTGGCCTCTCTGCAGTCTACTCTGAAGCTAATCGGCCGTCCCAGCTACAAGGGTACCCAGCGGAGTGCTCCTTCCAACTGGCCGTTTTTGAGAGTCATTCGCATCCGGGCCAAGACTGATGTACTTAGAGCTGGTCTCGTTGTTGCAGACACTCCCGGCGTTGGTGACAAGAACGCTCACGTTGTGGCACAAGCAGAGTTCTACATGAAGTATGCTGGGCCCATCATGATCGTCAACGAGTACGATCGCAGTGCTGATGGCACGAACATCCAGGACCTGCTGCGGAGGATTATACGACTTGGCAAGATGCATGATGTCCTCCTTGTGGTTCCGAAAATTGACCAGCAGCCTGACTACGCGGAAGAGGACATGGAGGAGCTCGAGGAAGACCAAATTCAGCGACTTAAGCAAGCAGATGCAACCATTGAGGAAGTCTCTCGCGCAATGGCCGCTACCGATGAAGAGCTGCACAGCACCACAGATGTTCAAGATGTTCAGAGACTCCATCAAGCAGTCCGAAAGCTCCAGAAAGATCTCGATGAAGCAAAGCGTGCGCGACGTCAGGCTCATGTGCTAGTCCGATGCGAATATATCAAAGCCGAAATGGCAGGACTCATGAAGACGGTTGACAAGTCGAAGTCTATACCAGATTTGGAGGTCTTCCCAATCTCGAATCCGCATTACCAAGCTCATCTCGCCAATATGAAGGATCCGAACTCGGAGCTGCCATTTCTCGATCTAGAAGCCACCGGCATACCAGTTCTCCGTCGGCGCTTGCTCGAGCTTTCAGCAGGTGGCAAGCACAAGGCATTGCAGCATATCGGCAGAGAGCTGCTCCCTTGGACATTGAACGGCATCAATGGCATTCTCACACGCCCTGCTTTCGAGCGAAAGAAGGACCTAAGAAAAGTGATTGAGGCTTTCGTGCACAAGAACAGCTCTCTGCTCCGAGACCTGCAGACTGACCTGTTGGCGGCCTATGATGTTACGATCACGAAAGCGATCAGTGAGAATCAAGACCGTTGGGTCACTGAAGCATCCCATGTTGCCGACGACTGGGCTGCAATCGGTGGGCCCACTACGAAGGCGATTTGCAGCAAGAAGGGTGAACATAAGAAGAAGTCCAAAGGCAGCCGAGAAGTTATCAGATACAACTGGAACGAGGAGCTTCTAGAAGTTTGCAAGGAAGATCTCGACTCAGCCTATGCCAAGTTCAAAGAACATGCACAGGATGTGGTGAGAGATTTTGTCTTGCACACCACGGACGAGCTCAAGCGCTTGAGGGATGCAGTGAAGACATCTGAACACTCCAAAGGCATGAACATGCAGCAATTTGATGAATTTGTCCGCCAAACAGGACTGATCATCGCCAACGATATGGAGAACCAATCCAGTCGCATCGACGAGATTGTCACCGAGGTCCGTACTGCAGCTACTATGGTTCCTCCAGACGGCTTTGGCGACTTCTACGTCCGTGAAGCAATGAAAGACATCTACATGGCATGCAAAGTCATTTCCGCCCACTCCATCAAGGTAACAACCAACAACGCCGCCACTGGCAAGAAGAAGGATAAGACTCGGGCCGCGGGAGTCAAGACGACTGTCACTACTGCACGCATTGCCCTCATCAAGGCCAAATTGAAGGGCACCGGAGGCCAAACTGGTCTCTATCGATCTGTCGGCCGCATCGGCAGATTCAAGCTTGAGAACGGTCTCGAAGCTTGGGCCAATGGCGAGGAAATTGAGCAGGAGGACGGATCGAAGACTCGTGTCGAGGGCCTTGGTAAGTCTGTAGTGCTCGATCGCTTCGAGCTGGTGCTCAAAGACTTTGATCGTCGCTTTAAGGACTCTGAAGTGAAGAAGGAAGAAAATCCGCGTGCTGTGATGAGGCTTCAGGAGGCGCTCCAGCAAGCGAACCAGGCTATCGAGGGCCCTTTGGTGGCCTTGCTTGATGAGTGCGCTGCTTACGAGAAGAGTCAGTCCTGAGGAATCAGGACACGGGCTGCGAAAGAAGATTAAACGCATAGCTATGTAGAGATTGAGATGGTTGCGAGAAGAATCAGTCCCTAAGAGAAGCGAGGATGCTTGCGGTGCCAAAGAGGATGAGAAAAATAGTCATACAGGCCAAGAGCCGCGCAACTATTCTCTAAAATTGCAATCGCAGATTCCGCCTCACTGCTATCCCGACCGCAATAGTGCTACCACCGCTCTAACCTGCGCTATCCTCTTCAATAACAACTTCTTAAAATACGCCCCGACTAAATTCTCAAACGCCGCCGCATTATTAACCCTTAGAAAAGGTTTATTACTAGGGACCTCAACCCTCTAAAACTTATACAAAGGCTTATACCCCTCCCTAAAATCTAAAACTAGCAATTGCCCCTTCGGCGTAACCTACCCTACTATAGGCTACCTAATTCCTACCTACTAGGGCCGCCTAGCTAATTAGGGGTATATTTAGCCCTATAACCCTCTCTATCGATACTATCCCTAATTACTTCTTATTTAAGTAACCGGCTAGCGGAGCTATAATAATACTTATAATCCGATATTACTTAGAGCTAGGCCTAGCTAGCCCCTACCTAGGCTTAAATAAGCTTAGGATAGGTATATCTTCTAGCCTCTTTTATCTCTTTTATAAGAAGGGTTGTATTAGTAGGTAGATAGGGTAGTAGTAGGTTAGTATAGTATTCGATAGAGATCTAGGAGGAGAGGGAGGAAGGTAGGCTAGTTAGCCTAACGCTAAGCGCTAAGCCCTACCTAAGGCACTAAGACCCTAGCTTTACTCGGCCTAGTTATATACTAATTACGTATAGCCTCCTTAGCCCTAATATCTTTTCGGAAAGAGTAGCCCCTAAATACCTTAGATATATACTTCTTACTAAGTAATCGCTATAATCGTATAATAAGAAAGCCGGGATATTCTAAGTAATTAGTAACTTATAGTATACTATCTAAAAAGCGTTAAATATCGAGATCTATTATATAAAATCTAATATTACTTATTCGGGACTTGCCTATATCTAGGTTTAACTATATAGTATCTAGCTAGTTCCGAGGGTAGAGTTTTAAGTAAGCCGATTCCTAAGTTTTCAATTATTAAGGAATATTAGACTTATAGTTAGTAAAGGACGGAAACCAATACTACTACTACTACTTGTAGCAATAGTATAGGCTACCGAGGGTAACATAACCTATAGCAATATAGGCAGCTATGTTTAGCAAGATAGGATGACGAGACTGTCGCTTAGGCTAATAACTAGAGCCCTATAATATAGGCATTGTAGAAGTGTGACATAAACAATATGCTATACGAGGTTGATGCCCTATCTATAATATAGAAGGAGGCCTCTTATATAGGCTTAAAACTAGCCTATAGGTATAGGGCCGGTTACTAGCTAATATCCCTCCCTTTCTTCGTATCTAACTAGATACGCTTTACATTACGCGCTCAAAACAAACATATATACATCCTTAGCGTTCTTAGCTAAAGCTATTTTCAGAACTCCGCAATAACACCCCCGGGGTAGTATTAATCCTAGATACTATAATTATGCAAAAACAACTTCCTAAGTAACACTATATAGACCTACTATTGCTTTAACGCGCCGTAATCCTTACTAGCAATAACCTTATCTGCTAGTCGGTTCTCGAAATCTCCTCCGCATACGTTAAAGCTATTAGCACCGAAGTACTATCCCTCGTAGAAAGCTTAATTAACGAGGAGGTTAGTAGCCTTTTCCTTCGTAGCATTCTCCTAATCGTATAGATATTCCTTAAGTCCCTCGTTATTAAGCTAGAGGATCTGTTTAACTTCGTTCTAAACAACGTAACTTAACTAAGGAATCCTACTAACTAGGGCGTCGGAGATGCAACTAAGGCCTTCGACTAAGATAGCGGTAGGGAAGGGGAACGGTACGAAGGTGTTCGAACCTAGAAGGGCAGTTAGATTGCGGTACGCCTTAGCAACCTCGGCGACGGTTAAGTTGTCGTAACCCTTAATCTTAGTGCCGTCGATAACGCGAGAGTAGCCTAGGTTAATTAATATGCGGTTGCTCTTAGTCTTTAGATTACTATATAGTAGGTATAGCATCTAAATAGAGACTTCGCACTCCTTTAGAGGGTTAAGGATCTACTCCGCCTTACGCCCCTTACTATTAGGCTAACTATCGAATATATAGTCGAGGTCGTCGTCGGTAAGATGCTTGTTAGTAAGCTTGCCGATCTTGCTTAGTAGGACTAGACTACGAGCCTTAAGCTTCTCAACCTAGTTCGTAAAGACCTTAGGCTAATATATGCCTTCGACAATAGTAGAGCAACTAGTCTTATCCTTAGATATAAGACAGACCTTAATGCGTAGGTAACTAGTACCCTCGCTAGCTGCGAGCTTAACTATATCTTGTTTAAGACGAGTAGACTCCTTAGAAGGATAGTTGTTATAAGTACCGCTAACCTTAAAGAACTTAGTAGGCTTAGGGATAGAGATAAGCTCGTATACGTAATTAGGTCGAAGGGCGACAGCTAAGAGCTATAGGGTAGGGTACTAGCGGACGATTTAGTTGCTTATACTATAAGTTTAAAGGGCATTGCGGCCTTCCTACTTAGACTTAGGCATCGTACGTATATACTAAAGGTATATTTTAAACTCCTCCTATATTAGGTCGATAAGGAAAGGAAGATATACTCTACGAGGCTCTTATAACTAGCTAAAGACTTAAGGGAAGATAGCATTGCTAGTCTAGCGAAAGCGGTCGAAGGAAGTGCCTTAGCTAAGGATGCCGGTAACGAACTTGCTCTAGCGATCTGTTAGCGTAAGGGCGCGAGTAATAGTACTAGTAGGGTTGAACGCGTAGAGTCCTAGAGATATCGGGGCGGTAATAGGGCGTCTAGGAAACTAGTCCGCATAGGCCTAATTAGCCTTAAGGGCAGCGAAGGCGTCTTAATTAGGAACCTCGCGACTAATCTTTAATAGGCGGCCGACGAGGATAATCGCCTTAGCACTAGTATAGAGACTATAGACCTTAGCGGCCTTCTTAATATAGTTAGTATATATAGAGAACGGCTCTTCTCCTAGCTTGCTAAGGTCGTCGAGCTATTAATAGATAGATAGGGCGGTAGGAGCTTCGCCTATATCGGCTTTAGGAACTATATCGATCTTAGTAATAAGGTACGTAATAGAGTCGCCCTTGCAAGAACTATAGATATTCTTAGTTAATAGGATCGGCGAGAGCCCTCTATCTCTACGCTCGCTAAAGGAGCCTTCGGAGGAGACATCTTCTAGTAGTATATCTAGTATATTAACATCCGAGTTACTATAGTTAGTACTATAGTTAGCCCTAGAAGGGGCGCTGTACTTCTTAGTAGCCTTGCGGAGGGCCTAGCGAGTATATAATACCTTCTTACGCGCTACTTCGGCCTTAGCGCGCTCGTCCTTAACTTCTTAAGGGACCTTACGGTTGCGGGTCGAGCGACGGTCTTAAGCCTACATCTCCGTAGCGAGCGCGAGACTAGTAGCCGTATTAGCCTCTATTTCTAGGCGAAGAGCCTTACGTTTAAGGACATTAACGATAGGAGCCTCTTAACCTTTAACAATAAAACCTATACTATTAATGCGATAGCCCTTCTCTTTTAGTAGATCCTTAGTTGTCTATATATTAAGATCGATCTAGACAATTGCATTATAGTACCGCTTCTAGTAGGATATTATAAAGTCGTTAAGCGTAAAGAACAAGTTAAGTAACTGCTTGCCTACCTTCTTGCTAGCGGTAGACATACGATAGATTATAGTATAGGAAAGGTACTTAGCGCCTTAACGACGGACCTTGTACTTATTAACGAACGAAGAGACCTGCTTTATACGCTCTTATCTACCGTAGGCGAAGTTAATAAGGCTCTTAGGAAGACTGCTTAGTCCTCCCTAATATTCGAAGGCCTAGTCGAGGGTCTTAAAGCGTAAGCGAATCTAGGTGCCGGCTATCTCGAGGCTATAGACGATAGGAAAGGCTTATTCGATATCTATATCGTTAAGGACCTCGCGCTTAAAGATACGCTTACCGATAGACTAACGTAAGTTATTTATACTGTACGTAACTAAGACAGCAGCCTTCTTAATGTTCCTATTAATAACGCGTAGTAGGGTACGAGCGTTCTAGATCTTCTCTTAAGGGTCTTTAAGGGCGGTAACGATCTAGAAGCAGTGCTCGAGGCTAGTTATAGCAGCTAAGGCGCTATCGGAGGGGGCTTCGATCGGGACTAGTACGCCTAGGTTTAGGGCTCGTAGGTTGCTGCTACTACTAGTACCTAGCGGATTTAGGGCGCCGGAAGACATCTTAGTCGACCGGAGCGGAAAGGAGTTAGTAACGAGCTTGCAAAAACGTTCGTAGCTTGTCAATAATAATTAAAGGGTTTAAATAGAAAGAGGGGAAGAGGTAGGCGATAGTAAGTTAGTTAGTATTCGAGTAGAAGAAAGAGCTTAGAAGGCTTGCCTTAAATAGGGTACGAAGGTAGCGTAGTCCGTATATTCCGGTAAAGCAAACGGATAACGATTATATATAGACCCTAAAAAGTAAAGCTATATACGAGACTCCTTTATTAGTAGGGCGGCTAAAGTTTAACAATCGATCTAGCTAATTGCTAGTAGCGACTACGCGCCTTTATTAACCTCTAGCTTTCGTAGATTCCCGCGCACTCGAAATGTAACTAGTTAGTTCGAGTACCTAGTAGTAATCTATAGTAGTAAGGCTAGCGGGACTAATAACACCCCCGGGGTAGTATTAGCTTTTCTTTAGAGATACTCGGCAACTAGGAGCAAATCGCCTAGGCCTAGCGTAGCTTGTATTAGCCTATAGCACTATCGTTATAGATACAGTATTACCTTTTACAGCAGTAGGCATATAAACGTAGCCCGTGCGTTCTTCTTTCTTCTAGACACTAAGCTTAGTAGCCTAAGGTCCCTATTCTTAGAGGCTATAGGCCTAGGTTACTATATCTATCTAAGAGCTAGGAAGGGAGAGGGATCCTTACTTTCTTAGTATCCTATATAGCTAGTACTAATTAGGGTAGGAACATCCTCTAGTAGAGTATCTTGTTATCGTTGTTACTTAAGGAAGGTTGCTAGAGTCTAGGAATCTAGAGGGAAGTAGTCCTAGAAGGGTAGAGGGGTTAGGTTCGGCTATCTTCCTAATGCTACCCCCGGGATATTATTAGGAAAACACGCCTCGTATAGTTCTATCTAAGGAAACAAGAGCGAAGGAATAAAGTTATAGTAATATTAATCGAAGGTAAAGGCAAAAGTAAAAGACAATAATAGGATAAACTAAAAGCAACAAACGAGAGTATAAACATTAGCAGGAATAGACAATAGGTAAGGACTAAAGGTATAGGGCGGCACTATATTAATAGCGCGGAGAACGATCGATAAGAGCAAGGAAGTAACGTAGTAGAGGCAGATAGAGGCAAGGGAGAGCAAGTAGTTATTTAGTCTCGGGATCTAGCTATAATTCTAGGCGGTCTTCGTCGCTAGACTAGTTAGGTTCCTCGGAGTTAGAGTTAGATAGCTAGAAGTCTAGTTTACTATTAGAATCGGAATTAATATCGGAAACGCTCTATATATAGTTAATCCGTATATAACCCTCCCTCTGTTCTTAAGTTATTCCTAATAGCTTACTAAGACGAACCTAGGGATAGGTATAGTTCTTAGGCAGAACAGAATCTATAATAGCGGCAGGATCCTCCTCCCGATAGGCATCTAAGGATAGTAGAGGGTCTATAGAGGCACTAACTTCCTCCTCGGTCGGCGGAGGGTAGGTAGGTTCGCGTAACTTAACGATCTTCTTTAGATTAGCCCGAGGGTAAGAGTGCTTTAAGGTAGCACTATCTAGCTCCTAAAGAAGGTATACGGAACCTAAGTAAAGGACCTCCTTTACTCTATAAGGACCCTTCTACTTAAAGGCTAGCTTATAGGAGTAACTATACTCTAGTTCGGACCGGTATAGAAGGACTATATCGCTAACCTTTAGAGGCTCCTAGTTAACAGCATTATAGTCGTCGAAATACTGCTTAGCCTCCTTACGAAGGCGACGTTGTCGAGCAAGTCCCTCCTAAGAAGTAGTAGTTATATCCTTAAGAGCCTTAGCGCGTAAGGCAAGGAGATCTACTCTAGTACGAACAGACCCCTAGTCGTAAACGCTATGCGTACGGTAGGACAACTCAATCGGAAGAACGGCGTCCCTTCTAATTATAAGCTCCGCTAGCGTAAGTCTAGTCGTATCGACAATAGTAGTTCGATCCGCCTAGAGAAGGGCTAGAACGCGGGTAGAGATAGGAACGGATCTATCGCTACTATTAGTTATCTTAGACAGGGTATTAATCAACGACCGATAGCCGCGCTTAATAATAGCATTCGACTAGGGATAGTACGGGGAGATGCGAACGTTCTTAGCCCCGTACGAAACAAGTAGCGCTTAAGGAGCCTCGAGGGCTTGTTCGTAGCGTTGTCTAGATAACCTTATAAGGTGTTCCCTAGCGGCAAAACAGATCCTTAAATAGGAAGGTAGCTATATTACGGGCATTAATAGTACCGCAACCCTTATAGAAATGATAGGCCTCCGGCTATCGAGAAAGACCCTCTCGAATAATATATAGGCTATTATTACGGCTAAGATAGACCCTATCGCTATACTACCGCTCCCTAACTAACTAGGTAGTAGGGATACGTAGCTCTCCTAGACGCCGGTAGCTATTCCTAAAGTTGCACTTAGGACAGCTCTTATAGTAGCGGAAGACATTAGCCTATACGCCGTCCTACTAGTAGCGTTAACGAAGGACATCGAAGGTACCCTCCGCCGCCCGGTAGCCGAGCTTATCGTAAACAGAGCGAAGGATTTCTTATCGGGCTACTAGATCGTTAATAATACGCTAGAGTAGTGCATTAATTATAGCCTATCGCTAAAGGATACGATCTTTAATAAGGAACCTCCGAGAATAGCGAATAATACGACGGTATTAACTCCTTAATAGACTAGGAGCTCTCTTCGTATAGGTAAGGAAGTAGGCGATATTATAGGAGTCGTCGGAGTAGACCCTATTAAGGATATTATCCCTACCTAGTTCGCCCGCCTTAGTATCGTCCTAGTCCTCGCTGTTAGTAGTAGAGTCGTCGTTAGGCTAGTTACTAGGTTAGCCGTCGGTAGTAGACCTAGTAATTACCGGTATAGCGTTAATATAGAAGGCAGTAAAGAAGGTACAGTTAATAACCGCGTTAATATCCTCTTCTTCTATTATCTCGGCGATGTCTTCCTCTATAGTAGGCCTTCTAGAAAGGCCGTCCGGTCTAGTGTGCTTCTTACTAGGAACATAGAAGACGTCGAAATTAAACAAATAGATCTAGGCAACCTACCGAGCTATCGTAGAGTTAGGTAGGTCGGAGGCTGTACGGTTAAGTTAATAGACTAGCGTCTAAGCGTCGACTTTTAGGCGAAAGAACACTCTAAAGAGCTAAGGTCGGAACTTCTTAAGAGCCTTATAGACACTAAGGCACTCTCGCTTGCTAGTATCGTATCGGGCCTCGATAGGTTTCTATAGACCGGACTTATACTAGATAGGGTAACGTAAGGAGGGCTCCTTACGATTACACTATATTAGTATCTCGCCGTAGCCTTCCCCGCTCGAGTCGATAGCAACAATTAGCAGACCTGCGCCTTCCGAGTAGTTAATAGAGGTAAGCGTAGGCGCGCTAACAAGTGCCTTAGTAACCTTGTCCTTAGCGGCTTAGTAAACGGAGGTCTATTCAAACTCTGCATCCTTCTTAAGTAAGGCATATAGAGGCTTATATACTAACGCAAAGTTTTCGACCTAGATACGGAAGTAGGAGACTATTCTAAGCCAGATCCGGATATCTTTCTAATAGGTAGGGTCGGACTAGGACACAATCTTTAGGACCTATGCATTGTTAGGATAGCGGCCGTTCTTATTAGTTACAAACCCGACAATGTTTATTCGTTTATATAGGAGCTAAAGCTTCTCCCTATACACCGTTAGGTTAGCTCGCTCTAGGTCGCAGAGGATACTATCGAGGTTCTAAATGTGTTCGAGAAAGAACCTACGGATGCTAGGCTCTACTTCTTTATTATCGTACCTAGTTTTAGGGCCCTTAATACCGATGTCGTTAAGGAAAGGCATCGCTATATAGGAGATATAGGCCGCGAGGACTTGGTTTATAATACGAACGAACTAGGCTACGGAGTTAGTTGCCCCTTATAGAAGGGTAGTTTGTCTATATAGCCTAAGAGGTATCTCGAAACTAGTAAGGTCGCGGCTATTAGGGTAGAGAGATATCTAGTCGTAGCCTAAGAACACATTAACTAGCGAGGCTACTATATAGTTAGCAAAGGCTTCTAAGAACCTATTAGTCTCCGGAGGAAGATTAGCATCTCTAATCGTAACTATATTGAACTTCTATATAGCGTTAATTAGCCGATACTTCTTTAGCTCCCTAGGAGCTGTCTTCTTCTAAACTAGGAAGTATAGATTGCGATACGAGGCATAGGAAGGCTCTAAGGTGCTAGCCTTTATACGCTGCCGTATTATATCCTTAACTATACCTCTTAGGCTTAGGTTTAGCTTGAACCCTAGGTAAGCCTAAGGCTTATACTCGATCGTTCGGATCCTCTATAGAGGGGCAACCTCCGGGTTAATCCTGCCTAGATACGTAAAGTTATATACTAATACGGCTTCGCGGTTGTATAGAAGCTCGTATAGCAAATCTAGTTCGAGATCCGAAAGCTCGATACTAGGTTTAATATTCGCTAGTCTCTCCGGCGTTAGCCTCGATCCCTTAGGAATAGCGGAGAACTTTTTAGTAATATACCTCTAGTCGTATAGACTATCCCTAGGTGTTAATATCGCTTCGCGGTTAAGGCACTTTTGTCGCTAGTTAGGATTTCCGCTAGGATTAGACCTATTAGTTATATATACGCTGCCTTTTACGGGCTTAATCTTGTTAGCTACCCTCTTATATAGGGTATATATACTAACCGCTCGTAATACCCGAGCTCTCTCTCTTTAACGTTAGGCCCGGAGATTAGCGTAATAGAATAGCGCGTAAACTTTATTAGAAGTCTCCTTAAGTCGGTAGGTATATAGCTAGTAATCCTAATTTATAATTCCGGCGAAAACGTTAGATTCCTAATAACACCCCCGGGGTAGTATTAGCTCGGCGTTCTAATTAGTTAGTTCGGATTCGGGTAGATCCGCTTCCGGCGGCGATACCTACGATAGCATTATTACCGAGATTCGTATACTAGGTAGTCGTTGTACTGTTATACTCGCTATCGCTTCGAGCATTCGTCTCCTTAGTATAGAGCCTAGAAACTAGCCTTATCGTACGGAGCGGCGCACCTCTAGATATAACCTATTTAAGCTATATTAACTTATAGCGCAGATTGCCGGTCTTATAACCGCGCTATAGCGTTTCCCGAAGAGCGCTTAGAAGCAGTAAGGATATCCTCGTAGGACTTGTAGCTAGTGTTTCCGACATAACTAGTAAATACGACTCGGTTGCCCTTCTAGTTAGCGATAGTTCCTTCCTAGGAGCTATCGTCGTAGTTGCGCTAAACACCCTAGATTATGCGAGACTATAGTCGACCTAGAATAATTAGCGTATTCGGGTTAGCGGCAATCTAGAAGGTAAAGGAAAAGTATATACCGAAAGCGTCTACTATAACATTATAGTAGGCACCTACTAGTGTAACCTCCCTATTTACTCCCTATATACTAAGGGAAATATCTCTATTTATTAGTAGTCGGAGCTGTTTAGCCTAGCGCTTACTTATAATAAGTGACTCTAAACCATTATTAAGCATTACTAGCAACTGCTAGCTATAGCTTCCGATAGTAACTTAAATATAGATAGCGGGAACGACGGCAAAGGAACGGGTAACTGCGGAAAGGTCTACATTATTAGGGATAGAGTAAAGTTCCTTAGGTCGAGGAGGTCCTACTCGACCGATTTGTTAGCTAGTAAATCGGACAGCCTTAATAGAAACTAAAACCGAAGCAGAGTCGGCATTATTATTATCCCCTCGGCCTATCTCCTTAATCCCCTCTTCGTTAGCATTATCGATAGTCTCCTAGCTCTCGTAGGTTACTAATTCGCCTTCTGCTATCTCCTAGGCCCCTAAAAATTTAGGAAGGAACTATAGGGAAGAGACGTCGATATAGTCCTCTCGCCCCTATTTACGTCGGAGGGCTACAAGGTCTTTTATAAAGGTAGTATCGTTAGGAATCCGGCTCTAGAACAGGTTAGTAGGCAAACCGTATACTAGAAGCTCTCCTATAGACACGTTAGACTTAAGGTCTAGGAACTATAAAGCCTAGAAGAGAGCATTTGCCTTTGTATCGTAAGAGTTAGTAGGCCCGGTACTATACTTCTTTATATACCTATTAAAGCGAAAGCTCTTTAGGTCGGCTAACTTTCGTTTATAGGCCGGCGGGTTAGCTAGACCTAGGGTGCTACTAATATCGGTAGCAATATCCTCTATATCGACCTCTAGAGTCTCTAGGACGACTAGGCTTTCTATAGGTAGGGTGCTAGGTGCGGTACTAGGTATAGTGCTAGATCGGGTAGTACGGTCTGTAGCTGTCTAGAGAGTCTTAGTTTTTACGGTTAACTCGCGCTATTGCTTAGCCTTGTCGGCCGCCTTGTTCTTTAGTACCCTAGTAGGGGCTGCCGCACTAGGGCGAGTAGGGTTCTAAGGGTTCTTGCCCTTGCTTTAGGACTAGGTCTAAGACCGTATAGCAGCGTAGACATCTATACTGTTCTTAGTAACCGCGTAAACATTAGTAACTGCGTCCGGATCCTAAGACACAAAGTTAACTTTAATAGGCTTAGTAGTACTATTACTGCTCCGCTCCTTAACCTATTTTGCCCTAACCTTCTAAGTTTCTCGTTTAGTAATAGCGGCGAGGGTACTGTTCCTAGTGTCCTTAAACTCGATCTTGCTACTATACTTCTTCTCTAGAAGACTCCTAAGTTAAGGCAGCTTCGGAGCTCTGCGATCCTACTCGAAGTTAATCTTATCGCCGGTATCGGTATAGTAGAACCGACTATTTACTTATATAACGAGCTTCCTCTTAAGAAGCTCTTTCTAGATAGGGTAGTCTAATTGAATATGTTTAAAACCGCCGTATATCTAGCACTTGCTATCTAAGTTAGAATAGATCTTTCGTATAGTATAGACGTTAACTAAAGGGGCCTTAGGGTAGTTAGGATCGGAAATCTAGTAGACCGGTAGTATATCCTTTAGTGTACTAGTATTAATAACCTCCCTAACTCGCTATAGTGCTTTCGTATTAAGGTTGAGCTAGGCTAGGGATTTAGCCAAGTCCGCAACGTCCTAAGAATGCTTAGTAATAGTAGGAGTTACGGTACTAGGACCACTTTGCGATTTAGGAAGAAACTTAGGCCCTCTAGTTCCCGAGGCATCGTTCCTTACCTAGGCTAGGTTATTCCGGTCCTCGCCGTAAATAAACTTCTTTACGTTAGCGGAGCTGTTAATATCGTCCTTAATAGCCTCTAGGACCTCTTTATACTTCCTAAAGGTCTCGGGATTAGCTTCGCTAAGCTTGTAGCGACGGAAGACACGCTTAGCCGTAGACTACGGCAACCCTTTAAGGAGTAGCCTCGTTCTCTAAGAATTCTCGAGGTCCTACTAGTCGATGCCGTCCGCTAACTTAACAAACTCGCGGACGTACTCCTTTAGGTCGTTATCTTCGGTGCGCCTCTCTATATAGAGGTTCTTAAGCTACGTACGACTGCCTTTAATGCGACGGCTATCGCGATCCCGATACTCCCTTATAAAGGCCTGCTTAAAGACCTCCTAGTCGGTATTAGACTTATCGTCCTTTTCTAGGTAGCTAACTAGGGTCCTAAGGGTTCGGTAAAGCTTAGTAATAGTAGTCCTCGTAAGGGACCGGACCTTGTACTAGTCCGACTCCTCTTCGAGTCCGTACTCGGCTAAGTTGTCCTTAAAGCGTTCTACGTGCGCCGTAGCGTTCTACCCTTCGAATAAAGGGTTCCTACTACTTCCCGGCTCTAGCGGGCGACGCCTGTTCTAACGGAGAAGGTTAGTTTGCCCTTAAATTATCTTTATAACGACATTATAGAGGGCCTCGGGCGTAGAAGGCTCGATAGCCCCTAGTTCGATAGCGCTTATAACAACTAGTCGTCGCCTAATTTCTTCGTTAATAGGGTCCGGTAGGTTATTAGATTCCGAAGATTCCGCTAATTCGTAATGCTCGCTTTCGCTAGAGCTTATTCGATTGTTATAAAGTAGTTAAAACGAAATAATTTGAAATGTAATGCTATAGGAAAGTGTTTTTAGTATATGTTATAGGTTTGGTTTGTTTCGATATTGCTATACGAGAAAATGGTATGCTAGGCTGTTTTCTTCTAATGTTACCCCCGGGGTAGTATTAGAATTTAGCCTCCTAGGGGTCGCCTAGACACCCCTAGGAGCTTTAATTTAGTAAATTTAGATAAAAGCCGCTCGGAGGAAGGAACTGCAATCTCTATTTATACCTAGATCCTAGAAACTAGCTACTTTACTAACTATTGTTATCTTCTTTAGCTAGGCGGGGAGGGCGGGGACCTTCTTTTTCTAGTAGAAGGCTAAGCACTGTCCGAACGAGGCAGCGAATCCCGAAGCAATCTACCCGGTCGATAGGGGAACTATCTAGGCATCCGACCTATAATCTAGAAATTGCTATCGTATAGATAGTCTTAGCAAACCAAGCAAGGCCGATAGGTAATTAGTCTATCTCCTCCTTAGGCGGGCGGTAGCTTATCTTGAGCAAGCGGTGCTAAATAGGTCTTCGACCCGGAGCCGAGTCCTTAGAAGCTAGCTATAGTTATAGACTAGGCCCTAAGCTGTAATAGTCCTAAGGGTTTGTAGCTTTTCGGGGTTAAAGCGATGCCCTCGTTAAGAGGTTTCTCTACTTATCGTAACGGCCCCTTAAGATACTTCGGTATCGTCCGTATTATAGGCTCTTATCGTACCCTCGCTTCGGTTATAGCTATTCGTACCTAGAGACTACCTTTAACATACCCGAACCTGTTAGATATAAAGAGATAGCCCTACCTTCGGCTCTAATAAAGGACGGAAACTAATACTACTACTACTACTTATAGTAATAGTATAGGCTACCGAGGGTAATATAACCTATAGCAATATAGGCAGCTATATTTAGCAAGATAGGATAACGAGACTGTCGCTTAGGCTAATAACTAGAGCCCTACAATATAGGCATTATAGAAGTGTAATATAAACAATGTGCTATACGAGGTTAATGCCCTATCTATAATATAGAAGGAGGCCTCTTATATAGGCTTAAAACTAGCCTATAGGTGTAGGGCCGGTTACTAGCTAATATTAGATAATATTAAAGTTTACCGGTATTCTCCGCTAATAGCCTTAGATTCCCTAAAGAAAGGGAGGATTGCTATACGACCTACCTATATCCTCTTTTTTAAGAACCGAGTACTAATACTATAGTATCCGTAGCCTAGTAAGTAGTAGATTTTAACTTAATATAGGTATAATTGCTTCTTCTATTAGATAAAACAGCAGTCGTAGGCTAGAGGCTCTTCTATAGGGTATAATAATACTGCCGAAACCTTAATAGAGGGTATATATCTAGCGTTCTAGCAGAGAGATAGAACGCAGAATTGCAACGTGCAAGGGAGCCTCGTTCGACAACAGCTGGCCTAGGCTCGACTATACAGCCTTGCGGAAGACTCCTCACCTTATCCAAATGCACGTCCCAAAGTTCCTGCGCCTGCTCTCGTGTCAACGCCCAATACCTCTCCCTATAATTCCAAACATTCGACCTCTCCGACTGACTGAACACCGATCGTCCCGAAAAAAAAAACTCGTTGCCACATTCGCCGGCCCTAAAATCGTAGCCCCGATTGATTTATGGGATGGATGAAGGGGCGGGTGGATTTTTCAGGAAGGCGCTGCGATTGAGAGTGACGAATCAGATCAGCAAACTGGGCTTGTTATCGAGCACTTCCTCTCCAACGCAGGTTCTGGAACCATTACGTCGGTCTTATCGCTTCGAAGAACATGCTCAGTCACCAAGTCCTGATCAAGAGAATGACCTTTGATGAAGCAAAATGCAATGATTAGTCCTAGTCCACTGATGCCACAAAGCGTTGCGAACAGCATTCGGAATGACCAGGCGATTGCCCCGATGATGCTCTCCTTAAGGGTGAGGTCTGTCATAGTCTTGAGAATGTAGACTGCAACCTCGCCGCTCTTCGCGATTTCCGCGGGAATACCGAGATCCGCAAGTCGCTTTGCGAAGAAATTGGTCCAGATAGTGCCTCCAAGAGCGACTCCTAAGCAGAGACCAAGACTGCGCATGAAGCTGTACATTGCGCTCGCATGAGTAGCATCTTTCTGTTGACATGCTGCTTGCGATGCAACTGAATGAGCGATGAACAAGATCCCTTGGCCTAAGCCTGCAATGATGAAGAGGACGACCCAGACAGCAGTATGAGTGTGGACGTTCAAGAGAGTGAGGAGACCGAGACTCAACGTTGTCATGGTCCATCCAATCCATGTGGCCCAGCGATAGGAACCGACACGTGTGATGAAAGGACCAACAATGCCGCTCGTTGGAACACAGACTGCTGAGAAGGCTAGCAGATAGGTTCCGGCTTCCAGAGGTGTGTAGAGTTTGACCGAGAGCAAGTACAGGCACAGGAAGTAGAGTTCGCTGAAGAGCGTGAGACCCTGCAGTACTGTACAGAAGTATATGGCGATTGCCGACCAAGTCGAGAAAAGCGATGTTCGAAGAAACGTCGTTGTTGCGAGGTATTTCTCGTGAAGACCAGTGCCACACACGACGACGATTCCGCCGATCAATGGGATGAGCGTAGCGGCCGATGTCCAGGAATATTGCGAGCCGCCCCAGGTGAGACCGACAAGAGTTGCCGTCATGCCGGCGACGAAAGAAGTCGAGCCGATCCAGTCTACCGAGCTCAACTTCTCGCCAAGAGTGGACACGGGCTTTTGATACTTGAGCACGAAAGGAATCACGATGAGTCCGATGCCGCAGAATGGCAAATTGATGTAGAACAGCCAGCGCCAAGTTGTGGCCTTGACCAAGACGCCGCCGATGATGGGTGCGATGTTGAAGCCAATAGAAACGACCAGCTGCTGGATGCTGATGAATTTGGGACGAGCTCTGAGGGGGATCAGATCAGAGATGATGATCAGATTGACGCTGAGGATCCCCCCGCCGCCAATTCCCTGAATTGTTCTACCGGCCAGCATCGCAGCAACATTGTTGGCTGCGCAGCAGATGATGGAGCCGATGGTGAAGAGCGCGAGTGCTGAGAAGATCACTGAGCGGCGACCGAAGATGTCGGCTAAGGCGGCCATGAGGGGTTGAACAACAGCGTTGGCGAGGAGATATGAGGCTGCGATCCAGAAAGTTTCGACGGAATCTGCATGGAGTGCTTGCGCGACAGTCTGCGATGCGATTAGTACTGACCGGAAGAATGGACTCGGGCTGAGCATACTGGTAAGGTAGCTGTGAGTATCGTCATGTCCAAGCTTATCGCAAACAGGACACATATCTGGCCGAGGACGATGAGCTTGATCTGCTTTGATGGTTTCCATCCTGGCGATATATCTGACTTTGCGTTTGGGCGCGCAGCCTCGAGCGAGCTTACTGACACCGCACTCGACATAGTGAAGTTGGACAGATGTTTCTCGTCAGTGGTCGAAGTCGTCCCTGAAGTCATGACTGATGCATGTTTCTCGTCCGTGCGCGCTATCATTCTGTGGAGAGCTGAGTGCAGGAACATGTGAGAATTGAAGTGCGAGCGAACATGTGAACAAGCTCTTCTTGGACGAGGCGGCAATTCCTCCGTCTCGCATTACTTAAAGGGCGCTGGGAGCCTACGTACTTATCGAACATACCTTGAGCACTGCCGCGACATGCACGCCACAAGATTGAGGAGTCATGGTGTGCCGTCGGAGTGTAAGGAGCCATCTTGCGTGGGTCACTGTTCACGACAAGTATCCAACGTTCGAAGTCTAGCGTGATGGGCTAGAACTGGTATTCTGAGGCTTGTCTCGTAGGGCTGGCAGGCTGGTGTGAGCTTGTCCGCATTTCGACTGCAACAAGAGCCGCAGTCGATCAAGTCGCCGATAATCGTGCAGCATGGCTTGGAGGCTGCTTGTACATATGAAGGTGCTCAGCTGAGAAAGACATTGGTGGCTGCACCTGTACCCAAAGCTCACTCGCTAGCAGTGTGGCTGCAGCACCAAGTGGGCTCCCACGTTTTTGGCAAACGTGGCACGCAAGGCACACATGCTGCTGTTTCATGCTCATTGTCACTGGATGTTGCGTTGCTGGATTGAGCATCGTGGATTCCGCGCCAAATGCTGATGCTTTCAAAGCCTGCTTCAGGAGATCGGGAGCATACTGCTATGAAAGGCTCATGTAATGTACAAGGGAGGTCTTCTCTTCTTAGTCTTCAAGACAGGTCATTCATGACCATCAGGCCGTGGCCTCATCCTCCCCAGTCGACTTGAGTGACATTCGAACTTCGCACACGGTGTTTTGATGAGAGGTGCTTGCGTATGCGTGGCTTTCGGCGGTCTCGACCAGTGCAGGCCTCGGAGTTCTAGCTTGGCGACCAGTGTTTAGCAGCGAGGCGAAGCTGGTGTGGTAGCAGTGCGGGTGCGGTCGGAGTACGATGGAGGAGAGCAGAGTAGATTGATGAGTGAGAAGTGAAGCAGGCCATCGCCAAGGCCGAGATGATGCCGATGCCGATGGCAGTCCAAACTCAATCTTGCAGTCCATATTCTATACTCTAGAATACAGATCCAACTCCCTCCAACTTCAGAATTTCGTCAATCAATGCACACTCCAACATGCGAATGACCTCGGGAATAGCCGCCGGCACTCACGCACATGTGCGGCGCAGAGCAGGGAAAGGAAAAGGCTGAGAGAAGAGCTGGAAGCGCCTTGATATTGTAGAACTAGGGATAACGGCGCTTCTGCATGTGCACATTGGAGTTCGCGTCAGCACTGACTGCTGCACTTGTTACAGAAGTAGGGGAAGAAACCAGTCCATTATCAACTACTGTACGGCTCGAGTCAAATCCACCTTCTCTTCGACAATACCAGAGTATCGCCACGGACACCTGGTCGAGTTGATGCAAAGGAAGGTTGGGCCAATATCGACAGGAGAGCGACTTGTCTCCATGAATATGACAGTATACCATCACCATCACCATCAGCTTGCGGGAAAGGGAAAACTTGCGCGCCATCACCACCGCCTTGAGAAACAACGAACAGGCTTTCCGCTGACACGGCTTTCCGCTCCGGTGCCTGAGGCATGGCATGGCATCTGCGTCCGGCTACGACTGCTGCGCTGCGCCGGCCGAGGGCGTAATCATTTGGTGCAAAGAGTGGTACGACTATGTATGCTTCTCGATCTATGTACCTACCACAGTCTATCTACTATCCAAACGATATATTGTCGTCGTTCCGAGAAGGAAGCAGCAGACGCAGATGCCTCCCCTCAGCAATCGTTATACGCACGCAAGGCCGCGCAGTGGTATGCCTACAGCAGGTATAGATCTCTGCGGGGTGTATTGGAACCGTTCGCAGACCGTCCGCCATTTCGGGAAGGAGCTTTACCTATCGCGCTCACAAGGCTCAAATAATGCTCCTCTAAAAAAGCTTGGGTAGCACTGCCGAGGCCTGGCAACGAACATAACTTATATAGGTGATCGACTTTTCCAATCTCCTGATGGCCGTGAAACTGCTTCATTCGCTGCAAGCACAGGCAGGTCCATGATGAAGACTCAGGCATTTGCTTCATTGGCGGTGCTGGGGTTGGCATCAGGCTATTCACCGTCAGATATTCGAACAGATCCATTGACTCGCGGGCCATCTTTGGAGATTGTGCATTACTTTGGTGGGCAATGGCCGACTGGCATTGCGGTGTCTTCGACCGGCAGAAAGTTCGCGTGCTACCCTGCGGGTCTGGATATTCTCAACACCTACAATGGTCTCAATGGCGATATTGTCCAGGTGCAAGAGTTGACTAGCATCGATGGCGAGACGCCGTACCCGAATGTTACGTACAATCAGAGCCCGGGCGGCGCGATCAATCGCTTGAGTGTTCCGGCAGTCACTAAAGGCGATCCAAATCACCTGCTCGGCGTCCAGTCGGTCATCATCGATTCCAAGGATACCCTATGGATTCTCGACACAGGGCGAGTACAAGACTTGTCAAATGCGCAATCGCCAATGCTTCCCGCTACTGTGCCCGGAGGACCTAAACTCGTTAACATCGACATTACTACGAACAAGATCATCAAGACCATCATTTTCAACACAGATCTTGTCAAGCCAACGTCGTACCTGAACGATGTTCGCATCGACAACGCGAAGAATGCAGCCTACATCACCGACTCCTCCCTGGAAGGCGACAACGCGATCATCTACGTCGATCTGCCTAGCGGCAAAGGTACTCGCTCGCCATTCAAAGAGACCAAAGCTATCTACGGCACAGTGCCTTTCGTCTACGGCGAGCCAATGTATCAAGTTGCGAGCGCCACTCAAGCTCTCCATCCAGGCTACATCACCTTTGGCTCCGATGGCATCGCAATCTCACCCGACATGGATACTTTATACTTTTCTGTCATCGCCGGTAGATTCCTCTACTCTGTGCCCACAGCCGCATTGCGCGACACAAGTTCCGGCGCTTTCGATCGTGCACAAGCACAAGTCAAGAACCTTGGCGAGAAAGGAATCAGCGATGGTATGGAGACGGATTCGAATGGTGTTGTCTATGCGGGAAATGTCGAGCAGGATGCCATTTCGATGTACAACCCTGCTACAACGTATGCGACAGAGTTTGTGAGGGATCCGAGAATCAATTGGGTTGATACTATGAGTATTGCGAGCGACGGGTATCTGTACTTCACTGTCAATCAGTTGAACTACTTGAATGCGATATATCCCGGTCAAGGATTGCCATTGCAAGACAGGAGGAAGAAGCCATATGTGGCGTTCAGAGTGAAGCTCCCGAATGGTGGTACCAAAATCTAGGTGCACTTGTGTAGGAAAAGAAGAGGCTTTCTGGCATCCAAGTCATCCCCTTTATGCCTCTTGCCTCGTGCGAGAAGTTGTCGTTGCATGCGCACTCGTACATACGTGTACATTGATGTTGAGGGTAGGAGGTCATCACGATACTTGAAACCAGGTAGCATCATCTGGTTACAAGTACACTGTGTGACCGAAATGCTTCGTCTTCGCAGAGCTCACGCTTTCAATTTAGCCCATTATCACTTGCCAGCTCTTCTCGTGCATAATATCAAGCCAATGTGCATTCGTATCTGCTCGATATGATTCGCCCTCCCGCGGGTCCGCTCTCTGCCACACCTCTTTCACGATGTCCAGCATCGCAGACATCGGCCGCTGCGGATATCTTCTTGACATGACAGTGAGCCGCTGCTCTACGACGTAACGAGCCTCCAGGACTGCATCATGGATCTCAGTATTTGAATGTTCGTTGTCGGGCATTTTAAGTTGACTGCCAGCCACAACGGCGATGAGAGGTAGAAGCTTGCAAGCACCAGAATCAATGTGTATGCCTTTGATCGTATCAATCACATGGACGGCGATGTTCGCAAGCATTGAATCCAGCTCATCCTGATAAGCTGTATTCGCAGAGAGCGAGGGATGGTTCAGATCCTCTAGAACTGTGCCATCTCGCACTCTGGTCAACAGCAGTGTTGGATTGCTTCGGTAAATCTCCAGCAGCGCAATATGTCGGTATGCCTCGGCCATCGCAATTAGATCCGACTTTGCTGTCTTTGGGTCATTATAGTCAACCAGATCGTCAGGTTGAGGAATCTCGATCGCATAGAGTGCATTCTCTAGTATTGCAGTCCATTCTTCGTCAATCTTGGTTACGAAGCCCTTCTTGTCACGACGTCGTAGAACTCTTCCAACCTCTGCAAGAATATAGATCGACTCACTTGCCAGACCGGTCCAAGAGTGCGGCGTTCGTGGCGGTGGCTTTGGCGGTATATGTAACTCCGGTGATTTGATACCAGAAAAAGGCAGCATTGGAACAGGATCGACGAAGCTGGCTAGCATTTCCCAGTAGATCAACGCGTCTAGGATGAACTCGTCGTTGGGACCACATTCCTTCTGCAGCTTGATCTGGACCAGACTTCTGGCAATGCAGAGATATTGCAACCCAAGCCCAGAGGAATTATTCCACGAACACGAAAGTCCCAGCAGAAGTAGATTTAGCAGCACCGAGTCTGCCGTCGTCTTGCCTGCCCGAAGAGATGGCAGATCATGTTGAAGAGATTTCCATGCCTGAGATCGCTTAGCAATTCCCATGGCCGCCATATGTGGATAGAAATTTGCTAAGTGTGACCCTGCCATGGCTTGAATAGTAAGATTTGTGGTTTTGTCCTTTTCAAATTGATCCATTACCCATGTCCGGAGGGGGTTCATTTCGGAGTCAAAGCAAGCGAAAATTGCGCAAACGTGATCAAAGTAATAGCTTACCAAGTCTTGGTCGGAAAAGCCAGGGACTTTGCCTGGTACAGCCATGCGATAGAAAGTTTGAAGCAGTCCTGCCGAACTTGAAGAAGTGTTTGCATCAGCAGGAGCGATAGCTTTGGGCTTGCCGTTTTCTCCCTTGCCGCTGTCAGTCTGCACTGTTGATAAGATGGAAGACAGGTCGATTGCGGAGTCTGCTGAATTATCTCCCCAAAAGTCACCAGCCAGGAATGCGTTGCCGACCTGCACATCTGACCAGGACGGTGAAATCAAGTCGGGCGCCATGAATGAATGGCCAAGATCCTCGAAGCCATATGGCTCAGTCGTCGACCAACTCACTTCTGCGGCTTCTGCGCTCGCTGGCAGTCTGGTGCTTTGCAGTGGCCCGCTGCTGCTGGGCAAGCCCGGACTTTCAGACGGCGAGGTGCCATTGTGATCATGCTGATGTGAGGCTCCAGTCGTCTCGGGACCGGTCTTCGCTCGCTTCTTGGGTCGATCGGCATACACCTCGTGCTTGTTGGACCATCTCAGCTGTTTGGCATAGCCTGGACACTCGGCGCCCTGAGCACTGCAGATCTTGCATCGCGGCTTGGTCTCATCGCATTTGATGTGTTTGGTCTTGCATCGATGGCAGCCGTTCCTGGATTTGGAGGGTTTTGACCGAGATTGCGTGGATGGCATCGGATATCAGGAGATGTTGTTGTGGCGGTCAAAGATGGGATGGCAAGATTTCTCACGCGAGCGCTGGCCAGAGGCTCCCGTGGCCCCGCCCCACTCACGACTAGAACTACCCCAACACAGCGGGATTCAGCTACCGAAAACGGGCTGCGTATTCTAGTCGAGGCCAACCGCCAACGATGCGAATGCAGTATTGCGCACACCGCCTGTGATTACGAATAACAACTTGATTCGGTCTGGGATCCTTGCCAATCACGGGCCGTGAATCCATAGAACTACCACGCGGTCATACAAACATGCCACGAAACTCTTCGATACAAGCGCAATAACGAGGGCAGCTAGAGACGAGGAGAGCCATTGTTCCAACCGCAGATGCCCATCTCCGAACGACATCGTCCAGATTCCCTTGGGTGCAAACGGTCGTGTTGCAGATGCGAGAACACTCTCTGTCGTTCGACATCCTCGCCCGCGAACTCACAGATGCCGAATTTCCATCTCCCTGACGAAGGTCCGTGATAGTATTCAGAGTCTGTGGCAGAGAACAGTTTCGACGGGTCAGATGCGGAAGAGTCCGGCAGTACACTCTAACGGCAGGTCAACCTTGTATCAAGTAGTATTTTCGATCTTTGGAACGAAACTTTGGTATAGCCCACTATAGGTGAGTAGCCGAAGATCCAGTAATGTCGATTGCAACTGAGTTGAACGTTTCCCGTAGGACACTGACAGTGCTTGGAAAACTTGGTGTACGAGGTCTGCTCCTCGAACACTAGGCGGATAGGGGAGATAGTATCCGTTCGAGTAGATGGAACGATTCATGTCGGGATTTTATTGTTAAAATACACTCGGGCAAATCGGCCAAACACCATACATCTACTCGACCAAACCACACACTCGGCCAAACCATATATACATCACTCATTTTTTACCGCAAGGATGCTTTGTCTCCTGTGCCTGCTTTAATTCTTTCCCGCAACTTGGGCTGCCGTCGCAGTGGTTACAGCATTCGTTGCCATTTTTGTCGGTATACGTGTTCATGTATGCGCCACCTTGGGCCTTGCACGCCGCAACTAGGTTATTCAGCTATATAGCAAGTTAGCCTAGTATAAAGGCGGCTATCAATTGTGAACATTACTTACGGAGCAACTAGGTTTTCCCCCCTTGCAAGTCAGCTTATAGCCAGCACCACAGGTGCTACCTTCGCAACCACCACTAGGACTACTTTTGGGTGATCCTGGTGAGCCTGGAGCGCCAGAAGGAGATTTGGACGGAGCTTTGGGTGCGCCTGGACCGCCAGACGGAGAGGGTGCCTTAAAATATTGGTTCTTTTGGAAAGGCGTTAGCTGTAATTCGAAGAACAAATAGGAGTGCAGTCTTCATACTTCTCCACGAATTCTGAACTTGTATCTTGGTGATACATGAGGGTCCATCGCACTCATTCGAAAGCCATTCATACCCTCCATGGCGGAGGCAAGACATGAGAGAGCGGTAATTGCAGCAAAAATAATGGACTTCATTGTGAGAGCAGCGAGTGAAGAAAGCTAAGATAGCGAATGAGGGATAGAGAATGAAGGATGGAGCAGTGAGTGAAGAGTGCTAAGATAGGGGATGAAAGATAGAAAATTTACAATAAAACTATGCTCGACTCACATGACTGTCCAACCTGGGGACTGAATAAAAAGCTTGAACTCAATTCAGGCACAATCTGCTTCTGGTTTTAGATGAAACCGTACTCGCGAGACCCTTTCACAGGGTATAGATGATACACTGCGATAAAGTACCGTACAGGCAGGTACTGCCTGAGGGTTGCCGAGCGAAGCGAGACCTGAGCGGAATAACAGTCAGAAGTTGTCGCTGCATCGTTTTAGACGCATAGTATAAGAATGTCGCAATGTCGTCGTCGTCGCTGCAGTGTTGTTTGTCGCAATATCGTCGTCGATGTAGCGGGTTGCGAGGTAGCAAGGCAGAAGTCACGTAGGGGGGACATTTTGATTTCTTCCAATCAGAGGCCGAGCTAGATTTGTATGAGCGCATCTTCAGACTAAACCCCCGGCGAACACTTTGTACGTAACGCAACCACTTCTAACTGTTATTCCGCTTAGCTCGTAAACAGACAATACCTCCGCATCCTCGTCGCAAGCTCCTCGAATGCTTCGGCTTATGCCTGTTTACTTCGCTTCGCTCGGATTAAGCGAGATAGCGGACGGGGGTAGTCCCCGTAAACGGCAGCTAGCTTAAAAGCGTTAGACGTGATCTTTTTAAAGGTACGGATAATTCCTTTAGGCAGTACGCTAGCTTTGACTAGTTAGATCCCGTTTTTAGGGATTACCGCCGTCCGCTATCTCGCTTAATCGCAGTATAGAACCGAAAGTTTAGAAGAGGGTATACAACCCCTTTTAAGAACCGAATGCTAGCGTCCGCCGCCCGAGTAGAAGATTCAAGCATAATCTGCTTCTCCTATTAGATAAAACAGCGTTCGTAGGGATTGGAGGCTCTTCCTTAGGGTATACTAATAATACTGCCGGAACTTTGTTAGAAGAGGGTGTACGGTAGTTGTCCCAAACTGCTACAACTACTAGGAACAAGCTCTTGGCTGGCAAGTTTAATTTGAAGCTTATCAGCTATGGAGTAGACCTAGCAAATACTGTATTGGGATCCTAGGTAGTCTGTAGCACTGTCGTAGCAGAACATACATACACCTAAAGAACCTACTCTTCGATGATTCATCGCATACCCCCTCGAGAGACCTGTAGGAAGATTCAGATTCTCAGGCAGTAGGTCGCATAGTATATGGACTTTTGAATATTCTAATACCACAAAGGTGTTTCGCTGATGAGTCAGCGTCGTGATCGATTTGACTTCAAGTGTTCATCTTGCTCATGAACGCGTTCTTCCACCAGAATAATGCCCGAACTCCGGCCCATCGACGCCTACGCATCACCGGAATTGACGAGCTCGCTGTCCGAATTCACAAGCTGAGCTGGACGACGTCGGGCAGGCTCGTTCGTTGGTGAGCATGAACGCGTCCAGATACCACGCGTCCGCTAGGTTGCGGTATCAAGAGCTAGGAAAGGATGACATAGTGGGCTGAAGTCTGTAGAGAATGATACATGGTTCAATCTGCTGAACAGGAATACTGCAATAGGTTCCACGAGTTGACAGGATATGATGCATGTTCGCAAAAGCAACGGGCAAGAGGAGTTCGCATTAGAGCCGTGAACGGCAACGAAGTCCTCCCATGCGGGCTACAACCTGTCGAAGAAGCGAGCGTCACGTCGAAGAAAGCTGGGAGGCTCGCTTGATGGAAGACCTGCAGAAGGCGGCGCGTATGTGTCGAGGAAGCGCCTGACTGTGCCGCATATTGCACCTTGGGTCGTCTCCTTTAAACCTTTTTGGCTTGGCCTACGGCAAGCAGCAGGTTGCGGCATGCGTGTTTTGAGTCATAGAACACTGATTCTCCGACACAGTTACCCGCAAGAACCATTTCTACGCTGTCCGCGTTCATGCGAAGCAGTTTGATACAGCACTAACGCAGCTTTCCGCAAGACATACCCTAGGCATTCTTTTTGATGATAAGACAGTTCTTGAACAGCTCTGCACATATCTACTAGGTTGACGACTCTCCAGGCTTTCGATGGGCCTTCGATGTGAGATATCAGCCTCCAAATATCCAGTCTGCTTGACACTTCTGTGCTTGGCCGTTTGGACCCTTCTCATAGTCATCCATTTGCTCGCGACATTTCCTCGCGTCGTCAACATGCAGCGCTCCTCTCCAAACACGAGAGGGATCGCAGTCAAGCGATCGCGATCACCAACACTAACAATCCCGCCACGACACCCGCCCGACGTCGGTAGCAGCGGCAGTAAACGAAGAAAAAGAGATGATACCACAACTGCTGCTGCAGATCGACTGTCCGATCTTCAGCTGAACACGGATTCAGATTGCTTAGCAAATATGTTCGTCAAACCTGGCAAGATACCCGCTGGAGGCAGGCCACAGCTCGCAGCCTATCATCCGACTTTCGGACAGATTGAGTCAAAGGTCGGCGCGATGTGCCTTGGGTTTGGTAGGAGATACACGGATACCAAAATGCTTGACTATACTGGCGACGCTCTCGATGGCACAGCGGGCGAAATTGCAAAGTACATCAATCCTGCCGATCATTACCGTCCTATCAAGCCTATTCCTCTTGTTGGCTCAAGGAATGTTGGCAAATCTCTTCTAACCACATGTCTGATGGATGAAGTTGGTGCTGCAATCATCAGCGCACTCGATCGGGGCACGAGCACTATCACGGAATACCACTGCCTACTGCCTTACTAGAAAAAGCGGTATCCTCGCCTAGCCTTGACCGCGATCTTATTTATAGCTATAGTTACGACTTTGTTCCGAGGTAGTTCGCGCTCCTTTCCGTACTAATTCTGGTCCTATACGGAAGCGTTTACGCGATCGTAGATCGCCGTACGGTAGAAGTAATCGGGCGTAGGCGGTAGTATACAAAGTAGTAGTAGAGAATGTTTCGATCGGTTCCCTTATATTATATTCTAGCGAGATACTTCCTCCCTCCTCCTCTCTAGTTAAATATAATAAGGATATTCTTAGAGCTAGTAAGTTTACTTATAAGGTCTAGCGAAGAGTACGAAATTCCTAGCTCTAAGCTATTACTTTATCGCGCGCTACCGTAAGTTATCGCCGCTATAATTCCTATACTAGGCTTTACTACTAATATATCGTATTCTTTTAGTTTTAGTACGTAGTATTTCTTTTTAATTTCTACTAGTTAGCGGCCGAGCTAGAGCCTAGATCTTATTAGAAAGTTATTAGGAAATAGGTCTATAGTAACGTATAGAATGCCCTCTACTAGTCGAGATAGTAGATAGTAGGAATTAAAGTTACTAAGTAACTAAACCGTACCTTTCTAGAAATAGGGTAGAGTATTTACTATTAACTAGATATAGGGCCCCGTACGGCTAGTATATCTACTATATCGGCTACCGAGCTTCTCTAGTTATATAAGAAGGGTTATATTAGTAGGTAGATAGGGTAGTAGTGAATTAGTATAGTATTCGATAAGGATCTAGGAGGAGAGAGAGGAAGGCAGGCTAGTTAGCCTAACGCTAAGCGCTAAGTCCTGCCTAAGGTACTAAGACCCTAGCTTTACTCGGCCTAATTATATACTAATTATATATAGCCTCTTTAGCCCTAATATACGCTTCCCTTCTAAAGGCCGCGCCCTCGTAGCCTTCTATATTCCAATCTCGGCCTCTATTGCTACTAACTTAGCAAATCTAATAAGCTGCTTAGTCCGCGCTAAATTAAACACTTAACTACCTAATTATATAACTATATTAAACCTTACCTTCTAACGCAATATCTAACTCTAACTACGCTATCCCTATATATAATAAACTATAAAGTAATATATATCTATAAGAATTAAGGACTATCGACTAATTATAATACAAGCGCGCCTTCCCTACTATAATAGGTAGGCGTACGAGGTATTATAGCACTGCCTCCGTTCTAAGTAATATCGTACCGAGTTCTTTGCGTCTACTCTTAAAAGACCTAGCAATGTCCGCTCCGAGGGTTATTCTTATTATTACGAGGGCTATTATTTACTATCGTAGTTTTACTAGCTCTAATTAGTTAGGTTTAGCAGCCTTTAATTGTTAATCTTATCTTATCTTTTTAAAAACGCAGTTCGTCTAGTTTCTATAAGTAAAGGCTATTATAAGTGTAATAGTTAAGGTTCGCCTCGCTTAAAGGGTCGGAAAGATCGAGGAGTAACCTATTATCCGCAAAATCGACCCTAGCTAGCTTAGCTCTATATTTTTGCCCTTAGTTAGTCTATTAGTCGCTTAATCTTTTAGTCTCTAAGTCCTTCGAACGGCTCGCCCTTTTTAACCTAGTGTCTTAGCCTTAGGCTATAGTATAGGTAAGGTTGTTCTCGTAGGTATAGCGACAATAGTAGGTAATGTTAATAATAGCGGCGCTAGCCGTCTTAGCGCTAACTTTACCTTACTTCTAACTTCTTTCTTCGACTAATAACACACTCCGTAACACTGTTACTAATATAGCCGCGCCGGCCGCTAGCATACTACTAGCTCGTAGCGTAACGCTATTATTACTATTATTATTTACGCGCGCGCCGCCTTCGCCGACCGCTTAGGCCTCGAGGCCTTATTAGGATAACAGAATAAGAGGGAGACCTAAATACTAGGAGAAGGGCCTTATAGGGCGTATTAGTAAAAGGTAGAGCCCTTAAAAGAGCGTGCGATTAGTTAACGCGTTATAGCGCGTTTGTTAACACTCGGTACGCGTTTACTATAGTAGTATAGTCTTATTGTCCTAGTTTGCCGGCCTCTAATTAGTTAGCTAATAGTACCCCGGAGGTAGTATTATTCCTAGGCGACATTATAGGCCCTTAGCCTTCTTCTTGTTCTTTATACTAGTCTAATACTCGTCTAACAACTTAGCTATATCCTTAAAAGCGGCTTTAGCTTCCTATAAGTCCTATTTAGGTAAATAGCCTTGCTACCTTAATAGGTATTCCTTTTTGCTTTGCCTAGTTCGGTACTTTAGGATACGTTCTATAGACTATAGCTCTTCGCCGTCGGCTAGTATCTCTTTATGTTTAGTAGGGGCTTCTTTAGGGCCTCCGCGGTAGTAGTATAGTTTAAAGAGGGAGATATAGAAGGTATTATAGATAGTATAATAAGGTAGAAGCTACAACTAGTAGGCCTATATGCCCTTAGCCTCTCGAATACGGAATAGGCTAATATATCTTAGTACGAGCTTAGGCCTTGTTTTGCTATTAGGTAATATATATTTGCGGATGCGGAGGCTCTTAGTACTTAGTATAACTATATCGCCTTGCTTAAAGGTTATTAGCGTATAGTGTTTATTATAGTAGACCTTCTAATAGGCCTAGGCCTTTGCTAGTTTGTTAGCTATCTTAGCGTGAATTTCTCGTATCTTTTAGACCCTCTTAATAGCTGCTAGTGTCTTAGGGGTTAGTACTTGATACGCTTCCCTTTCCTTACGCTCGGCCTCGAGCGATAAGGGGTCTTATAGTATAGCAGCGTTCTAGCCTATTATAGCGAAATAAGGTAATACCTTAGTAGATAAGTAGATACTATTATTGTATACGAATTCGGCTAGTTATAGGAGGTTAACCTAGTTATTAGGGTTCTTATTAATATAGCTGCGCAGGTACTGCTATAGCGTAGCATTTTGCCTCTTAGTCTAGCTATCTGTTTATAGATAGAACGCTATAGACAGGCGATGCTTAAGTCTTAGCTATAGGCATATCTTACTCTAATAGTAAGACGTAAATATCGACCCTCGGTCGGAGACTATCTCCTTAGGGGTTCCCTAATAGCTATAGAAGATATTATTCTATAGTAACTTAGCTAGGTTAATAGCTGTCTAATCCTTCCGAGTAGGGATATAGCGAGCACCCTTAGTAAATCGGTCTATAACGACTAGTATAGCGTTAAAGACGTCTCTACTTCCTCTCCGTTTAGTAGGAGGAAGACCTATAATAAAATCTATTATAAGCTCTGCGAAAGGCTTCTTTAGAATAGGAAGTAAAGACAACTCGCTAAATAGTAAGTGCTTTAGTGCTTTAACTCGCTAGCAAACTGTATAGGTCTGTATATATTCCTTTATATACCGCTTACTATTTAGCTAGTAGTATATACGCGATAGAAGCTCGTACGACCTCTCTATATTATAGTAACTAGCGAGCTTACTATTATAGTGCCTCTTTAAAAGCTCTTGTTTAATCGATTGCTTAGCGGGGATATAGTATCTGCCCTTAAACTTTAAGTAGCCCTTATCGTCGATCGACTAACTATTATTACTCTTGCTAGATCGAGTCGCCCGTCTACTTATAAGCCTATTAATACGCTCGACAGCAAAGGCGTCCCTCTGCTAAGTACGCAACAGCTTATCTATAAACGATTAACTATCCCTACCCGTAAGGTTATTTAATAGCATCCTTACTATCGAACGAGGTACGTATTATATGCATCTAATAGTACTAGTAGCCGGAACTACTGCAACCTCTTCTATAGTGCTATCGCTATAGATAGCAATATCTTTAATCGAGTCGTTATAGCTCGAGCGATCTACGTCCTTTCTTTTAATATATACTAGAAGAACGACAACTCCGCTATAGTATTTGTTGCCGCCGCGGGGTCCGGAAGTCCGCTTATCCTATACTTGCCTTACTACGAGGTCTATAGCAATCTTATACTATAGGATTAGAAACAATAAATTAATAGATTAGGTTTCGCTATCGTAATTAGGTCGCCTCGATAGGCTATTAGTAGGGTTGCTTACGCCTAGCTAATATAGTATACCAAAATCAAACCTAGCGAGGTAGACGGCCTATCTAGCCTGTCGTCCTATAACCCTAGTAACCTTAGTAATGCTACGGAGGTTGTTATAGTCTATATAGACCTATATTATATATTAAGCCCTATCGAGGTAGTGCCTCTAATGCTTAAAGGCTTCGATAATAGCTAAGAGCTCTTACTCGTAGGTCTCGTAGCGGCGCTTAGCGTTAATTATTTTCCTTAAGAAGAAGGTAATCGGGTACTAATAATAGTCTTTGTCCGACTGCTAAGATATAATAGCCGAGATAGCAAACTATAAAGCGTTAGTCTTAATGCGGATTAGTTTGCTTAGTACGAAATAGTATAATAAGGGGACTTTAGTAAAGCGTTGCCTTAAACTGTTAAAAGCGGCTTATGCTTTGTTAGTCTATTTAAACTCTCTAGTTAGGTTAGCCTTAGTTTTAGTAAGCTTAGTTAGTAGCATTATATGCCTTAAATAGCCCTTAATAAACCGACGATAGAAGTTAGCGAAGCTAAGGAACGACTATAGCTCCTTAATTAACGTAGGAACAGGCTATTTAGTAATAGTCTTAATCCAATTAGGATTAGCCTTAATACCCTTAGTTAATACGAGGAAGCTAAGGAAGGCTACTATTACGGATCTGATTAGTTAGAGTCCTTATATAATCTTAGAGCGACGCTAAGACTAGCGGGCTAAGCTGTCGCTCTATCTTACTAGGAGCGATAGGAGCGGTCGAGAGCGATAGCGTCGCTTACGTCGCTTACGACTATAGACAAGATATCTCCTTTGTATTTAGGAACGCCGAGATACTCTTATAGTTCGAGGCGTTCAACTTATGTTACCTACTTACTAATTAGAATTACCTTTGTACTAATTATTCTGTCTCTGCCTCCCGCTTATATTAGCCTCTCTAAAGAAGCCTCGGCTTACACGTAATAAGAAGTTACCTAACGATC